TCTGTAGTTTTCTGTTGTAGGGATTCATAGTTTTGAGCCACTGTATGACATTTGTACTTTTCAACTCTGAATTCATTAATGAGCTTCAGAACAAACTTTGTTCTTTTCTCCTTCTTCTTTTGACATTTTGTTGCTTTCTGCTTCAGGGCAGAAAAGTCTGTTTCATATCTGGAGTTTAGTTTTTGGTAAGCGACCATCTTCTCCAACTTAGTCTTATATTTCCTGTCATTGAACAACTTAGAGGCGGTGGTCACAGGGTTGAGAGTTTTTGGGTCATTAGAGGTTTGAATTCTCATCAGTTTTCCCTTGGTTTCTTTGCCTTTGTTAATAAACATCTTATGGATAATTTTCTGTCTTTCTAACTCAAATTGTGTATTTTTGAGCTCTTCCTCCAGGGCGGCTACCCTTTTGTTCTCCATAACCCTTTTAGCTTTCTCGTTATCCAAAAGAAAGCGGAGCCTTTGGATTTCATTCTGGGAATCAATATCACACTGCCTTATGTTAACGCAGTGTCTCAAATCTTGTCCATTTTTCCATCCATGCGGCTGTTTTTTCAGCATTTCCACCTCAAATTTAGTTGTTTTGAGCTCTTCCTTCAGGGTGTTTACCTTTTGGGTCTCCTTAACCCATTTATCCTTCACGAATTCCAGAAGAGAGCGGAGCCCTTCAATTTCATGCTGGGAATGATTATCCAACTGCTTGTTGTTAACGCAGTGTCTCAAATCTTTTCCAGTTTCCCATCCATACCTCTGATGTCTCCTTCCACCTTTGTTGTAACGCTGCTTTAGATGCGGCATTTTTACTAAAAAAACGGTTGTTAAATTTTGTGTTAATCTGCTAAAGTTTAAACTGTCGACCAGGAAAGCGCTTTGCAGACGTCTGAACAGGTCAGTGGTGTAGCAAGCAATGAGGAATTTAGAACTCCTGAACAGCTGTGATGATGTCACAGGATTCTAAAGGCCCCGCCTTCAGAATGACATCACAGGAATTCTTTAGAATGTTGAAGTCAAATCTGAAGAATGTAAACGCCCACAGAAAAACTCCTCCCACTCATTTACATATAGAATTGTATATACATATATATGTATAAACATGTATATATATATATATATATATATATATATATATATATATATATATATATATATATATATATATATATACATATATAGGTATAAATATACATACATATATACGTATATATGTATATACATATATATATATGTATATACATATATGTATATTCGTATATATGTATGTGTATATACATATATAGGTATATATATATATATACATACATATATACGTATATATGTATATACATATATATGTATATACATATATATGTATATACATATATACATTTAAAGTAGTATGATGCATTTACATTAAATTAATGAAAGGTCTGTTTATTGATCTGTTAAGTGATATCTTGGTTGGTCGTTAGGGAAAAAACAAATAAGCTAAACTTCAAATGCTGTTTGAAGTTGTGTAATAGTTTGAATTATCCTATTTGGTTTCAGCTGAAAAAGTTTTCTCCAACTTATTCTGTCAGGGTGGCGGTAGGGCAAAAGGTGGGGTTCACCCTGAATTAGTTGCCAGTCTGACACAGGGCAACAGAGAGACACACAAAGACAACTATGCACACACACACTAACACGTATATATATACTTATATATTTATACACATATATATGTATGTATATATACATATATATGTATATATATATATATATATATATACACATATATATGTATGTATATATACATATATATGTATATATATATATATATATATATATATATATATATATATATATATATATATATATATACACATATATATGTATGTATATATATATATATATATATATATATATATATATATATATATATATATATACACACTTATATATGTATATATATACACTTATATATTTATATATATACAGTGGGGCAAAAAAGTATTTAGTCAGCCACCAATAGGGCAAGTTCTCCCACTCAAAAAGATGAGAGAGGCCGGTAATTTTCATCATAGATATATATTTACTATGAGAGACAAAATGAGAAAAAAAAATCCAGAAAATCACATTGTGTGATTTTTAGAGAATTTATATGCAAAATATGGTGGAAAATAAGTATTTGGTCAGTTACAATCAAGCAAGATTCCTGGCTCTCACAGACCTGTAACTTCTTCTGTAAGAGGCTCCTCTGTCCTCCAGTCGTTACCTTCATTAATGGCACCTGTTTGAACCTGTTATCAGTATAAAAGACACCTGTCCACAACCTCAAACAGTAACACTCTAAACTCCACCATGGCCAAAACTAGAGAGCTGTCAAAGGACACCCGAAACTAAATTATAGACCTGCACCAGGCTGGGAAGTCTGAATCTGCAATAGGTAAACAGCTTGGTGTGAAGAAATCAACTGTGGGATCAATTATTAGAAAATGGAAACATACAAGACCACTGATAATCTTCCTCGATCTGGGGCTCCACGCAAGATCTCACCCCGTGGGGTCAAAATGATCACAAGAACGGTGAGTAAAAATCCCAGAACCACACAGGGGGACCTAGTGAATGACCTGCAGAGAGCTGGGACCAAAGTAACAAAGGCTACCATCAGTAACACACTACGCCGCCAGGGACTCAAATCCTGCAGTGCCAGACGTGTCCCCCTGCTTAAGCCAGTACATGTCAAGGCCCGTCTCAAGTTTGCTAGAGAGCATTTGGATGATCCAGACCATGACTGGGAGAATATCATATGGTCAGATGAAACAAAAATAGAGCTTTTTGGTAAAAACTCTACTTGTCGTGTTTGGAGGAGAGAGAATGCTGAGTTGCATCCAAAGAACACCATACCTACAGTGAAGCATGGGGGTGGAAACATCATGCTTTGGGGCTGTTTTTCTGCTAAGGGACCAGGACCACTGATCCGTGTGAAGGAAAGAATGAATGGGGCCATGTATCGTCACATTTTGAGTGAAAACCTCCTTCCATCAGCAAGGGCACTGAAGATGAAACGTGGCTGGGTCTTTCAGCATGACAATGATCCCAAACACGCCGCCCGGGTAACGAAGGAGTGGCTTCGTAAGAAGCATTTCAAGGTCCTGGAGTGGCCTAGCCAGTCTCCAGATCTCAACCCCATAGAAAATCTTTGGAGGGAGTTGAACTTTTGTTATTGACCAAATACTTATGTTCCACCATATTTTGCAAATAAATTCTTTAAAAATCAGACAATGTGATTTTCTGGATTTTCTTTTTCTCATTTTGTCTCTCATAGTTGAGGTATATCTATGATGGAAATTACCGGCCTCTCTCATCTTTTTAAGTGAGAGAACTTGCACTATTGGTGGCTGACTAAATACTTTTTTGCCCCACTGTATATATATATATATATATATATATATATATATATATATATATCTGTTTATATATATATATGTATAAAACCATATTAGAGTTTAAGATGGTTTTTGTGTTTGAGACCCAGAGTTTATCTTGTAGAATTTGGGATGTGATCAAATTAGCTTTCCACTAATTTAGAGCGATTTTAATGTTTTCAAACCGATTCACAATGCAAATCTGTGACGTGAATAAAAGATTATTTGGCCAAATAATGTTTAATTTAATGATTTGCTTAATCGGGAACCAGTAACCTGTAGTTAAATGATTCTTTCCCCTCTTTGAATAAGCTAGCAGTGAACAGACGTGAGGATTCCATTAAATAACTCATGGTCATTATTTGTTTTTTTCAGCATTTCGGTTCTGAAATGTCAAGCATCATGACTTATCCTTGGTTATTGTGGTGATCTGGGCGTTTTGGGCCTAGCGCCATGGTTTTGTTCTCTTCTGACGGGAACACCTCATTGGGAGGGGTCCTGTGGAGCCAGTTGGCTGAGAGGAGGTTGCAGAGCAGAGAAGAGAGGTCTCACTGCTGTTTTATGAGCAAAACTGCATCTTCTTGTCCAGTGAACATGTTTAGGTGAAACATGGATATTGGTTCTCAGTGTCCTAAATTATCATGGTTTATGTCCCAACATCACAATCCTTTGCATGACACCCACTCAGTTTAAAGAAAATGTAAAATTCTAATTAATTAAGATTTAAATGTGTTAAAAGAATTTATTATTTTTTTACACTTACTAAAGTCCAGAGCAGGAACCTTTCAATTCAATTTCAATTCAGTTTATTTCTATAGGGCCTATTCACAACACACGTAATTTCAAGGCACTTTCCAGTTCAACCAGATCATCCAGTCAGATTGATTCAAAGTTTTCTATCTAAGGAAAACCAGCTGATTGCATCGACTCATTGACTCTTCAGCAATCCCTCACACTAAGCATGCTTGTAGCGACAGTGGAGAGGAAAAACTCCCTTTGAACAGGAAGAAACCTCCAGCAGAACCAGGCTCAGTGTGAGCGGCCATCTGCTGAGGCCCACTGGGGTTCAAGGAGACAGAAGCAGACATAGAAAAAGAAGCATAGATACAAAAGGCAACTGTCAACCAGCTCCACAGGCGGCCCCGTCCAGGAAACACACAGCCAGGCAGACGAGCTCCGAGCCAGCTCCCATCTCAGAGGATGAAGAGAGCACATCCAGTTAGTCACAGTCAGAGAAACAGGACTACACTGGAAAACAGGCCACTCTCCAACATCTAGAAACAAAGGTGTTGATGGCAGCAGCACAGCTGATATTTCTCTCCAGGATGGAGTCACAGCCAAACAGGAACAGACCAGATGAAGCTACTATGAGAAAAAGCAGAGAGAGCAGAACGTTAGAGATTGAACTAACAGATTCTGCAGAGTGGGAGAATAGAGATAGGATGAAAAAGGGGTCCCTATGTCCTCCAGCAGTCTAAGCCTAAAGCAGCAGTCTTCACATCTTTACTTTTTTTAAAAGAGGCCCATTCAAAGTTTTTGATAAGATCAAAGAAATGTTTCAACTCTACACCTAAAATTGAGCTTTTAACCGATAATTAATTGTTCTTTTTTTCTGCAGAATGCCACGCTCTGTGCCATCCTAAGTGCTCCGCCTGCCTTCCAGCCACCTGCGGCATGTCCAGCGACTGTTCGCTGCATCTCTCCGAGGGTTTGTGTCGAGACAAAGCCGCTTCGGGGGGCCAGCAGATCAAAGATGCCGGCGGACACATGCACCTGGAGGGTTGGATGAAGCAGCCCAGGTCAGCTGTGAGCAGGAGAACACAGAGCTGTCAAAAGCTTTGGAAAAAATGTTTCCTCCATCGTTCGCTGCACGAGTCCACGTTTGCTAACAACATCACCAAAATTTTGGTGATGATCTGGATCACCAGCTGGATCCAGGAATTTTTTCAATCACTCTGTTAATCCAGGCATTCATTTAAGGTGGAAATGAGCTTCTAGCGGAGGTCTGCTCTCTCCGGGTGCTTTTCTAACAATGTATTTGCTCATATTATATAGTCATAGAATCACATCCAACCAGATCTACAGTCACTTTTTAGAGTTTTAATCCATAATCAAATAGAAAATAATCTAGACACTGAAAAATGATTCTTGCAGACTAAAGGAAATAATCAAATCAGATCTTTGTGTTTTTGTTTTTCTTGAATGAAGTGAACTGAACTGGGACTCTGTGCTAAATGATGATTACTGTAGTGTCACCAGGGGCGGATTTAGGTAAAACAGGCAGGGGGCCCCTCTGAATGGAGAAACAACACATAAATAGACCCATTATCCAGATAGAGAAATGCTAATAGAATAGACATCCATTATCTGTTCTAGGTTGTGTCCCTCTCTTCTTGTCCCTTTTCTTCTTGTTTTCCTCTCTATGTTTTGTACTCAGCTGACTTTTCATGCTGTCTCTAAAGGAATGAAAGATTTTTTCCAAGCACTAAGCTCACTTAGCTGATTGCTCCTTCCTGTGTTTCCAAAAAGGCCAAAGTAAATAACCCAGTCCTTCTTTTCACTGTAGACAAGCCATGATCTGCTTATCTGTTCTCCATTTTTCATTTGGATGAAATAATAGCTGCATGAATCATGACAGCAGACAAGATAGAGGAGAGCAGGAGGCGGGGTTACCAATCTACTCGCTCTGGAGAGCAGAGTTCGCTGCTTTTAGATGTTGTCTCCAAAGTCTCCAGTAGCAGAAAAAAGTCTCTAGATTTGGCGCTCGGAGCTTTTTAGAAATCAAAGTGCTAGAGGGTTCTGAAAAGTGGCTAAATATAGCGACTTAAGTGCTAAGTTAGCAGAGTTCGCTAAGTTAGCAGAGTTTGCTAAGTTAGCAGAGTTCGCTGCTTTTAGATGTTGTCGCAGAAGTCTCCAGTAGCAGAAATAAGTCTCTAGATTTGGCGCTAGGAGCTTTTTAGAAATCAAAGTGCTAGAGGGGTCTGAAAAGTGGCTAAATATAGCGACTAAAGCGCTAAGTTAGCAGAGTTCGCTAAGTTAGCAGAGTTTGCTAAGTTAGCAGAGTTCGCTGCTTTTAGATGTTGTCTCCAAAGTCTCCAGTAGCAGAAAAAAGTCTCTAGATTTGGCGCTAGGAGCTTTTTAGAAATCAAAATGCTAGAGGGGTCTGAAAAGTGGCTAAATATAGCGACTAAAGCGCTAAGTTAGCAGAGTTCACTAAGTTAGCAGAGTTTGCTAAATTAGCAGAGTTCGCTGCTTTTAGATGTTGTCTCCAAAGTCTCCAGTAGCAGAAAAAAGTCTCTAGATTTGGCGCTAGGAACTTTTTAGAAATCAAAATGCTAGAGGGGTCTGAAAAGTGGTTAAATATAGCGACTAAAGCGCTAAGTTAGCAGAGTTCGCCAAGTTAGCAGAGTTCGCTGCTTTTAGATGTTGTCTCCAAAGTCTCCAGTAGCAGAAAAAAGTCTCTAGATTTGGCGCTAGGAGCTTTTCAGAAATCAAAATGCTAGAGGGGTCTGAAAAGTGGCTAAATATAGCGACTAAAGCGCTAAGTTGGCAACACTGCTCTTTTCATGGTTTGTTTTCAAATGGTTTGCTGCTGTCTGTTTGGACCTTTCTGAACATGTGCAGCAAATGGACTGATCCAATATATTGGAAACTGAAGGGGAGGCTGAGACACACTTAATATTATCAGCGTTCTGATGGCATTTCAGTAAAAGGATTTTGATCAAAAACATAATTAATGTGCACAAATAGGAATAGTTGTATTTATCATAAATATAAACAGAGTTTTATGGGGCCCCCAGGAACCTGGGTCCCTAGGAAACTGCCTACTTGTTAGGTTTATTCAATAATGATTATAAAATTAATGTGTGTGTGCTTATAAACATTGAAGCAAGGAGATGCTTCACTCTGTCTTATGATTCAGTCAAGAGGAGAGCATCCTGTCTTATGACCTGATCAACTGTCCTGTCAGAACAATACTCTCTTTTGTAACCATGTGTTATGTTCTGTTAATAAAAGACGACTGCAGGTGGGGGTTCAAGGAAAGAGCTGGAAGTTTTGTTGGGCTTTTTCCACTCCTGCAGGAGTTGTTTGAATCTCTTTCCTGTATGGACTCAGTTTCTCTTTTACAAACCTACATTTTTTAACCTAACACTACTTTTGCCTAATGGTAAATCCCCCCCCCTGACTGTAACACAAAGCTTTCTAAGCCAGAAAAAAAGCTCCTAGATTGATGTTTGTTCCACACACAGGTTGGTTTAATTTACTAACTCTGTTTCTCCTGGATTAAATCCAATCTTATTCATTTCTTGTAGAAAAAACACGGGCTGAAAGAAAAGCACTGCTTGGATTGTTAGGCATCATCTGGCGGAGACTTTGTGTTGGTTTATCAGATTAAATCCCAGTGAAGCAATTTGCAGTTTGTGGTCATTATGTTAGAAATGGTGGAGCAGCTTTAGGGTATGAATACTTGTACTAGATCCTGAACAGATACACTGCAAAAAATGTAAATCTACATAACTCCTTTTTTATTTAAATAAGTGCATTTTTTTCTTGAATTGAGGAGGAAAGTGAGACATTTTGCCAATGGAACAATTCAAAATAAGAAAAAACAATTGCATTGTCTTATTTCAAGTGCATATTATCTAATTGTCTTATTTTATGAGTGAAAATCCTAATTTCATTGGCAAACTATCTCATTTACCTACTCAAATTAGGAGTAAATACACTTAATAAAAAAAAATTAACTTGTTTTTAGATCATTTTTCCAGTGTAGAGCGGTAATATCGTGTAATATTAATTTTCCATGTGTTGACAGGAATGGGAAGCGGGGTCAAGGTTGGGAGAGGAAATACGTCGTCCTGGACGGGACTAAAGTCTCCATCTATGAGATCGAGCCGAGAGAAGGTTAGGCTGCAGGAGGGAGGGATAACTTTTGGAAGGATGTCATAAACCCACCTCTGCTTCCTCATCCGTCTGATTCCAGATTCTGTGAAGCCACTGGAGGAGTTTGACTTGTGTCTGTCAGAGGGAGAGGTGATGATTCATGGAGCAGTCGGAGCATCGGAGCTCCCGAACACGGCCAAATCTGGTAGGAGCCAATCTTTATATCCTAGTTCTACAATCTCCAGCAAATCCCTGTTTGGTGACGTTTTTGTCTTGCCCTTATTTCATCAGACGTGGCCTACGTCCTGAAGCTGGAGTCTCGTTGCCACGCCCCCTGCTGGCCGGGTCAGGCCATCTACTTCATGGCCCCCAGTTTCCCGGACAAGCAGCGCTGGGTGGCCGTGATGGAGGCTGTGGTGGGCGGCGGGCGAGCCGCTCGGGAGAAGGCGGAGGCTGACGCAGTGAGTCTCTCTGCTGCCACCGGCTGACCTCCTTCATGTCCAACAACACTTTAAAGGAATAGTACACCCAAAACATGATTAGCCTTCATTTTCTACTCACCCCCATGCTGAACAACACTCTGGAGTACTTTTTTGATATCTCAAATGCATCTGGAGATCTGGGAGGCTTCTTGCTGTCTGCTGACATTCAAATAATGGAGGTCTATGGCGCCCGAGGCAGAAAGGTCCATAAAAGTCCACAAAAAACGTGTCAATATTCCTCCATACTGCTCGTCCAATGTATTCCAAGTGTCCTGAGTGGGTAGCGTCCAGAATTTACTCAAAACGAAGTCATTTAGAATGTTTTTAGAGCATAAACAGTAGTGTATAGGATTTCCTGAAAGCGCATTCACGAGTCTACGGAAACCGTGGCAGACCAAACCAGATGAAAGTGCGCATTCAACGTCTGCTCTGCCGATAATGCAAGCGTAGAAGAAGAAATGTGCTGTTTACCTGTGCAAAGAAGGAAACAACGAAAGAAAAATGTCTGAGGACTTCAGTGTTGAGGAAGAGCATGAGTTCTTTGCCGAGCTGAATGCGCACTTTCATCTGGTTTGGTCTGCCGCGGTTTCCGTAGCGTCGTGAGCGCGCATGGGGGCGCTTTCAGGAAATCCTATACACTACTGTTTATGCTCTAAAAACATTCTAAATAACTTCGTTTCGAGTAAATTCTGGATGCTACCCACTCAGGACACTTGGAATACATTGGACGAGCAGTATGGAGGAATATTGACACGTTTTTGTGGACTTTTATGGACCTTTCTGTCTCGGGTGCCATAGACCTCCATTATTTGAATGTCAGCAGACAGCAAGAAGCCTCCCAGATCTCCAGATGCATTTGAGATATCAAAAAAGTACTCCAGAGTGTTGTTCAGCATGGGGGTGAGTAGAAAATGAAGGCTAATCATGTTTTGGGTGTACTATTCCTTTAAGGATGAAAACTTCAACACATCCGTCTGCTTTCACTGACATAATTCATTAACTCTTCCCTTCTTCTCTTCTTTTCTCTTCGTCTCTTTCACTCCTGTTTGTTGCCCTTCATCCTGCCGCTCTACATATGGCCACGTTTTCTTAATTTGCTTTGTTTTCCTGCTTCCTTTCCTCACACATACAGGCCGTTATGTACAAAAGGCTAATGGTTCTGTCTCCTCTGGTCCAGGTAAAGAGATTCAGAGTTGTAGGCGCACAGGTCTGCACATGTGATCTGCACATTCCTCCTGAGGCGCACAGCTGTGCATGCATCACTGTGTTGCTCAACCCTTCTGCTTCCACCGCACTCGCTTCCCCTCCTCTAACTTTAAGTCTTTTACCTCATCCTGAACAAACTCTGAGAGATAAAACCCAACAACATTGCAAAAACGTTCTGAAAATGAGCAAAATTTTCTTAAAATAAGTGTATTAACCCTTAATATGGGTAGGAAAATAAGATTATCTGCCAATGGAATGAGCATTTTTACCATTAAAATAAGATAATTAGTAATTATGCACTGGAAACAAGAGACTGCAGTTGTTGTTTTTTTCTTATTTGAAATGTAAATTTTCTTCATATCATTGGCAAAGTAACTCTCTTATCTGCTCAATTTGAAAAGTTGACCTAGATTTACATTTTTTGCTATGAAGACCCAGTGTCTCGCAGAGGGATTCACACTGGAAAAATTCAAAATCTAGATAAGTCAGTTTTTCTTAAATTAAGTGCATTTGTTCTGGAATTGAGGAGGAAAGTGAGACAGTTTGCCAATGGAACAAGACAATTTACATTTAAAATAAGAAATAAAAATTGCATTATCTTATTTCAAGTGTATATTATTTAATTATCTTATTCTAAGAGTAAAAATGCTCATTCCATTGGCAGATAATCTTATTTACCTGCTCAAATTAAGACATTTTTACTTATTTCAAGATTGTTTTTGCAGTGCGCACTCCATTGAAAGTATCCATTTTTGTCACATTTCAAACACACCTTTCTGTTCCCTCCAAAAGAAAGTAGTGCATAAATGTGAACTCAAAGCAAAATGATGCATTTAAAAAGCTGCTTGTTCAAAAAACCTTGAAGCCCTCAGAGGTTTGCTTTAGTGCATAAAGGCCAGAAGACACCGAATCCGAAGTTGCGTCCGATCCGACAGAAAATCGTGTCTTAGAGGTGGGGATGGCTTCCTGCAGGGGGCAGCATAGATCCGCCTGAGATAGAGCCCAGGTCTATTTTAGTCGGACTACGCAGCAATTCAGCAGCAATTTAATGGGTCTGACTGGAAGAGAGACGCGGTTACAAAGTAAAACACATCCGCTTTGGAGGGAAATACAAAATAAAATCTGTTAATCTCACGGGGAAAGAGTCAGTTTGGAGTCAGACATTGCGTATAGAGTAAGCAGGACAGACTGGAGCAAAAACAATCAATGAAACTTAAAATAGAAAACTTTCCCCATGATAGGAGTTCAGGAGGACAGAAAACAGATAAAGTAGTGATCGTCTTTGAGCCTCACAGAATAAGGAGGAGCAGATGGAGCAGGTCAGTGCAGCGTATCTCTCTCACCTCTTTATGGAAAAAAAGAAAGAAAAACTTGGATAAACTTCCAGATCTCTCTCTGAGAATCACCTCTCTGCCTCAGTCACCATAGAAACCGTCCCACGCCGTTTATTGCTGCGTTTTTCTTTTCTTGATACATAGATGTCATTATGTTTTTAATAGATGAACATTCTGCATCTGTTCTGGTTTGAGATGCTGCACAGACTCGTTAAGTAGAGCTTTGCTTTATAGAATGCACCGGTGGTTTTTATTTTTATTTTATGAACGTTTCATAATTTGTCCAGGTCAAATGTGGGAAATAGTTTTAATTTGTGTAAAGCAAAGACACAGATCTGCTCACCCTGCCTAGTTGGAGCCTCTCTATATGCAGTCAGTGTGACATGGGAAAAAATGATTTGTAAATTAAAATTAAAAACACAATCCAGGAATGAAACTTTGATGAAATATTTTATTTAAAAAAGATTTTGAGAGTAACGTTGCTTTTTTTTTTGCTCAAAATATTTGTTAAAAGAATTTATTTTCAGATTTTCTTCTTTTGTTTTTTTTTATTTTTTACAGATTTTCATATTTCTGTTTTTCAACTTGAGTTTCACCAGTAGCATGCTTTTCAAATTGCGAAAAAATAACAAATGAAAAAATTTTGTTAGTCTCAAAAACCATTCTTTGATTAAAACTATTTTTAATCACAGAATTTTGGGATTTTACATAAAAATATGAAGATATCGCAACAATAACGGAATAAAAGTGACTCCGTAGGTTAGTTTGGTTAGTCATTGTATGGAGAGATGTTAAGCCCATCATTAGGAGCATAAACATAGATGTGAGTTACTGAGATCTGATGACAGGACTTCTGTTAATGAGAAGAAAAAATTATTGTTAAAGGAATTCATGTTTTCTTGTTGGCCAGAAGATCAAGATCCTGCATTGTGACCTGCAGTTTGGCAGAAAACTAACAACCAAAACACACTTTCCTCACTGTGAAGCGTGGTGATGGTAGAATCAGGACACTTCTCAGCAGGGACAAAGGATGGAGCTAGAAACAAGAAGATCCTGGAGGCTGCAGGTTTGAGACAGGAGCAGAGGTTCAGCTTCAGGCGATAATCCTGAACACTCCAGATGTTCTCCCTCCCGTCTGACTCCAGCTGTTCTGATGACAACTGGATCCACGTTTTCCCCTCCAGTGCTACAAACTCTCGACTGCATTTGCTTTAAAACCCAGCTCTAGTTTTGGCTGAATTGTGATCATTTTCTTTCTGCTTCACGTTGAGCTCTACTCTGTTGATGCGTTCAAGTTTTTTGGTCCTAAAGAAATGTGAAAAGGGGTGTGAATACTTCGCATCCTCTTATTTGCGGGTCCTCTGTTGACGTCTCATTCAGAGGGGAAGGATTAGCTAAGATACGGTGTGAGTCCTTTTGTATTTGAAAGGACGTACACCAAGGGAGACTTTTTAGACTTTATTTATTAAATTTTGCAACTTTACCAGAACCATAGATCAAAAAAATACATGTTTAGCAACATAGAAGGAAATTACTAATTTAAAATAAAAAAAATAAAATCAGAGACAAAATAGCAAAAATAGAAGAAAGAAAGACAGAAAGAAAGAAAAACAAAAAAAGGGAGAGAAAAGAAAAAAAAACCTCTTACAATATCTATAATACCAAATTAGAGAGTTGAAATATCCAGCACTGCAAAAACGATCTGGAAACGAGTAAAAATTTCTTAAAATTAGTGTATTTAACATAATTCTAGCAAGTAAATAATAAGATTTGTCAATGGAATGAGTATTTTTACTCTTAAAATAAGATAATTAGATAATATCCACTTGGAATAAGACAACGCAATTGTTTTTTTCTTATTTTAGATGTAAATTGCCTTATTCCATTGGCAAAGTGTATCACTTAACTGCTTAATTCAAGAAAGAAATGCTCTTCTTTAAAGAAAAATAAACTTAGATTTCAATTTTTTGCAGTGAGCCTATGCTTCTTGTACATCTCGCTGGACCACGGGAGACTTTTGATGAAATGAAAGTAACTCACGGTGATGATGCTCCATCAATAAACCCAACAAGGCCATAGAAAAACCAGATCGCAGCTCGACACTCAGCAGGCTCCATTTCAGACTCAAACACCTGGAGATCAGAAACCACAATTAGTTCAGAGCTGTAATTAATCTATAGAGATATTAATAATCGGACAGCAAAATTTCAGCTGAATCAAACAGCTAGACGTGGATCAGGAGCTTTACTTATTAAACGTCCCTCGTACTTCTGGATCTTCTTTTCTTTTCAGAACGGACCTGAAGGAACTCTGCTGTAACCTGGAAGATAGACAGATATAAACTAGACGTCTGGAGTTAATAAATGTTCAAAAGTTATTATTAGATCAATAGGAAGAGTTTATTTATCAGCTAAACTGGTTTATAATCTCTGTATTGTATTTATATGCAAACTTTTTTGGTTAAAGTCTCATTATTTGGATAAAGCCTCATGGAAAGCTTTGAAATTCAAACCTGACGAGCCAGATGATGTGTGACGGCGAAATGATGTCATGTTCTGCAGATATCTGAGCGCCGCTTAAGAGGACCTGAATGTTTCCATCTCGTCATGATGTCACCAACGCTCGCTTTTTTATTTGCTCTAGTAGGAGCTGAGATCCGGTTATTGTGGTTCATAGTGAGAAAAACAAAACTCCAAATGGTTTTTAATTCCTCTTATTTGTTGAGCTTTAATGAAAACCGGTTTATTTGGACGTTCCAGCTGTATATGAGTAACCGCTGGAAGCCTCTGTCTGCTGGGGATGTTTACCCTGATGGCAGCTGGAGGACGTCACGTTAAGTTTTTAAATCCTCGAATCTCAGATTGGTGGAAGTTAATGTTTAAAGCCGTTTATCTGATAAAGTTTGACGTTTTTAATGCTAAAACTGAGGAAGTTAACCATCCATTACTGACCTCCGCTTTAGATCTCCATGGCAACGCTGGTTTCATTTCATTTTCCCGTCAGTATTTGAAATGATTTTTCTCTTGCCTGTTTTTCTCTTCATGGATTAGAAAATAAAACTCTGTATAAAGTTAGATATTATTTATATTTAATACAGATTTAGATTAAAATGAAATTAATTAAGGAGAAGAAACATGAATCAATTTGGAGGACAGAAATAGTTAAGATTTCATTAAAAGTTTGACTACATGAATTACTATACTCCTCTTAATAATGAATGTAAATTTGACAGTAATAATTCCTTTTTATGATCCTATAATTCCCTGAGATTAACCTTTTCTGCAGTCAGAGGAAGCATCACATTAAAGATGAATAGACTGACCCAATGGTTTCTGTTAAACTGATGCTAAAACTGCATAAACTGAGCAGAAAATAAGAGAGTTCTCTTCAAACGTGCGTATTTACCGGTAATCTGAGATGATCGGCCAGCGGAATGAGGATTTCTGCTCTTGAGATAAGATAAAGAAATATTATGCACCTAAAATAAGATAATGGAGAAGTTTCTTCTTCCTTTAAATGTAAATCACAATATAAATTGTTAAATTGTTGTATCCACTCAAAACAAGGGAAAATACACTTATTCTTAGAAAAATTGACTTAAATATTTCTTTTTTTTGCAGTGCACTTCAGAAACAATCCAGAAATAAGTCAACATTTCTTATTTTAAGTAAATTCACCCTTAATTTCAGCAGCAAATAAGATGATTTGCTGCTCTTAACATAAAATAATTTGATAATATGCACTCGTAATGAGACAATGCAATTGTTTTTTTGTTATTTTAAATATAAATAGTCTTGTTCCATTGGCAAAATGTATATTTTACCTCCTCAATGCAAGAAAAAAAATGAACTTATTTTCAGTGGTGTCAGAAGTTCAAACATTTGTTACTTAAGTAGAAGTATAGATTAGGGATGCACGATATTGGGATTTTGGCCGATATCCGATATTTTGAAACTCATGTAGCCGATAACCGATACCGATGTTAAAGCTGGACAAAAATAAGTAGTCATTGAAAATAGCAGTTTTGTTATCCATTTCTGACACTTTGAAAAATAATATACTCAAATATATTTTCATATGCTGATATCAAATAGATTTTTAAAAACGCGGTATCGCTCTTTTTTACTTTCAAAATCTCGTGAAATTTCATCGTTCTGTTACAAACTCTCGTGATATTTTGCAAATTCTTGTGAGATTTTGTTAGTAAAATAGATCGATACCGCGTCAATATATCAACATATAAAAATATGGCAACATTTGGTGAATTTTCGGGGGATTTCTTAGCATAACGATGACATATAGCAATATTTCATTAGTAAAAGAGATTGATATGGTGTTTTTAAATGGCAATATATCAGCATATGAAGATATTGGGATATTTTAATGTATCAATATTTTTTCCCTCGTCTTTAGAAGTTTTTAAGTCTGTAAAATAGAAGTTTTTGAGGAAGAAGAAGAAGTAGTATTTCTTTATTTATTAATTTTTTTAGACTTTAGAAACTCAGAAGCGGATCAAATATCGGGTTAAATATCGGTGGGGTGGCCGATGTCCGATATTCAGTTTTAAGGCCGATACCGATAGGGGGCCGATTATATCGTGCATCCCTAGTATAGATACTGCAGTTTAAAAATACTCTGGTAAAAGTTGAAGTATCAACTTGACCTCTTTACTCAAGTAAAAGTGAAAAAGTATGTGCTCCAAAAACTACTTAAAGAATAAAGATATAAAGTAACCTTAAAAAAAACAGCCAGATGCCACTATATGAATTGAAAGCTTAACTGTTCGACTATTTCTAAAAATTCTCTGAGATAGGGCCAAGGATGAGGGAGGTCTTGTTGGTCTCCGTCTCCCGATACGCTCTCGCCTGTGTCCGACCTTTCAGACATTTCAACATCTTTTCCTGAATCCTACATTGTAGCATGGCATAGACAATTCACGTTAGCAGTTTGAAGAACACCTGCTTGCTTCTGATGATTTCCTTTAGCTAACCAATGAGTGTTTGCGTTATATGACTCATCCAATCACACTAGTTTTCACTAGATGTGGGTGGAGCCAATGATCTGCATTGGATGGAGCACATGACGGGAAATAAAGATTTAGAAACATTAAACCGAAGCCAAGAGTAACGAGTAACGTTTGCACTGCAAAAATGGTCTAGAAATAAGTAAAAATGTCTTAAATCAAGCACCCTTCATTTTAGTAGGTAAATGGGATGATTTGCCAATGGAATGAGTATTTTTACTCTTAAAATAAGACAATGCGGTTGCTTTTTCTTATTTTAAATGTAAATTGTCTTGTTCCATTGGCAAAGTATCTCACTTACCTCCTCAATTCAAGAACAAATGCACTTAGTTTAAGAAAAAATGACTTATTTAGATTTCCATTTTTTGCAGTGTGTTTAAAAATGTAAGGAATAGAAAGTAAAGATACTTGTGTGAAAATGTAATGAGTAGAAGTCAGAAGTAGGAAGAAAAATAAGTAATGGAGTAAAGTATAGATACCTAAAAAGTATACTTAAGCACAGTAACAAAGTATTTGTACTCCGTTTCCTGACACCTCTGGTGGAATTATAAAAAAAAATGGATGTCTTGACTTTAACTGCAATGGAAAAACAATCTAGAAATGAGTAAAAATGTCTTAAATTAAGTTTATTTAACCTTATTTTGAGCAGGTAAATGAGACAGTTTGCCAATGGAATGAGTATTTTTGCTCTTAAACTAAGATAATTAGATAATATGCACTTGAAATAAGACAATGCAATTATGTTTCCTTATTTCAAATGTAAATTATCTTGTTCCATTGGCAAAATGTCTCTTTTACTTCCTCAATCCAAGAACAAATGCACTTATTTTAAGAAAAAAATATTTATCTAGATTTAGATTTTTTCCAGTGTAGGCCACCGTGGCTCTTACACTGGAAAAATGACCTAGAAATAAGTAAACATGTCTTAAAATAAGTGTATTTACCCTTCATTTGAGTAGGTAAATGAGAAAGTTTGCCAATGGAATGAATATTTTTACTCTAAAGATAATTAGACAATATGCATTTGAAATAAGACAATGTGTTTTCTTATTTTAAGTGTAAACTGTCTTGTGCCATTGTGGGTGAAGCCAATGATCTGCATTGGATGGAGCACATGACGGGAAATACATATTTAGAAACATTAAACCAAAGCCAAGAGTAACGAGTAACGTTTGTTTTAAAAATGTAAGGAATAGAAAGTACAGATGCAATAATAAAAAAAAAAAGTAATGGAGTAAAGTATTAATACCTTAAAAGTGTACTTAAGTAGAGTAACAAAGAATTTGTACTTTGTTACTGGACAACTCTGCTTATTATAATAAAAAATGACTGAGTGAGATTTTATTTTTTCAGCATGAGTCATCTCTACACTGCAAAAATAAACCATAATTAAGTCAACATTCCTAAGATTAAGTGTATTTACCCGTTATTTGAGTAGGTAAATAAGATGATTTGCCAATGGGTTTGAGTTCACACTGCAAAAATGATCTAGAAATAAGTAAAAATTTCTTAAATTAAGTGTATTCACCGTTAATTTGAGTAGGTAAATGAGATAGTTTGCCAATGGAATGAGTAATTTTACTCTAAAAATAAGATAATTAGATAATATGCACTTAAAATAAGTCAATGCAATTGTGTTTTCTTATTTTAAGTGTAAATTGTCTTTTTCCACTGGCAAAATGTCTCTTTTACCTCCTCAATTCAAGAACAAATGCACTTATTTTAAGAAAAAATTACTTATCTAGATTTAGATTTTTTGCAGTGCAGATTTATGCACTACTTTCTTCTGGAGGGAACAGAAAGGTGTGTTTGAAATTTGCCAAAAATGGATACTTCCAATGGGGCGTGCACTGCAAAAACAACCTTGAAATAAATAAAAATGTCTTAAATTAAGTGTATTTCCCCTTAATTTGAGTAGGTAAATAATATGATCTGCCAATAGAATGAGGACTTTTACTTTTAAAATAAGATAATTACATAATATGCATTTTAAATATATCTTATTTTAGATGTAAACTGTCTCGTTCCATTGGCAACGTGTCTCACTTACCTTCTCAATAAAAAAATGCACTTATTTTAAGAAAAAATTACTTAATTTTTACATTTTTAAAAAGAATCTCCCTCTGATTTTTTTACCCTAACGACTTATTGCACCTCTGACCCCCCCGTCCTCCCTGAGGCCGGTGACTGAAGCTGCATCTCATCTGCTGTTTCTCTCTCTCCTCACAGAAGCTGCTGGGAAACTCTCTGCTAAAGCTGGAGGGTGACGACAGACTGGACATTAACTGCACCCTCCCTCTAACCGATCAGGTACCAAACCCCTGATAGCTGCAATAAATAAATGATTTAACTGGACTCTAGCTTCAGGTGGATGGTTGTGTGAAGGTCTGGCGATGCGCTGCTGCTGCTGCTTGAACATTAACTGGAGAACGTTTTGTCTCTTCTGTCTCTGTGCAGATCGTTCTGGTTGGATCTGAGGAGGGACTGTACGCTCTGAACGTCATCAAGAACTCCCTGACCCACATCCCTGGTCTGGGATCGGTTTTTTCAGATACAGATCATCAAAGAGCAGGAGAAACTGCTGATGATTGTTGGTAACATGTCCAACTTATTATCTGTTTGATGGTTAGCTGAGCTCAGAGGGAAGTTCAGGTCAGGAGACGAATGTAACAGATAATAAGAGGCGATTCCTCCATAAATTGGAGGTTTATTATTCTAAGATTACTAACAGGTGAAAATAATTCAGGGGAGCCGATTCTGAGAAGCCAGATGCTGGTCCACGAAGCGCTCAAAGAAACAGAAAAGGCCTCATTTAGCACAGATTTGAGTTCTTCCTCTGTGAGGAAACTGCAGGAGTTTCATGAGTTTGAAGGAAAAAAAGTCTTTTTGCTCTGTAGGAACATCAGCTTACGTCTTCAGACGTCCCAATCTATTGAACCTGAGAGGCACGGTAGTGGCGGCTGGTGATCTGGGCTGGTTTTACTGCTACACTTGCTTCTTAAGGATACTTTGTTAGCCATGAACTCCTATAAACTAAACAATTAAAGTAGGGATGCAGGATGTACAAACCGGATTCCAAAAAAGTTGGGACACTAAACAAATTGTGAATAAAAACTGAATGCAATGATGTGGAGGTGTCAAAAACAAATATTTTATTCAGAATAGAACACACATCGCAGATCAAAAGTTTAAACTGAGAGAGTGTATAATTTTAAGGGAAGAATATGTTATTTCCAAATTTCATGGCGTCAACAAATTCCAAAAAAGTTGGGACAAGGCCATTTTTACCACTGTGTGACATCCCCCCTTCTTCTAACACTCAACAAATGTCTGGGGACAGAGGAGACCAGTTTCTCCAGTTTAGAAATAGGAATGCTCTCCCATCCATGTCTAATACAGGATCTAACTGTTCAATCGTCTTGAGCCTTCTTTGTTGCATCTTCCTCTTTATGATGCGCCAAATGTTCTCTATAGGTGAAAGATCTGGACTGCAGGCTGGCCATTTCAGTACCCGGATCCTTCTCCTACGTAGCCATGATGTTGTGATTGCTGCAGAATGTGGTCTGGCATTATCTTGTTGAAAAATGCAGGGTCTTCCCTGAAACAGATGACGTCTAGATGGAAGCATATGTTGTTCTAGAACCTGAACAGAGGTCTCTGCATTTATGGTGCCTTTCCAGAGATGCAAGCTGCCCATGCCACAAGCACTCATGCAACCCCATACCATCAGTGATGCAGGTTTCTGAACGGAGCGTTGATAACAGCTTGGGTTATCCTTGTCCTCTCTGGTCCGGGTGACACGGCGTCCCAGTGTTCCATAAAGAACTTCAAATCGTGACTCATCTGACCACAGAACAGTCTTCCATTTTGCCTCACTCTATTTTAAATGATCCCTGGCCCAGTGCAAATGGCTGAGCTTGTGGAGCTTGCTTAGAAATGGCTTCCTCTTTGCACTGCAGAGTTTCAGCTGGCAGCGGCGGAAGGCACGGCAGATTGTGTTCACTGACAATGCTTTCTGGAAGTATTCCTGAGCCCATTCTGTTATTTCCCTGACAGTAGCGTTCCTGTTTGAGGTTCAGTGACGTTTAAGGGCCCGGAGATCCCGAGCATCCAGTAACGTTTTACGGCCTTGACCCTTACGCACAGCGATTGTTCCAGACTCTCTGAATCTTTAGATGATGTTATGCATGGTTGATGATGATAACTTCAAAGTCTTTGCTATTTTACTCTGGGCAACACCATTCCGGTATTGCTGCACTATCTTTCTGCGCAACAGTGGTGGAATAGGTGATCCTCTTACCATCTTGGCTTCAGAGAGACACTGACACTCTGAGAGGCTCTTTTTATACCCAATCCTGTTGTCAATTGACCTAATTAGTGTTAGTTGGTCTTCCAGCTGTTCGTTATTTGCTCAATATCCTTTTCCCAGCCACTTATTGCTACTTGTCCCAACTTTTTTGGGATCTGTAGACACTGTGAAATTTTGAATCAACATATTTTTCCTTTAAAATGTTACATTTACTCAGATTAAACTTTTGAGCTGTCATCTATGTTCTATTACGAATAAAATAGAAACATTTGCCATCTTCACATCATTGCATTCAGTTTTTATTCACAATTTGTTTAGTGTCCCAACTTTTTTGGAATCCGGTTTGTAATCGGCCCCGTATCGGACATCGTCCACCCCACCGATATTTAACCCGATATTTGATCAGCTTCTGAGTTTCTAAAGTCTAAAAAAAAATATAAAATAATACTTCCTCTTCTTCCTCAAAAACTTCTTTTTTACAGACTTATAAACTTCTAAAGACGAGGGAAAAAATATTGATACATTAAAATATCCCAATATCTACATATGCTGATATATTGCCATTTAAAAACACCATATCAATCTCTTTTACTAATGAAATATTGCTATATGTCATCGTTATGCTACGAAATCCCCGAAAAATTCACGAAATGTTGCCATATTTTTATATGTTGATATATTGACGCGGTATCGATCTATTTTACTAACAAAATCTCACAAGAATTTGCAAAATATCACGAGAGTTTGTAACAGAACGATGAAATTTCACGAGATTTTGAAAGTAAAATAGATCGATACCGCGTTTTTATAAATCTATTTGATATCAGCATATGAAAATATATTTGAGTATATTATTTTTCAAAGTGTCTGAAATGGATAACAAAACTGCTATTTTCAATGACTACTTATTTTTGTCCAGCTTTAACATCAGTATCGATATCGGTTATCGGCTACATGAGTTTTAAAATATCGGCATATCGGATATCGGCCAAAATCCCAATATTGTGCATCCCTAAAATAAAGGTCAAAGGTCAAGTTTTCTGCCAGGTTAAACTTTGTCCAACTTATGAGAGACAGGACTATGGAATACATTTATTTTCATGATTGTTACAAAGACAAATGTTTTGGAAATTGAAATTTTTATAAAAAAAGAAAAGCAACTGAGAAAAAAACTTTTTTTTATTATTGATAAAGAATAACTTTTCTGTTCTCTCAGATTTTATTTTTTTTTTGTTTGTTTTTTATGAATTTCTTTTGGATTTTTCCTCTTTAGCAGATATTATAATTTAAAATTCTTTTTCAAATTTCAATTTTTAAATATAAAACCTTTTTTGAAAAAAAAAAATTTAAAATGAGGGAAAAAAATATTCTGAAATCCTTTTTTTAATAAAAATGTTTTTCAGTTTCATTTCAGCGTTGCATTTTTCCAGATATCTCTTAACAAAACATGTTCTTTGCTGCAGTAATGGAATAAAATCGATTTTTAACAGGAATTTCATCACAGCTGCAGATTTCATTAAAAGAAGAAAGAAAAAGAAGAGATTTTATCTGGAGATCTGATTGTTTAATCTAGTGATGAGGTGGAGTGCCTGTTAGGATAAAATAATGCCATATGATGCTGTTTAAATTCAATTCAATTCAGTTTATTTATATAGCGCCAAATTCACAACGCATGTCATCTCAAGGCGGGTTACAGTTCACCAGATCATCCAGTCAGATTGATTCAAAGTTTTCTATCTAAGGAAAACCAGTTGATTGCATCAACTCATTGACTCTTCAGCAATCCCTCACACTAAGCATGCTTGTAGCGACAGTGGAGAGGAAAAACTCCCTTTTAACAGGAAGAAACCTCCAGCAGAACCAGGCTCAGTGTGAGCGGCCATCTGCTGAGGCCCACTGGGGTTCAAGGAGACAGAAGCAGACATAGAAAAAACAGCTCCACAGGCGGCTCCGTCCAGGAAACACACAGCCAGGCAGACGAGCTCCGAGCCAGCTCCCATGTCAGAGGATGAAGAGAGCACATCCAGTTAGTCACAGTCAGAGAAGCAGGACTACACTGGAAAACAGGCCAAGCTCCAACATCTAGAAACAAAGGTGTTGATGGCAGCAGCACAGCTGATATTTCTCTCCAGGATGGAGTCACAGCCAAACAGGAACAGACCAGATGAAGCTACTATGAGAAAAAGCAGAGAGAGGAGAACGTTAGAGATTGAACTAACAGATTCTGCAGAGTGGGAGAATAGAGATAGAATGAAGCAGAATGATGAAAAAGGGGTCCCTATGTCCTCCAGCAGTTTAAGCCTATAGCAGCAGAACTATAGAGATAGCTCAGGATAACCTGAGCCACTCTAACTAGAAGCTTTATCAACAAGGAAAGTTTTAAGCCTAGCCTTAAAAGCAGACAGGGTGTCTGCCTCACGGACTAAAACTGGTAGTTGGTTCCACAGGAGAGGAGCCTGATAACTAAAAGATCTGCCTCCCATTCTACTTTTAGAAATTCTAGGAGCTCATCAGGACCTGAAACTATTGAGAAGCTAAGGAGCTGTCTGTTTTCAGCTTTGTTGGTAACGCGTGTGTGTGTGTGTGTGTGTGTGTGTGTGTGTGTGTGTGTGTGTGTGCTGCAGGGGATGAGAGGGCCCTGTGTCTGGTGGAGATTAAACGGGTGAAGCAGTCTCTGGCTCAGTCCCACCTGCCCAGCCAGACCGAACTGGCTCCCTACATCTTTGAGACGGTGAAAGGCTGCCACCTGTTCGCCGCTGGAAGGGTAAGCCCCGCCCCTCTGCGTCACGCCCTGGAGGAAACTGGGATCTGGGTGACTGACATGGAAACGTTCTGCTTACAGGTGGACAACGGGCCGTGTATATGTGCTGCGATGCCGAACAAGATAACCATCCTGCGCTACAATGAGAATCTGAACAAATACTGCATCCGCAAGGTGAGCTCGACCTGTGGGAGGAGAGGCCGTTAATCAGGAATAAAAGGCCTGATGCAGGAACACCTGCTGTCAACAGGGAGCATTTCAATGGAGAAAAGAGTTAAAGTAAAGGTTGGTTCCTCCTGCAGGATAAACACTGGAAAAAATCTAAATCTAGATAATTTGTTCTTGGATTGAGGAGGAAAAACAGACATTTTAGAAATGGACTAAAGCTGTTGGTTGGTTCCACAGGAGAGGAGCCTGATAATTCAAAGATCTGCCTCCCATTCTACTTTTAGAGATTCTAGGAACCACTAAATGTGCCTATTTTGTGTGACTGACAGGAAATTGAAACCTTGGAGCCCTGCAGCTGCATCCACCTGACCAGCTACAGCATCATAATCGGCACCAACAAGTTCTATGAGATTGAAATGAAGCAGTACGTCCTGGAAGGTAAGAGCGCTGCTAGAACACCTGGCTCACCTGACCAGGAGGCTGCAGGGTAACACTGCATCGCTCCCTGCAGAGTTCCTGGACAAGAACGACGTGTCTCTGGCCTCCGCCCTGTTCGCCACCTCCTCTCACAGCTTCCCCATCGCCATCCTGCAGGTGGCCAGCAGCATGCAGAAGGAGGAGTACCTCCTCTGTTTTCATGGTGAGCTCAGACATCACAATGTCATGACATGTTTAATGGAGCCGTCTGAAAGCGTTTTATCCATGAACCGAGAGGTTAAAGTGTGTTTAGTCTCCTGCTCCTTCTGAGCGACAAGTTGAGGGTGAGAAGATGAACTCTATGGCAGTGACTTAGAGCAGACATCATATCAAATCAAGGTTTTAAAAAGCAGAAACAAAGATGATATAAGTTATGAGAAACAATTTGATTTCACAGAGCTGCTTCCTGCTGGTCAGCTGGCTGAAACAACATTATGATACTTTTTTCTCTGTAACAAGAAAAAACTATTTCAGCAATTTGGGAAACAGTTTGATACAGAAATTCATTTTAAAATGGGGCTACATGTGCTTTAAGGGATATTTTAATCATAAAATGTTAATATTATATTTGACGAGTTTGTATTTATTCATATGAATAATTGTTGCTTAAATATTGCCGTTTTGATTGTTTTGGATGTTTGTGCAAATACTGCAATAGAGTTGATACCAGAGAATCTCTCAGACCGACCAAAGCTTTGGAGAAACTCTCAGCTTCTTCAGGAAACAGAGTTTATTCTTTATTAGAGCTTTTCATTTCCTGTGGCCAGAGCTGGATTTAGGAAATTTGGGGCCCTAGGCAAAGACAGGCAGAGGGGCCCTCTGAATTAAGAAGACAACACATAGAACAGACCAATTCTACAGATAGAGAAATGTTATAGAAAAGACATCCATTATTTATTCTACCTTTTGTCAATCACTAAGCCAATTCTCACTTAGCTGATTGCTCCTTCCTGTGTTTCCAAAAAGGCCAAAGTAAATAACCCAGTCCTTCTTTTCACTGTAGACAAGCCATGATCTGCTTATCTGTTCTCCATTTTTCATTTGGATGAAATAATAGCTGCATGAATCATGACAGCAGACAAGATAGAGGAGAGCAGGAGGCGGGGTTACCAATCTACTCGCTCTGGAGAGCAGAGTTCGCTGCTTTTAGATGTTGTCTCCAAAGTCTCCAGTAGCAGAAAAAAGTCTCTAGATTTGGCGCTAGGAGCTTTTTAGAAATCAAAGTGCTAGAGGGGTCTGAAAAGTGGCTAAATATAGCGACTAAAGCGCTAAGTTGGCAACACTGCTCTTTGCATGGTTTGTTTTCAAATGGTTTGCTGCTGTCTGTTTGGACCTTTCTGAACATGTGCAGCAAATGGACTGATCCAATATGGTGGACACTGAAGGGGGGGGCTGAGACACACTTAATATTATCAGCGTTCTGATGGCATTTTAGCCAAAGGATTTTTATCAAAAACATAATGTAAATAGAGTTTTATGGGGCCCTAGGACACTGCCCAGATCTGTTATGTTCTATTCAGTGATTTCTAGACTAACAGAAGGATTTTAAAGTCTATTCTCTGAGCCACAGGGAGCTAATGGAAGGACTTCAAACTGATGTGCTCTACTTTCTTAGCTCTAGTGAGAACACGGGCAGCAGCGTTTAGGATCAGCTGTGTGATGGAACACTGATGTCTGATGTCCTCATAGGTTTATAGTTAGACTGTTATATAATATGTAACATTCCAACTTAATCAAATATAAATTAACATAATTTGTTATATATTAACACCATATGATTAAATCTAATGGTAGATGTTTTTAGTTGTATTGCAATTGATAAAGTCCAAGAGTCTCAGAGTTTTTTAGTTTAACTCTACATCAATAAAACTAATTCATCCCCGAGCAATTATCACCCCATATGGATGACATTAACCAATATAATATAATATTATACAATACCATAAAATGTTATATTATACTATCATTAAATTTAATTTAAAATAGCATAATATAAGTTATATAAGAGTTCGCTGCCTTTAGATGTTGTCTCCAAAGTCTCCAGCAGTGGAAAAAAGTCGCCAGATTTGGCGAGGGGTCCGAAAAGTCAGTGAATAGCGACAAGAGCGCTTAGTAAGTCATAATTAATGTGCACAAATAAGTAATAGCTGCATTTACCATACATGTTAAAGGAGTTTTATGGGGCCCCCAGGAACTTGGGGGGCCTAGGCAACTGGCTAGGCCCATGCTTGTGGCTGATATAATTCAATAGGTCTGAAGAAACTGTTTTTATGCTGCAGAGTTCGGTTTCTTTGTGGATTCTTACGGAAGAAGAAGTCGTACCGATGAGATCAAGTGGAGCCGAGTGCCTCTGTCTTTTGGTAAATGAATCTTTGGTTCCTTTTTAAAATCCCGCCTTTAAAATGTTCTTCCTGCTCTTGTTTTGCTGAATTCTCTGGTTTGTGTTCCAGCCTACAGAGAGCCCTACCTGTTTGTCACCTACTTTAACTCCCTGGATGTGATTGAAATTCAGGGACACGGAGCAGCGGGGTGAGAACAACCAGTCACTTTATAACAGATCAAAACATTTTGTCCTCCATGGTTAGAATCGCTCTTTCAGCTTTGCTGTTCTGGTTTCCAGCCCGGCAGTTCTGGCCCACCTGGACATTCCTAACCCTCGTTACCTGGGCCCAGCCATCTCCTCTGGAGCCATTTACCTGGCCTCCTCCTATCAGAGCAAACTACGGGTCATCTGCTGTAAGGGAAGCCTGATCAGGGAGTCCGGAGAGCTGCAGAGGACCGGCTCCAGCAGAGGGTCGGCTGACAAAATAACCAAAACACACAGCTATCACCAAACAGCAGGTTTAACTAGAGCAGAGAAGTTTCCTGGAGGCATGTCTGCCAGGTGCACTTCATCCCAGCCTCATGTTACAGTTTGCTGGTTTAGTCTCTAAATCAGGACGCCTTCCACAGACGGCAGGAGCCCGAAGGGGAGCAAACGGTGAGAGAAGGAGGGCTGCACGGTGGAGCAGTGGTTAGCATGCTTCCCCAGCAGCAGGAAGGTCAGGGGTTCGGACCACCTGTTCCCCCCATGCATGCCTGACTTCTCTCAGGGTCTCCTGCTAATTGGTCTCAGTAAATTTAGTTTCCTCTCGTTATGGAGCGGCTAACTTTCCAGGGTGTGCTCCGCATTTTGCCCAATGACCGCTGGAGACGGCGATCGTTGGGCAAACTGGGTAACACCCCACAGCCACACCCCCCACCCTGGCAGACTGACGCAGAGCAACGAAGCAAAGAGACATGCAGAGTACCAATTCCCCCTCTCCCAGCCCGGCTCCCGCGTCCCCCATCAAGCTTGCAAACTGGTCACCATGGTAGCGGGGCCACCTGGGCGCTTAGATGTGATCTCTGCTGTTTGGTAGGTCAGGGTTGGCGTCAGACTCTGACGGGAGTTGCTTCTCTCCGCTGTCGTCTGCAGTAGTCCCAGTAAGCGAGGCCCCCCCACCTACTCGGAGCACATCACCAAGCGCTTGACTTCGGGCCCCGGCAGCCATGACGGTTTGCACCGTGAACCCAGCACCCCGCACCGCTACCGGGAGGGCCGCACAGAGTTCAGGAGAGACAAGTCCCCCGCCCGGCCGCTGGACAGAGAGAAGTCCCCCGGCAGGGTGCTGGACAGTCGCAGGGAGCGCTCCCCAGGGAGGTTTGGGGACAGCACCCGACTCCATGCCGGGTCGGTCCGAACGCAGCTGGCCCCTGTTAACAAGGTCAGTAAAGGGGGGGTGGGGGGTGTTTGCTTTAATTCTCTGTGGCCAAAAAGCCAGATGCATTAAGGACCCCTGAATTATTCCTTAGACTCTCATATTAAATGTACAGAAAGGGAGGAGGTGAAGCTTCATCTGAAGACTTTTCTAGCCTTTTTAGTTCCATATACTGACCTGAACAAAAGCATGATACCACCACCACCGTGTTTCCCCACGTTCAGAGAGACGAGCTGTGCAGCTTTAAGGCCTGAGAACACTGTTCCGTACGACTTTCTAATCTCTGACCCAATTTTTTCCCATGTCACACCGACTGCGTATAGAGAGGCTCCGACTAGGCAGGGTGAGCAGATCTGAGCAGATTCTTTTTCACTTCTGTCTCTGTGCTATAGGTTATAGAAAAAAAAAAAAAAAAAACACCCAGTGCATTCTATAAAAAACACTAAACGAGTCTGTGCCGCATCTCAAACCAGAACATGTCTAAAGAAAAGACAAACGCAGCAATAAAGGCAGTGGGACAGTTTCTATGGTGACTGAGGCAGAGAGGTGATTCTCAGAGAGAGATCTGGGAAGTTTATCCAAGTTTTTCTTTCTTTCTTTCATAAAAGGCGACAGAGATATGCTGAGCTTATCTGCTCTGTCAAACCCTCGTTATTTTTTAAATTTTTTTTATGTTTCATTGATTGTTTTTGCACCACCGCATCTGTCCTGTGCACTTTATACGCAATGTGTGAATCCAAACTGACTCTTTCTCCGTGCGATTAACAGATTTTATTTCGTATTTTCCCTTAAAGCGGATGTGTTTTGCTTTGTAACCGCGTCTCTCTTCCTGTCAAACCCATGAAATTGCTGCTGAAATGCTGCTTAGTCCAACTAAAACAGACCTGAGCTCTATCTCAGTCGGGGCTACGCTCATTTAATCCCCATGGACTTTCAATGAGCGCTAAACGCCACAACCTCATCCAACAGGAATTTCTGGTGTTGGATCTGGTGACTCTTGGTTGGGACTTCCTCGATTAAGGCCAGATTGTCTTTCCAGGGTCATTTTTCAGAAAGAAGGTTTAAGAACAGATGATTTCGTAACTAAACTAACTAAACTTGTAACTAAAATAGCGAGTCTGCATCAGTGCAGGCTGGCTGGAACTTGTCAGCGGGTGTAACGGCCAACTAAAGACGTTGAAATACAGAAAAACAAAGACGTCATTAATCCCTAAATGGAAGGTCCTCTTTGAAATTTTTTTGACAGGATAGATTTATTTTTAAGAAAATGTTTGATGTTGTGTTAACCTGCGCCCGTGAGCTACAGGCGTCACTGTGTTGCCATAGGAACAACTGCTTTTCCTTTCCCTTTAAGAGAAGAGGCCGTCCCATTCACGTTTATATCCCCACGTACAATCCAGGGGCCTCCACAGCTGAGTGGGACTTCACTGGGAATGACCCTGTATAGTTAAGGGTTACTAGTAAGGGGGCAATTTGGGAATCAGGCTTTTTAATTTAAGTCATCATGCACATCAAATGTTGCTTGGTTCTGGTCGCGAACTAGTTTTGCTGGTAAGCTTCTGTAACCTGACTCCACCAGATGGATTTGCTCCACATATCCATCTGGAAACCTTCAGTTGAAGTAATTTTGGGAAGGGGCGAAAATACTGGTTAGCTGATTGGCCTATGTTGGTGATAGACGGGCCACATAAACCAATCAGATCAACGAAGCATATGACGTACTAACAGAGCGACGACGAAGAGGAGCCAATTGATAGATCAAACTCTTGCCGAAACCAGTCGGGAGAAGAGCAAAAACATCTTTTCCTCTGAGAAAAGCCTCCAGAGCAGTGTTTTGCTCTTCTTTCAGTGAAGAAATACTCTGTAATTCCGATAAAACTTGCTCCATAGCCACGCTAACGCTAGTTTCATCGGCTGAAGCCACCATGTTCTTTAGTCTGAACTGTCGCGCTTCTCGTTGCGTCACACCTCAACCCGCCTCAAAGCCAATGCTGATTGGACGTTCGTTTGGTGAACAGCTCCAAATTTTCTTCAACGGAGAGTCTCCAGACTGATTAGCGAGTGAAACCTTGAAAGCTCGCGAGATCAGGATGGTCTCACGAGGCTAATGCTTCTGCACCGTTGGTCTAGAATTTCTAGGAATGCACAGAAGCGCTAGGGGGAGCCTATTCGAGAACTTCGGCGGCGCTGGAGGGAGTATTTATCTTCCAAAACAACAATGGCGCGTATGCAAGATATCATGGTAACGGAGATGGATCTAGAGTTGCTAGAAATCAAGGAGGTGCAGGTTGTGCTAATGGAGTTGGCAAAAAGACCGATTAACCATTCGTCATAGTTGTTCCTCGGTTTTTAAAAATGGCGCGCCCCGGCACCGAATCAAGAAGGACGACCACACAGGCAGCCGGAAAGGCATACCAAGGACCAATCACAGCTGCACACTTCCGCTTGAGGTCTGCGACCATCCGACGCGTAGTCAGGATTTTTTTTGAGGTGCGTAACAACGGTTACAGAACCTCTGCGCGGGGGGTGAGGTCGCACACAGCGAGATTTGATGGTTGCAGAGGCTATGCGTCAGAAGCATAAATTGGCTTTAACCCAGCTTTCTGGCATGGGGCCCACATGGCTGATTATTGATATATAGAGCAATTCAATAGGAGAAAGTTTTAGAACCTTAAAGACTTTAAAGTTGGGCGTTCCTGAAACAAACAGAACTTCATCATCCTCCAACTTTATCATTGTCGACATGTTGAAAAGTTAACTTGGTAAGGCTGTTTGAAATGGTTTCATCTCTGAAGTCATGTCGGTGGTTTGAAGCAGGACCTCCTGATGTCAGAGCTAAAAAGCCACAAATCCACAGTCGTCTCTCACTGAGCTTTAATCCTCTTGTTGATCTTGCAGGTCTGGGATCAGTCATCGGTGTGAGCCCTTGCCCCGCCCCCCCATGCTGAGGAAACCCTCACCCCTCTGAGCTCAAGCACACACCGCTCCATGTGTGAGGGCGGCCGTCAGCCCTCTCGCCTGTACATACTGCAGCCTGAGGCCCGGCAGGAGCCTCAAGTGACAATCCGCATCCCGACATGTGCTTTCATGGACATTCACCCGCAGTAGATATGGTTGGCAGGCAGGCGGCGCTGTTCTCCAGGTTGTGAGAATCTTTTCTTATCTACTCAGCTGTACATACCTGTGTGAGTTTTTATAAAGGGAACAGTTGGCTGGAGAAGCCTGATCTATATTTTTTAATGAGTTTCTAAAGATGTTTAACGGAGATTCGTGACGCTGTTGGCTGAGAAGCAGAAATAATCCCCTCAGTATGAAGTCTGGCTCTAAGGTTGAGGAGTGTCTCTGGTTTTCCCCTCATAGCTGGTGTAGAGGAAGCAGCCTGAAGGCCAACTCTGCACTGGACTGGGTTGGAAGAGGAGCTACAGACTGGTTCTGGTCACATGACCGGTCCGGCCTCCTTCCCTTCAGATCCTCTTCACTAAACTAGCCTCTGATATTTAAACGCATATGATTACTTTCTTGACCGTCGTTGTCCAGCAGCGTTTTGCTCCAAGTGTTCTTTGTGGCGTTTTCTTGGCAAACCTACAGCTCTGCCTCTGGTGCCGGACCGCTCCAGCTCGCTACTAGCCCGCCGCCGCCGCTGATTGTGGTGCAGATGTCCTGTTTCTGTGCAGTGCTAGTGACCGTCTGGGGGTGGGGTCATCGCCTTCCCCCGTTGTTTCTCCGGGCCGGTCGGAAACACCTCCACTCTTCACATCAGTGAGCATGACTTCCTAACGGAGCTTTAGTTGCTTTTGGATCTTGATTCTTTCTCTTGGTTGTTCTCTTTTTGTCATGTAATCACTTGACTTTGCATTTAATAGGTAGACATTGATGTTAGTAACTTAAGCTTTTCTTGATTTCTAAACATGTATAAGAGAACATCAATTAAACATTATTAAAGCGTGTGTCGTCTTTTTTTCACCAGTTTATTTAGGATTCCTTTACATTTCCACACGTCTCAGGCTGTTTCTAACCTAGTAATTAACTAGTGATGGGTTAATAAGGCACCTAATGGAATAAGGACATTCTTTGGAGGACCAGAATGTTCACATTTTGGACAAAGAAGACAGGTGGTTTGAAAGGGGCGTGAAGGAGGCCATGTATGTTAAGAAAGAAAAACCAACCTTAAACAGAGGGAAGGACTCAGGTTTCAGCTTTCAAAAACCTACAATGCAGCGATAGAGTTGATTCCTTTCCACTATCATCACAACCCCGACCCCTTTACAGGAGAACGGAAGACCTCGCCCATTCAGCCAGGACAACTATTCCCTTTAAAGGAAAAGTCCATCCAGCAAGGAATAACCAGTTGCTCGTTATTTATACCTAAAACTAATACGTTTGCGGTGATTTAATGAATTAAAGGAGAATTCCGGTTTTTAACACTTTTAGCCCATTTTCTGTAGTGTCCAGGATGAAATCGAATGATCGACACCAAAATTTTGACAATTGGTCCTGTCTCTGCTATTTGGCTCATGCAGAATCCCCCCCTGGCTGCTTCAGAATGGCTTCCATTGTGCATGTCCGATAATGTCCTTAAAACAACCTTAAACGTTCTTTTTTTAAATATGCTACTCACCGGGTCGTCAGCGCTGTTCAATGACGTTCCAAAAAGTTTCGTAAAGAAAAAACGTTCCTGTAGTGTTTTATTTAGCATTTTGTAAATCCCATTGAGTTCTGTTGGAATAGTCAATATCCCTCCGCCACCGGAAACGGAAATGGGGCCTGTTTACGCTTAGTTGTAGTCTTTTCGCAAGGCCCAAGTGTTTCTGCTTCACTCTGTGTACTCCGACGTCGAGGTGCTAACGTCTCTGTTAAACACTTTAAAAAACTCTGAAAATGGAATACGAAAGGTGGATTCTTGAGGAGGACATATTGGACTTTGAGTTTGACGGTAGAGGATACCGTCGCCAACTAGTGGTCTGGAGTGTGCAACGCTTCAGATTCGAACGGGAAGCGGAAGTTTATAAGCGGTTGTGATGTATCGGAAAAAATAGTTCTGGGATTTACAAAATGCTAAATAAAACAAGACAGGAACGGTTTTTCTTCACGAAACTTTTTTTGGAACGTCATTGAACAGCGCTGACGACCCGGTGAGTAGCATATTTTAAAAAAAGAACGTTTAAGGTTGTTTTAAGGACATTATCGGACATGCACTATGGAAGCCATTCTGAAGCAGCCAGGGGGGGATTCTGCATGAGCCAAATAGCAGAGACAGGACCAATCGTCAAAATTTTGGTGTCGATCATTCGATTTCATCCTGGACACTACAGAAAATGGGCTAAAAGTGTTAAAAACCGGAATTCTCCTTTAATCAGTTTAATGCGTTAATCAGTAAAAAATTTATAATTTTTGTTTTGCGATCTCTGAGTCTAGGAACGGCCATTTTTGCCCAGATATAGTAACCCCTCCCTCCTGCCATCTTCCAGCAGTGACGTCACGGTGCGGTAAGCCTAGCGCCATTCTCCCCGCTTTACAAGCTAAATCAATGGGAACTACTAGACACATCTGCAATCAACAACAATTATTGAAGATTTCCAGAGGACTTCACCATTGAAATTCACCAGAGCTATAGTGAAACTGACAATGCCCACGTGCATGGCAGCTGGATGCTGGAATACATCGGGGAAAAGTGAATAAAAGAGTTATTCCACCTTTCTGATTCCTGATCCTCCACGGACGGGTTGGTCGTTGGATCGCCTACTTGAAGAGGGAGGATTTGCCATCGAACTTCTGGCCAGAGAAAAAACCCGTAATATGTAGCCAACATTTGGAAGAAGAATGTTTTCAAGATGACTTGGATAATAGCGCGTTGTGACAAACACCAGATACAGCACTGGGACTTGATCAACAGTCGATACCGCACCGTGACGTCACTAACCAGTAGGTGGCAGTAGTGTTCTTTGACAAACATGGATGCCTCCAGTAAAGCACATTCACATGAAAATTACTCTGAATTAAAAACATTTATTGAACAGTATGTAATAATTTTATATTTAAAGAACTTTCAGAAGTTTGAATTCTGAATATGAGCGGACTTTTCCTTCATTGACCCCCATTCTAAAGGGATGGAAGCGTTCGTCTGGTTCTATTTGCATGTTTTCTATACAAAAACAAGGCTTTGTTGGGCTGCTGTATAAAGCCTGGAACTCAACGCTATTTCTGACATTTGAGTAGAAAAAGCTTCCTGGATGGGAAGCAAAACGTCTTTAAACTTGGAAACAAAGTCCAGTGGATTGTTTATTTACTTTTTTGGAGACATTTTCACACATTGCCAAAGTGTATTGATACTGTCTCACAAAATACTGACACCTGCTGGACATTTAAATACACTACAGGCAGTTTATCAGACAGACTAAACTGAATTCATTTGATGACCTATTAATGATATAATTGAAGTTTTTGTAAGTAAATTGAAAACTTTATATTTTTAGCTGTAGCCAATAAATAATGCAAACGTACAGGTGCTGGTCATAAAATTAGAATATCATGAAAAAGTAGATTGATTTCAGTAATTCCATTTAAAAAGTGAAACTTGTATATTATATTCATACATTACATACAAACTCATATATTTCAGATGTTTATTTTGTTTAATTTTGATGATTACAAATGACAACAAATGAAAATCTCAAATTCATCATATCAGAAAATTAGAATATTGTGAAAAGGTTCAAAATTGATGGCCCCTGGTGCCACACTCTAATCAGCTAATTAACTCAAACCACCTGCAAAAGCCTTTAAATGGTCTTTCAGTCTAGTTCTATAGGCTACACAATCATGGGGAAGACTGCTGACTTGACAGTTGTCCAAAAGACGACCATCGACACCTTGCACAAGGAGGGCAAGACACAAAAGGTCATCGCTAAAGAGGCTGGCTGTTCACAGAGCTCAGTGTCCAAGCACATTAATAGAGAGGCGAAGGGAAGGAAAAGATGTGGTCGAAAAAAGTGTACAAGCAAGAGAGATAACCGCACCCTGGAGAGGATTGTGAAACAAAACCCATTCAAAAATGTGGGGGAGATTCACAAAGAGTGGACTGCAGCTGGAGTGAGTGCTTCAAGAACCACCACACACAGACGTATGAAAGACATGGGTTTCTGCTGTCGCATTCCTTGTGTCAAGCCACTCTTGAACCACAGACAGCGTCAGAAGCGTCTTGCCTGGGCTAAAGAGAAACAGGACTGGACTGCTGGTGAGTGGTCCAAAGTCATGTTCTCTGATGAAAGTAAATTTTGCATTTCCTTTGGAAATCAAGGTCCCAGAGTCTGGAGGAAAAGAAGAGAGGCACTTCATCCACGTTGCTTGAAGTCCAGTGTAAAGTTTCCACAGTCAGTGATGGTTTGGGGTGCCATGTCATCTGCTGGTGTTGGTCCATTGTGTTTTCTGAGGTCCAGGGTCAACGCAGCCACATACCAGGAAGTTTTAGAGCACTTCATGCTTCCTGCAGCTGACCAACTTTTTGGAGATGCAGATTTCATTTTCCAACAGGACTTGGCACCTGCACACAGTGCCAAAGCTACCAGTACCTGGTTGAAGGACCATGGTATCCCTGTTCTTAATTGGCCAGCAAACTCTCCTGACCTTAACCCCATAGAAAATCTATGGGGTATTGTGAAGAAGAAGATGCAATACACCAGACCCAACAATTCAGAAGAGCTAAAAGCCACTATTAGAGCAACCTGGGCTATCATAACACCTGAGCAGTGCCACAGACTGATCGACTCCATGCCACGCCGCATTGCTGCAGTAATACAGGCCAAAGGAGGCCCAACTAAATACTGAGTGCTGTACATGCTCATACTTTTCAGTTGGCCAACATTTCTATAAATCCTTTGTTTTTATTGGTCTTCAGTAATATTCTAATTTTCTGATATGATGAATTTGAGATTTTCATTTGTTGTCATTTGTAATCATCAAAATTAAACAAAATAAACATCTGAAATATATGAGTTTGTATGTAATGTATGAATATAATATACAAGTTTCACTTTTTAAATGGAATTACTGAAATCAATCTACTTTTTCATGATATTCTAATTTTATGACCAGCACCTGTATATCATAACGTGAAAATTTAGGGGAAAATGTGATGGTGGATGCTGGTGGACTAGGATTTTAAATCATTTTTAAAACAATAAGTACAGTAAAAAAGTGATAACTGAGAGGAAAAGGATGACAGCGATAAAATTAAAATAAAAACACAACGGCTGAAACGTTCCTATTCCTTTTAGGCTGCCCCAAAATGATGTTTCAGCAGAAGAGCTCCAGGTGTGAGAACCAAGAAAAGGGAATCAACAAATGCCTCAGCTAGTTTTATTTTAATTCTACAACATAATGCTCTGAAAAGTCAAATCCAACAAAAACAAATATCCAGAGTGAACAAGGAGCACTTGTTACAGGAAGTTGCTATGTACAGCTACAGACTCCTCTGACAGACGGAAGGTTCAAAGTGCTTAAACACAGAGGAGGAGAACGGAGGAGAAGCGAACTGCTTGGCACCAGAGTCCTGCTCACTCCCACAGGGCCAGAGGTTCCTAAGCCGCTGCAGCTGGAAGGATGAAGATCGACAGACCGGGGAAAAAAAACAAAGTGATGCTTCTCGCCCTCCCGCTACCAGCTCCTCCGTTTCCAGGCGCAGCTGATCTGTGGCAGTGTCAACTTGATGTGCAATAATACTCAAATTATAGACGATTCACATTCATGGATTGATGATGTTTGTGCGGAGGGGAGGAGACGGGATGCTGCTGCCAGAAACATCCGCTTTAATGTGAATAATTTGGAATGAATCAGACTGATTATCTCGTATTCCAACACAAAGGCGGACCGCTCCAAACTGGACCTGATGTTCAGTCTGGTTTCCATGGCGAGGGCTCGCCGTCTTGTCGTGTGGATTTTTAAAACCCCAAAATGTGGCCATCTCCTCCCTGAGGACACAGATCGATTATCAAGCCAGCTAGTGGCACCGTGAGGCGTTCAGGGTCGGAGTGAACGTGCCGCCATCGCCTGACCAGTATGATGAAGACGTAGAAATATGGCAGTCTGACACAACAATATGTCGATCTAGGCTGTGAAGTCTATACCTTTCCATCTTCATTCAGCAGAGAGGAGAAATCGGAACGATGGCGTCAAACCAAGGCCGTGGATGATGAAGTCGCTGGGCGCCGGCGGCCCGAGCAGAGGTAGAGTCTGAGATGGTTCCTATGGAATCGCCCTCTTGGACTTTGGGTTCAGCCTGTTTGTTTTGGACCAAAAGTCTTGATTATCCTGCAGCAATTGAACTATCCGGGTTCTTAACAGCAATTGAACAACTCTTTAATAAATAACCTCCAAATAATAAATGCATTTAAAGGATTGAACCACTGCAGCATCAGAGCAGGACAACCAGCTTTTCTATTTTAAAAAACAAACAACCTGTTTCTCTTCAGACAGGATGCAAAATATAGGATTTTATCTGCAGTATTAACAAAAGAGAAGAGAAATAAAAAAGAAAGGTGACTAATTAAATGAGCCACTATTCAGCAATTCTATACAGGTTTCTCCAATTCTATAGTATCTGAATATATTATATCATTCATTTATTTTACAAACACAGAGTCTGAGTGTGTGTCTGAAAGGAGGTCATTGAACTGGTGCGCCTGAGTGAAGCTTGGCGGACCTTTTTTTATGTTCAGGTGAGATTTACAGATGCTGTTGATTCTAGAGGGTTTGGTTCTGGAATCAGCAGGAAGTGAATCAGCAGCCCTTTCTACACGGAACCGCAGGATGAACCGCCACCGCCTACAGACCGGATCGTCTCCAGTCCAGTTTGGTTGTTTTTTACCGTCAGTTGGTACCAACTGGAGCAGCAGATGTAGAAACCCGGTGTTCAGTCAGACCAGCATAAGGTTAGTCAATACGCATCCGCAAGCAACAGAATTGCCTTTATCTCTTTTATTTCGTATGGAAAATAGACTTTAAACTACCTCCATGGGCGTGTATCCCTTTAGTCATAAAAAAAAAAAACTCTATTTAAGGTCAGATCACCATACGCTTTAAAATACACAAAAAATAAGTAATTAAATTGTTTTTTTGTACATGACTAAAGGGATAATGGGATACACGCCCCTTAAGGTGGTTTAAAGTAAAACTAAAGGGATAAACTAAGGAGATAAATTAAAGAGATAAACTAAAGAGATAAACTAAAGAGATAAACTAAAGGGATAAACTAAAGAGAAACTAAAGAGATAAACTAAAGGGATAAACTAAAGAGAAACTAGAGATAAACTAAGGGGATAAACTAAAGAGATAAACTAAAGGGATAAACTAAGGGGATAAACTAAAGAGATAAACTAAAGGGATAAACTAAAGGGATAAACTAAAGAGAAACTAGAGATAAACTAAGGGGATAAACTAAAGAGATAAACTAAGGGGATAAACTAAAGAGATAAACTAAAGGGATAAACTAAGGGGATAAACTAAAGAGATAAACTAAAGGGATAAACTAAAGGGATAAACTAAAGAGAAACTAGAGATAAACTAAGGGGATAAACTAAAGAGATAAACTAAGGGGATAAACTAAAGAGATAAACTAAGGGGATAAACTAAAGACAAACTAAAGAGATAAACTAAAGAGATAAACTAAAGAGATAAAGTAAGGGGATAAACTAAAGACATAAACTAAAGGGATAAACTAAGGGGATAAACTAAAGAGATAAACTAAAGGGATAAACTAAGGGGATAAACTAAGGGGATAAACTAAAGAGATAAACTAAAGGGATAAACTAAGGGGATAAACTAAAGACATAAACTAAAGGGATAAACTAAGGGGATAAACTAAAGAGATAAACTAAAGGGATAAACTAAGGGGATAAACTAAAGAGATAAACTAAAGGGATAAACTAAAGGGATAAACTAAAGAGAAACTAGAGATAAACTAAGGGGATAAACTAAAGAGATAAACTAAGGGGATAAACTAAAGAGATAAACTAAGGGGATAAACTAAAGACAAACTAAAGAGATAAACTAAAGAGATAAACTAAAGAGATAAAGTAAGGGGATAAACTAAAGACATAAACTAAAGGGATAAACTAAAGAGATAAAGTAAGAGGATAAACTAAAGACAAACTAAAGAGATAAACTAAAGAGATAAACTAAGGAGATCAACTAAAGAGATAAACTAAAGGGATAAAGTAAGGAGATAAACTAAGGAGATAAACTAGAGATAAACTAGAGATAAACTAAGGGGATAAACTAAAGAGATAAAGTAAGGGGATAAACTAAAGACATAAACTAAAGAGATAAACTAGAGAGATAAATCAAAGAGATAAACTTAAGGAATAAATTAAAGAGATAAACTAAAGACATAAACTAAAGAGATAAATTAGAGAGATAAATTAAAGAGATAAACTAAAGGAATAAACTAAAGAGATAAACTAAAGGGATAAACTAAAGAGATAAACTAAAGGGATAAAGTAAGGAGATAAACTAAGGAGATAAACTAAGGAGATAAACTAGAGATAAACTAAGGAGATAAACTAAGGAGATAAACTAAAGAGATAAACTAAAGAGATAAACTAAAGAGATAAACTAAGGAGATAAACTAAGGAGATAAACTAAAGAGATAAACTAAGGAGATAAACTAAGGAGATAAACTAGAGATAAACTAAGGAGATAAACTAGAGATAAACTAAGGAGATAAACTAAGGAGATAAACTAGAGATAAACTAAGAAGATAAACTAAAGAGATAAACTAGAGATAAACTAGGGAGATAAACTAAGGAGATAAACTAAGGAGATAAACTAGAGATAAACTAAGGAGATAAACTAAGGAGATAAACTAGAGATAAACTAGAGATAAACTAAGAAGATAAACTAAAGAGATAAACTAGAGATAAACTAAGGAGATAAACTAAAGAGATAAACTAAGGAGATAAACTAAAGAGATAAACTAAGGAGATAAACTAAAGAGATAAACTAAGGAGATAAACTAAGGGGATAAATGGGTACTGACTGTGGGTTTGCCTATCTGACAGAAAACCGGCTCAGATTTTAGGAGACGTGTGGATGCAATCAGAACCGGTAAAAAAAAAAAAAAACTGGTTCTAGCTCTTTAGGAAGCGGTAGGTCTGCTATGGGCCTAAACTCTCACATCTACTTAGAGCGAGGGAACTGCTTAGACGGCACCAAATGTCCAACAGAAGCAGAACCCTGACAGGTGAGGCCCTTGCTCTGACCTTCTGGTCGTCCCACGGTTCAGAGGGAAAAACTGTGTCTCCCTCTCATCTAGATCAATCTAAGATGCGACGCCTCTCCTCAGGTTGGAGGAGAGACACTGCGATGGATTAAACCGGTCAGGACTGCTTCTCTCGGCGTCAGCAGGTCCGTTCTCGCTCCTTACAGAGCAGCTCCATCCCTGCCGCCGTATGTGAGGGACTCTGCTGCTCACACACCCAGACCCAAACATTCAGAGTTCTCTCTGCTTTGCCCGCACGTTAGTCTAAATATTTACACTCCCCTCCCCCCACAGTTCATGGGACGTTCTGCGCAGCTCCCCCCCGCCGGCTCCTCGGCGTTCATCCGTCAGTCGCAGCTCGCCGTGATGCGTTTCTCCAGCTCATGGTCCAGAGGGGCGGAGCCGAGCTGGAGGCTGCTGTAGCAGTTCTTACAGACCCGGCTGGGCTCAAACAGCTGCTGACTTGGCACTGGGATCTTTTGGTCGCAACAGCTGGCACAGAACACGTTTCCGCAGTTCCTGCAGAGAGAGGGACAGGTCAGAGGGGGGCGCTGCAACATCTAATATGAGCTCACAGTGAAAACATCAACCGCTCCCACAATCCTTCACTTCAGCTCAGCTCTGATGTGAGGAAGAGAGCAGGATCTCAGCTGAGGAGGTCAAACACAAACCAAACCATTAGTGGGTCGTTTTCCGCTCCGCCTGATCGGCTTCATGCAGAAACTCAAAGAGACGATTATTCCTCCGATCATTGAACTCATCCTGGGTCAAACCCCCCCCCCCCCCAACCAAACTCTTCAGAGGTCTGAAGGTTCAGTGTAGCTACCAGATCAGCTCAGGTCCTGCTTCCTGCCAGTAACGTTACACTATATGATTGGCTGAACGTCGCCACATGATAGTGGTTGCCCAGACAACGATAATAAAAATCACGCAGCATCCGTACGCCGAGTCAGGAGCACCTGTAGCGTTAGTGAATCTGATGACCGATGAAGTTTTACCTGATCGATAACAAAACTGAAAAAAAATCTGTTTCTGGTACAAAGTAACTGTTAGCGCTGTGGCTAGCTGTGATCAGTAGCTAACAGGTTAGCCTATTTTAGCTCGGTCAGTTAGCCATATTAAGCTACACTACTTCTGAATTTGTAACACCAATAACCGTTCATTTTCTACAAGCAGAATAACTGTTTTCTTTGTTTAAAATCTGTGTGAAAGTCATTCTTTACAATGTTCAATTTGTCCTCCTCTGCCTTCAGATCTTAAAGGAATAGTACACCCAAAACATGATTAGCCTTCATTTTCTACTCACCCCCATGCTGAACAACACTCTGGAGTACTTCTTTGATATCTCAAATGCATCTGGAGATCTGGGAGGCTTCTTGCTGTCTGCTGACATTCAAATAATGGAGGTCTATGGTGACCGAGACAGAAAGGTCCATAAAAGTCCACAAAAAACGTGTCAATATTCCTCCATACTGCTCGTCCAATGTATTCCAAGTGTCCTGAGTGGGTAGCGTCCAGAATTTACTCGAAACGAAGTCATTTAGAATGTTTTTAGAGCATAAACAGTAGTGTATAGGATTTCCTGAAAGCGCGTTCATGAGTCTACGGAAACCGCGGCAGACCAAACCAGATGAAAGTGCGCATTCAGCGTCTGCTCTGCCGATAATGCAAGCGTAGAAGAAGAAATGTGCTGTTTACCTGTGCAAAGAAAGAAACAACGAAAGAAAAATGTCTGAGGACTTCAGTGTTGAGGAAGAGCATGAGTTCTTTGCCGAGCTGAATGCGCACTTTCGTCTGGTTTGGTCTGCCGCGGTTTCCGTAGAGTCGTGAACGCGCTTTTAGGAAATCCTATACACTACTGTTTATGCTCTAAAAACATTCTAAATGACTTCGTTTCGAGTAAATTCTGGATGCTACCCACTCAGGACACTTGGAATACATTGGACGAGCAGTATGGAGGAATATTGACACGTTTTTTGTGGACTTTTATGGACCTTTCTGCCTCGGGCGCCATAGACCTCCATTATTTGAATGTCAGCAGACAGCAAGAAGCCTCCCAGATCTCCAGATGCATTTGAGATATCAAAAAAGTACTCCAGAGTGTTGTTCAGCATGGGGGTGAGTAGAAAATGAAGGCTAATCATGTTTTGGGTGTACTATTCCTTTAATTAAAAGAATAAAAATAAGCAGAGTCTGGGTTTTTTCTCACCTTGTTAAATGGCAGAGCTCAGTCTGTCTTAAAAGGCAGTATTTTCCTTCAGGACTGAATGATTGTTTTCTACTTTCGGCTACTTTAGATCACCAATAATAGGAAATCCTTAAGAAACAGGAGCAATGCAGTTTGTTCGAGTGGAGTTGCCATATTTTGATGTCATAAGAAGGGGCGGGGCCCCGAGCAGATCTGGTATCTACAGCGGACAAGTGGAAGAAACTGGGAGAAAAACATGGAAGTGCTGGAAAAACAGCGCCATCCAGAAGATACTTCCAGCCCTGACTGCAGCTTCCTGCTTTTTTCTCATTATAGAGGCTGAAACCATTTAAATTGTCCACCTTAAAGCCCTCTGTTTCCCTGTTTTCAGCTCTCAGAGCCATCTTACCTGAGCTCCTTCTGTAAATAGTCAGACAGTCGCCAGAAAAAGGTTCAGAAGTGTTCTTCTGACCTCTACTTTTAGATTTCTCTAAAGGGAAACGGGTTAAACTCTACGATTCAGACATCGACACAAACCGGATGTTGGTCTCAAAGACGTGATCCGTTTGTCTCTAGTGAAAGTGGTGTCTCTCTGGTGATAAAATAAGACAGAAGTCCACAGTCTGGTCGCCATGCTCACATTCAGATGGAAGGCCATGCTAACACGCTAACACACACACAGTGCTGCACTCCTTCCCTCCTCTACTGAACCCCAGCAAAATGAAACTAACACTGAGAACCCAGTGAGCGGAGCAGCTCTGATGTCATGCTGGGGGTGAGGGGTGAAGGGGGGGCGGGGGTAAGCGTGGGGGCAGCATGCCGCCAGGGTGCTATGGTGGGTTGAGGCTGAGGCAGACTGCAGACCGAGCAAATCAGTGTCTGTCATGAACTTAACTGTCAGCCTTCGACCAATCACAGCTGGCCTGTTGACCACACCATGCGTTAGTTCAGCCAATCAGAACACTCAGTGGGTCCCTGCGGAGCTACTGATCAGCACCAGTGAACAGAAACACACCAGGTGAGGGGAGGGGGGGTGGGGCTGCATTAGGAGGGGAGGGGTGGGGGTGGTGCGAGGGGGCGGGATCTCACCAGACCTCCTGGACAGCCTCGGGGCCACTGTAGCAGAAGAGGGGCAGACAACGGATCAGAACCGCCTGAGCAGAGGAGAACATGTGAGCAGCACACAGACTTCCTGTTTGGGCCGACAGATCAGAGGTTCATCTGTCCCAACTCACAACCAGGAAAGGATTTCAACCTCCCCTAACACTGAACACCATCAGAGGACATGTCACTCCAACAAACAAACGGTCACCATGGAAACGAGCCATTTAAGTCCAACAGGGGGCACCAATGCGCTCTGACAGCAATAAGATGTTCTACAGCAGATCGCTGGAAGGTGGTGAGACGGTGAAATGAAAGATGCTCCAGCAGAGAGAGCTGATCAGTCACTAGGTTTACCTCTGGACTTTGACTAGGCCAGAGTCAGGTCTGTAACCTGCAGCTCTCTGAACCTTCCAGGACGGCTCTGAATGACTCTGGCTAAAAACGACAACTAAACTAACAGTTTTTGAACATAGAGATCAACAAATAGATCAGGGGTCTTCAACGTCTTCCAGGGCATAGACCTTCAAACTGATGGCGAGATGGAGCGGGGACCTCCTAATTATATATATTGTATGAAATAGTGTTCAGTGTATCAAACTGGTCCTATAGTCACTCTATTACAAATGGAGTAATCAGAGGTGTAAAGTAACAAAATACATTTACTGAAGTTACTGTATTGAGTAGGTTTTTTTGTGTATTTTTTATTTTTCAAGTAGTTTTTAAAATCGAGAATTAAAATTTTACTTGATTACGTTTTGAGTAAAGTACTGTATTTCGTTACATTACAAATCCCATCCGTTACTGAGTAACTTTGGAAAACCGAAAGGAAGACAAAAAATCGGGCCCGGAAGCACTACAGCGAGTGACGTGATCAGCATGTAGATCTAGGCTACCAGGCGCCAAGTCTTTCTGTAGGAGATTGGGAACGAGATGGAGGTGGATCAGGAGAGCGACGACGGTTCAGAGAACATTTTACTAGAAGTGCTAGCTGAAACATCGAATTCTGCTGCCCAAAACCCCGAAAATCCTCGGCCACATTCGAAAGACTGCTTTTCATTTAAATTCAAGAGGGCTAACAGTATCATCACGCAAGGATGAGCGCAACAAACTGCGAAAATCAACTGCTGCTCAAACTTAACAAGAAGTTTGTAGAATAAACCTCTTAAAGGAGAAATCCGGCGAGTTTTCACATAGATTTCCGTTTCTCGAGGTTACGAGTACCGCTGGTATCCCCGCCCTCCCCCCGAAAACAACCGGTTTCACCTAGCTTGAGTTGCTACGGCCAGCAGCTAACGCAGCCTGGCAGCTACAGCGCTACACTTTGGGTGTATGAACATGATGGAGGCTCATGAACACGCCCCTAGAGTGACTGTAGATGCCTGGCTGTGTTAGCTGCTGACCGTAGCAACTCAAGCTAGGTGAAACCGGTTGTTTTCAGTTTTTTTTTTTTCTCCAATACCGAGAAACAGATCTATGTGAAAACTCACTGGATTTCTCCTTTAAGGTGGACATATACAATGGGGGAGTGTCATTTATAGTTTTTTAGTTAGAAGTTTTTTTGACGTGTTTTATCATTAGACATTAAACGCCCAGCCTGCCATCAGAGTGTTGCCCTATTTTGCTTTTATTTTTCTGAAATGTCGCTGACACTGAGATTTTAGTTCTATTTTGGTTATTTATGGAGTCAAAACACGTGATTTAGCCTTGATTTGCATTATAACTGTTTATGTTAAAAGAAGGATGGCTATAGCTACGTTTACATGCGCAAAATTTCCCCGATCCGATCCAAACCTTGGTTGATCGGAAATTCAAAATCTCCGTTTACATGGACACTAAATGAAATGATCCGATCATGACGTGTGTATACATGTACCAAGCGTTGGATCAGATTAAATCTTTTAAGCATGCGCAGAACTTCCTGCCAAACTTGGCAGTTCTGTCTGCGTCTGGTTTTTGGGAGGCCTGACAAACGATGCGCTCGGAGCGAGCGGAAAGAAAAAAGGAGAGAGGAGGAAAAAAGCGCTTGGCAGCGAAATGTCCGAGAGAAAATGTAGAGAATGAGCGATTGAACCGGCGTGGGAGAGCGAGTGGGCTGTGGAGAGAGAAAAGAGGAAGAGGAGGAGGATAAATTCCTGCTTCCTGCAGCTTTAAATGAACTTGAGTGTATAAGTCGGCGTTCCTAGACTCCCCCCGCATGTTGTTCACAACAAGAGCGAGAGCGACCGGTGGTTTCCTGTTGTTGACAAGGCGGAAAAACGTCACGCTGACGTCGCACACATGCGCAGTGAAGATTATTTTACTCTTTAGATCCGAATGGGCGTTTACATGGACGCCAATCAGAATGGCGATCGGCAAAAACCACCTCTCTCTTTCGGAATGAAATTTAGATCCGATCGGACCGAATCGGATTAGAATCTTCAGTCTGGCATGTTTACATGAAACATTTTTGATCTGATCAGGCCTTCAATCCGATTATTTGTGTCCATGTAAACGTAGCTAATCAGAATTAACAATTCATGGCAATTCCACTTTCAATTGATGTGGAAACATTGAAAACATTTTATGGGATGTTCTGCACTAAAGTGGCACATTATACATTTCTAAGGGTCTTAAATGTCATGTGTGGCGTGTTTTATGTTGCTATTGCATTTGTATAGTGCTTATTAATAACTGTTGTTAATGATTGAAGAAAAGAAGGACGGCCCTCAGAACCGAGAATTCATGGCACTTTTACCTTCAATTGATTGTTTGAAAACGTTTTATGGGATGTTCTGCACTAAAATGGCACATTATACCTTTCTAAGGGTCTTAAATGTCATGTGTGACGTGTGTTATCTTGTCATTACATGTTTATACATTTGTATAGATTTATTGTTTAATTAAAGACTAAATAGTTTTGGATTTATGACTCCTTGTCCTATTTTCACTACATGGGAGAGATCCCCTGCCCCGTTCAACTGTTTTTTTTTTTTTTTTTTTATGTAACTAAGTAACTTTTACTTAAAATACATTTTAAATTAGCTACTTATTACTTTTACTTGAGTATGATATTTTAGTACTTTTTCCACCTCTGGGAATAATGTAACTAAAGTAATTTCTCCCTGGGATTATTAAAGTATTTCTGATTCCTGGTTGATGGGACAGGTGTTGTGAATGAAACAGTGTCCAGCTTGAAAGAGCTCCTGTGTGTCGCTGAATGTGAGCATTAATGACTGAAAGACATCTTCTGCCTCCATTTATCTGTTTACTACAGTCTGTTGAATTCATGTTAATGTGGATTTAAAGACATTTAATTAGTGGAAAAAAATTGCACTAATTGAAAAGTACCTCTGTGGACCCCTAGGGGTCGCGGACCCCCTTTAGAAGACCTCAGCACTATGCTATGAGGGAGTTAAAGTCCCAATAAGAAGCCAAATCTGAGGAAGTGGAATACGGCCTGCCGTGTAGACCTCCCCCTGGTCAGGACTTCCAGAGGTTTTATAATGAGACGAAGCTTTTAGAGCGACGTCAAAAAACTCTAGAGGTGGAGTAGGCGCTCTCACTGCGCTGATGGGTAATTTGGTTCCTGCACGGATGGAAAACTTCAGAGACGAGTGTTGGACCAGCCTCCACTCACCTGCAGTGGTGTTTCCGTGTGGCCAGCCAGAACCTGCTCTCACAGCCGTAACACTGGGCTGCCAAATGATCAGGGTACCAGCGAGTCACCTGCATGAAGCATACAAAGCCATTCCTAGTTCCCATCTACTGAGCTGTGCACCAATCAAATCCGGGACCCGCCCTCTGGTTCCTCCGTTCTCTGTAAACACCCTCATCGACTCGCCGTCTTACCTCCGTGTCCTGCTTGTCCACCTGCTCCCAGCTGGCTTCAGAGAAGAGCTCAGTGCTGCAGCGAGACAAACAGTTTGGGTCCAGGTTGAACTCTGAGTCGGTCATTGAGGTCTGCGTAGAGAGAGAGCTTCGTTACAGACGGACTGGAACAGCAGCAGCAGCAGCAGGCGTTAAAGAGAAAAGAGGATCTCACCATCTCATCTCCCACGTCTCCGTTGATCCTGTGAGAGCCGCCATGTTGCTGACTCTCCAGGCGACTCCACAGCTCCTGCACCTGCTTCTTCAGCGTCTCCACCTCCATCTGGTGTCCCGCCTCGATCTGCCTCAGCCTCTGCTGGATGGCGTCCGTGTGCAGCGTCAGCCCGTCGTCATCCAGGTGGCTGCGGGCCGGCTGCTCCGGGCTGACGGGGGCTCGGCCCAGCAGGGCGTGGCACCAGCGGTGCTGGGAGCAGCTGCCTCGGGGGTGGAGGATCAGAGAGTTGCAGCTCGCCAGCGATACCTGTCGGCTTAGAGGGGCCCGTTCGCCGCTTCCTTTGGACCAGTGCGGCGCCGCGTTGGGGTCTCCGTCGGAGCCGTCCCCGTTACATAACTCCTCCCTGCTCGGCTCAGCACCTGCAGACTGAAAGGCACTGATTGAGGCGTGCTTTGTGGCCCCGTTCAAAGTTCTGCTGAAGCCAAGCTCCGCCGCCTCCTTGTCCGTCCTGAAGCCAGGATGCTGCTTCCTGTCGTCGCTGTGTGGCTGACCGTTCGCAGAAACGCTTTGCTGTCCTGGAAGCAGCGGTTTGCTGCAGGCTTCTTCCGTTAGAGTCTCTGTGGAGCTCTCCATCAGAGACGCCCTCTTCTCCACCTGCTCCTCCAGTTCTGAGCTACCGCGCTCGGGTTCAGGAGCGCTTTCATCCTCCTGCTCGGGTGACCCCTCCATGAAGCCGTTAGGAACAGTTCTATGAGCCGCAGGCGGCTCCTGCTCCACGTCGCCCTCTGGTGTTTCGGGTCTGTCCATCGGCGGCGGATGGAGCTCCTCCTCCTTCTGGGAAGAATCGCCATCCTCCTCAGCCTCCGTCACCCCATTTTCAGGACGGTGACCATTTGCGAAGGCTTCTCTCTGCATGTTGGTTCCGTTATCCTCCATCGGCTCCCCGTTCCCCTCTGGTCCAGCAGCAGGTCTCTGGGAATCTGCTCCAGATTCCTCTGTGGCTTCCTGAAGGATGTTCTCCATCTGTCCCTCAGCCACACCCACCACCACAGATAGCTCCGCCTCCTCCGCCTCGCCTCCCGCTGGCCTTAGAGGCTCGTCCTTTCGGGTTGCGGCCCGCGGGCCGTCAGCAGGACTCTGCCCCTCTGCGTTGGGCTGGGGCTCTTGGTTCCCCCCTCCCTCAGGACCCACTGCCATGTTGAGGTCCAGGGAGCGCCGGTGGTCCTGCCACTTCTCGTTGAGGCTCGGGTCGCTGGAGCGGCGGTTGGGAGCCAGGGCGCTGCCCAGCTCACAGGCGCTGGGCAGGTTGTCAAAAGAGCGAGTTTTTGTTCGTCTGAAGAGGAAATGGAAGAAATGTTTCAGCAGGAAACAACGTTAAACCCTCAGCGTTTACAATCTGATCACATGAGAGGATAAAAGGAGCAGAGACCGTCCCTAAAACGGACCCTGACCCGTTTCAATGTTATTCATGAGGCTAAAGCGCCTTGCAGAAGTTTAATCGCCATCTTTTCCTCTTTCAGCAAGGGCTGGGCGATATAGAGAAAATCTAATATCATGACACAGGGTTCCTACAGCATTAGGCAAGTTAAATTCCAGACTTTTTAAGACGTTTTAATGCCACTTGAAATAAAAATTTAAGACCAACTTCACAAGAAACACAAGAAAAACCTGCTTGCTCCAACTTAACCCAAAGGTTTATTTTAACATAAACCACTGCACTAATGTTTTACATTTTGAAAAGCTTCCCATACAGGAAGAAAGCTAAAAACACACAAATGACAGATATATTTGAACAATTATTTAACTGAATTCACAAACTTTGTTTTAGCAGGGAACAAAACAAATCAGTTTTAAAGCCCCAACATAACCAGTGCTAAGTCTTTTTTGCAGCTATTTTTCTTTGTATGGTTTTCTTAGTATGTTTGATTTGGTGATAAGTGGAGGCGTTGCAGAGACAAGGGTGGAACTAAACTGAGAAATACCGGCTGTTTCTCTGTAACTCCATTTTGACGCTTTGTGTTTCGTGCTTCGCATGTGCGACTCCACTGCCTTAATTCCCATCGTTCTGAGCTTGAATGACTTCTTGCACTAAATCCACTGAGCCTCATGTATGTTCCCTGGTTTTAGCCATGGAGGAAACTCTTGGCTGGAGACAATTTTGGTTACATTTACACTTGCTCATATTTTCCAGACAAAAAGTTAATGGCGCATCTCCCAAATGTCCCGGCCGCAACAACGCTTTATTGGTTCCGCTATCGGGACGGAACCAATGATGGCGAGTCGTTATTTTTTTTAAATGAAAAAAAAAATTTGTCAATTATAATGTTTTATTTAGATTACAAAAATAAATCACAATAAAGATATTCATATTTATGAAGTTTTAAAAATTAAGACCTACGAAAGACTGATTTAAGACATTTTAATACCAATTAAGGCCTTAATTTTATTTTGAAGAATTCAAAGACTTTTAAGGCTTTTTAAGGACCCGCGGTAACCCTGTGACATATTTGGGCTATATTGCAATGCACGATATGTTTAAATTACCTTCAAAAACACTGATATACTCATTCAAACTTTTGGTTTCAAATTTAATTTAATTTAACTTGCTCAAAGCTTTTCTCTAATAATTCTGCCACATTCTGTCTTTGGGTGTCAGTATTAGACCTTTAACAAGATCCCAGCAACAAAACAGGAAACAAAGCAAAAAACAAGCAATACTAAATAAAATGCTAAATATATAAGGGCTCTTTTGTGAATTCAAAAAAAAAAAAAGAAAAAGCAGAATGAATAAATAAACTGAGCTCAAATTATGAAAGCAAAAGTCAAAATACCTTCCAAAAATTAGCTCATTATCAGAGCGTCTCCAAACTATCTGCATTCATCTTTACTTGCTCTAAAAGTTCAATGCAAAACATGTAAAATTGAGAACATCGCCATCTTTAGAAAACGGCTGCAAAACCTCTGAACGTCACATCACAGGTGTTAGAGCATCTAAAAAACATTTAAATCACATTTTAAATAGCGTCTGTGATTTCCCTCCATCCCTGTTTCTCTCACATGGGGGCGCTTCTTCAAACGACGAAGCGGCTTCACAGCTGATTTATCGAACGTAATTGCTGTGCGGGGAGACGCTGACATGCAGAGTTTATTAAACATTCCTCATTTTGCAGCCGATGTTAAGTGGTGGAATACATTTCTACTGCTATCTTTAGTAGCAAAGGTTTTTGCGGGACGTCTTACAAATGGGCTCCTTTTGTTCGACGTCCTCGGCGTGAAATCCGTATATCGTTCAGCTGAAACACCTGCTGTCGCCATATTTCGTTTGCCGGTTTCTGTAGCGTCCGTGCACGCTGAGCAGAACGTAATCGTGTTCAGAGGAGGGGTTTATGATGCATTCAAACTGTGTGGGAAAAATAAAACTTTTGCAAATGGCTGCGTCATTTTAACGTGCCTAGGAAAACTCTAGATACATTGAGCATATTCAATATATCGCCCACCTTTACTTTTAGCCACAAACTTCTTCTGTGATAAACAAACTTTGTAATCTGGATAGATGGTGGGAAAACCTTTGCAAGGCTCTGTGTGCCCGCTGGGCGACCTGCAGCGAGGCCTGGATAGTGCGTTCAAAGAGGGTCGCTAAGCCCGGACCCTCTGGCTGTTCAATCAGCGGTTTGTGTTTATCTTACATGGAGCAGGAAGAGGGAGGGGCTCGGGTGCCAATGCGCCAGGCTCACCTGCCCAGGGGCGCATCCTCCGGGTTGGCACCGGGGACGGGGTAGGGAGCGCAGGAGTCATCAGAGGGGGTGGTGGGGGAGGAGCTGGGCAGGTACACCGCCGTCCACAGCATCAGGTTCCGAACGTGACACACCGGGTGGAGAACCTGCGGAGAACAAGCCGACTAAATGGGAGGAAAGCAGAACTCTGAGAAGCTGTCAGAGTGTCGTTCTCCAACTTTCTAAATGAGGAGTTTCACCACCAAAAAAAACAGCAAAGGGAAACGACAGGAACCACAACAATGCAACACTGGGAACGCTGTGAGAGGGAGGCTAATCAAGGCTGAGAGAAAAACTGTTCACAATAAATCTCTAAATGCGTGATGGACTCATCCCGTCTGTGGCTCCAAACTGTAAACATTTCTTTGTCTTTTCAGGCTTTCAAGGAAAAGTTCGCTCAGATTCAGAATTCAAACTTCTGAAATTTTTTATTGGACGCATCCATGTTTGTCAAAGAACACTACTGCCACCTACTGGTTAGTGACGTCACGGTGCGGTATCGGCTGTTGATCAAGTCCCAGTGCTGTATCTGGTGTTTATCACAACGAGCTATTATCCAAGTCGCTGAGGAAGATTCTCAGTCATCCAGGTCGTAGTCATTCTGTAAAAGTTTAGAAAAAACGATCCACTGGACTTGGTTTTCAAGGTTTGAAGACGTTTCGCTTCCCCTCCAGGAAGCTTTCTCAGTTCAAATGTCTGGATCCGCAGTGAGTTGAGGCTTTATATAGACAAGGCCTTGTATTGCTTGGAAACATGCATTTGGTCCCATTGTTGGCCTGTAATACCTGAAACCTGTCTATGATTTTTGGTTGATAAAGGAGGGATTGTTCACCTTGCTGAAGAGATTTGATACTTTGTTCCTCTGTGATGGGGTGGGGGTGTGATGATACCTGGAAGGGATCAACTCTATAACTGGATTGTAGGTTTTAGGAAGCTGGAATCTCAGTCCACCATCATACACCTTGTGGACAAAGGACATTCTTTTGAGGACCTGAATGTTCACATTTTGGATAAAGAAGATAGGTGGTTTGAGAGGGATGTGAAGGAAGCTATCTATGTTAAGAGAGAAAAACCAACTTTAAACAGAGGTGGTGGAACCCTTTAACGACAATCCCCCCCTTTAACGACCGACCTTCAGAATCATAGACAGGTTTCAGGTATTACAGGCTAACAATGGAACCAAACGACCCACTCATGGGTTCAATTTGCATGTTTGCCTTGTCTATATAAAGACTCAAACTCACTGCGGATTCAGACATTTGAATTGAGAAAGCTTCCTGGAGAGGAAGCGAAATGTGCTCAAACCTTGAAAACCAAGTCCAGTGGATCGTTTTTTTCTAAACTTTTACAGAATATTATCCAAGTCATCTTGAAAACATTCTTTTTCTAAATGTTGGCTACATATTACGGGTTTTTTCTCTGGCCAGAAGTTCGATGGCAAATCCTCCCTCTTCAAGTTTGCGATCCAACGACCAACCCGTCCGTGGAGGATCAGGAATCAGATAGGGGGAATAACTCTTTTTTTTCACTTTTCCCCGATGTATTCCAGCATCCAGCTGCCATGCACGTGGGCATTGTCAGTTTCACTATAGCTCTGGTGAATTTCAATGGTGAAGTCCTCTGGAAATCTTCAATAATTGTTGTTGATTGCAGATGTGTCTAGTAGTTCCCATTGATTTTGCTTGGAAAGCGGGGAGAATGGCGCTAGGCTTACCGCACCGTGACGTCACTGCTGGAAGATGGCAGGAGGGAGGGGTTACTATATTTGGGCAAAAATGGCCGCTCCCAGACTCAGAGATCGCCATGAAAATTATTGTTTTTATTTTTTTACTGATTAACGCTAAATTCGTTAAATCACCAGCAAACATATTAGTTTTAGGTATAGATATTGATTCATTGGTCATTTCCTGATGACCGGACTTCTCATTTAACCTGTTCATAGAGACACAGAGGCAGCAGGGCCCAGATGGCGGACGTACAGTTTCAGAGTGGGAGGAGTAGAGCATGTTCCTCAGCGTGCGGTTGGCCGGTCGAAGCAGCGACCACACGGAGCAGGTCCTCTCCTGAACGTGCCGGTCCTCCCTCTCCTTCCCGCTGTTGCACAGGAAGGTGCCGAACAGGCAGGAGTAGGTGTGCTGCACCAGCTTCACCTGCACACACAGACACGCACAGGCTCGTGTTCAAATCCGAGGAATGACAAGAGCAGAGATCTGAGGAGGCTCTGGAATCTGTCATTATCGGGGGAACTGGGAGAAGTGGGGTGAGACGCGAGAGCTGCTGAAGAGATTCAGACTAGAGGAGGAAGACATACCAGGAAGGCCTCGTTGAACTCAAAGGAGCAGGGGAACTGCCTCTGCAGCTGATGGACGCAGTCCAGCCACTGCAGGAAGACGGGGCAGCGCTCGTTCAGGTCCTCCGAGTTCTCCCCATGGCCGCAGCGGTCTGCAAACTTATGGCCAAAGTCCAGCCATTCAGTCTCCACCAGAACCTGGAAGCCCTGCAGAAACAAATGATAATTTTATCCTTTAAAAACAGCACGCTACCGAGGTTAGCATCGTCTGCGGTTATTCAGGCTTAGAAGGTAACATTTGATCAATCTCAGTTTTTATATCTGCTCACAAATCCAACATTTGGGGAGCTTATGGTCTAACACCTAAACACAGAGATAAGCTTCCTGTTCACACCTCATCAGAATGTCCCTGAGCATGACACTTCCTCCTCTGTGCCTCACAGTTCATGAGGTTGAATCCATTTTTATGCCAAAATTGTTATTCGGGTTCAGACTTGTCTGTCCAAACGGCACAACTTTACAAGTCATTATAGTTAGAGTGGCTCAGGTTATCCTGATCTTAGACTGCTAGAGGACATAGGGACCCCTTTTTCATCATTCTGCTTCATTCTATCTCTATTCTCCCACTCTGCAGAATCTATTAGTTCAATCTCTAACGTTCTGCTCTCTCTGCTTTTTCTCATAGTAGCTTCATCTGGTCTGTTCCTGTTTGGCTGTGACTCCATCCTGGAGAGAAATATCAGCTGTGCTGCTGCCATCAACACCTTTGTTTCTAGATGTTGGGGCTTGGCCTGTTTTCCAGTGTAGTCCTGTTTCTCTGACTGTGACTAACTGGATGTGCTCTCTTCATCCTCTGACATGGGAGCTGGCTCGGAGCTCGTCTGCCTGGCTGTGTGTTTCCTGGACGGGGCCGCCTGTGGAGCTGGTTGACAGTTGCCTTTTGTATCTATGCTTCTTTTTCTATGTCAAAAGTGCCCTGAGATGATGTGTGTTGTGAATTGGCGCTATAGAAATAAACTGAATAGAATTGAATCCCCCTTGTCTTTGTTTTCCAACTGAAATTTTTTGCTCATCTTTCATGTTAAATGTTTCTCTCCTGCTCACCTTCCATGAAAGCTAAACTGGTTTGGTCTCCTCCTAGTTGTACAGGTTTGAACTTTCATATCAACGTTTGTAAGAACCTGCTGTATGTCCTGTGATGAAATCTCAGGGTTCCTAAACATTTTCAAGCATCTTTTCTTTTCTTTTACCTTTATTTAACCAGGAAGTCCCACTAAGATAAAGATTAATTGTGCAAAGGAGGCAACATCCATGAAAAAAAACACATTTCATCACCCAATAAAACATCAATACTGAAATTAGAGTAACACGGCCGCTGCTCCACTGCTGAAGGTGGAAATGAGGACCTGGTTCTGTTAGGAATGCTTTCAATTCCTTCCCTTGACGACGGTTTCTGGTTTAGAGGAATGATCTTTAAATGACTCAGAGCTGCTTTAGTTTCCTTCGTGCAGCTCTTTGAATCTCACCTTAGGATTCACTTTTTACTTCAAAAGTATGCATTACGTTAAATGTGGAGATTTAAACTAATCTTAAAATCCTGTTTTCCCAGCCTGTATTTTTAAACATTTAGGGGAAAAAAAAGCAAATCCAGTTCAATTAAATAAACTATAGGATTTAATGTTCCTGAAGTGAAAACCAAATGTCCATATGACCAACATGACAGAAACACAGGCTTTAAAGCCGGGTTCTAAACTTTAATATTTCTACACATATGGAAGCCACAGAGGACGGAAACAGCTGATCTATTTTCAACACATTTTTACGAGGAATATAAACAAATAATCCAATTATGAGTAATATTGGATTAATGATTAATGAGGTAAAAATTTGTTCCATCCGATTAATGATGTAAAATACAAAAAATAAAAACCTTTTTCAAGTTGTAATGTTGGCGGTGTCCACTAGAGGGTGGAACCTAATGCTACGTTCACACCAAAGGCGATTTCAGCAGCAGAGAAGCGTCTGCTGCTTCATTTTTGATGCTCCTCCACATTAAGTTCAGAATTACATTTCAGATATTTAACATGTTTATTTTAGATAGGAGAAATACTATTAAAGATATCTGAAATATAAACAAATATATGTTAAAACGGCAACTTAAAATAAGTAAAGATTTGTAGATATCTGTAATGTAGTTCTTACCAGTACAAATTTGATTCCAGAATACTAAAAATGTAATTTCTACTTGTAGAAATGTAATCAGTGAAATCTAAAAAAAAAAAATCTGACAAGGAGTATTGTCATTGTGACTTGGTAGAATGCTTTAGTGTTATCTATAATAGAAATGTGAGTAGTCAGCCTGCCTATATTATGTTAAAACAAAGCCTCGTTATTCTTTTGCAAGTATCTAAAACTACATTTTAGATAGGCATCATTAAAATTAAGATATCTGTCATTCTAATTTAACTACTCACAAAATAAGTAGTTGATATCTGTAAATACATTTCTACTAGCAGAAATATATTTTGATGTAAAGAAATTAATTTCTGGATATCTGTAATGTTAAATTCATTTCTGATATCTGTAATAGTAATCATGACTAGCAGTAACTATTATGGAGATGTGAAATTAAGACTTTAGCGTCATTAGAATTCAATTTTATGTAGGAAGAATGTTTATTTTAGATATCTGGAAGTAAAAGCCCAATACACATGAATGGGAAACAATCATTAGTACTCGTAAGAATTACATTTCAGATATCTAAAATGTTTATTTTAGATAGGAAGAGAAATGCATTTCAGACATCTGGATTACATATTCAGGCTAGTCAAGCTAATAAATATCAAAACGGCCTGCCATTTTTTTTTCCTCCTGTCTATTTTTATCCATTTGCTCCTGGGCGTAATTCTCCCTCCCGTGCTGCGGTGGCGCTAAACCTATTTTGCCCTCCTACCTCGCTTCCTGGTTATACTCTTACAGCAGTGTGTTGCAGTGAGCTTGATGCAGACATTTTTGATTTATGCTCAATATTGAAGCGTGGTCTGAGCTACACGCTGTGGGTCTAGATACGGCCGAGGCGGGGAGGAAGTGGGGGCGAGTTTAGTCCGACGACGGAGGGACATGAGGGCCAAAAAGAGCGGAGATCCAGGTGGAAAAAGGGTCCCAGCGTTCTCGCGCACCTCGCTCTTCTAGCGGGTCAAACTTCATGAGTTGTTTGCGCAATTTTGGTCATAAAAACAAAACAAGCCGGCCTCCTGTCTGCGGCACTGTCTGCGGTGAACTACAATATGGGAGAGGAGCAGCGGAGCGTCTGTGGAGGGGGGCGGGACGTCTGGAGCCGAGGTATTGCATTGCCCTCATTGCACTGATATTGTGCAGTATTTTTGCAGTATTTTTTGATGCAACTTTTCTACTTCTGTTATTTGCTGTTGTTTCTAAAAAAAAATGTATAACAATATTACAGCTTTCATTGATTTATTTCAAACTTGAAACTTTGTCTAGCCTGTAAGGTGTAAAAAAAATTTAAAAATTAACCGATTAATCAATTAATCGAATCTTATCGTGGTGTATTCTTTAGTATCAAAAATAATCGAATCTTTGGGTCAGGAAATCGATACCGAATCGAATCGCCATGATGGGTGTGATTTACACCCCTATTTATTAAGTAAGTATTAAATACAGTTAAAAAAATAAATTGTTAAAATGTAAAGTGCCTTTTAGCCCAAAAAACAAAGTTAAAAACAAGTTATGAAAGATCCAAAAGAGAAAACTTGTCAGCTGATTGCTAAGATCAATCAACTTTAGATTAATTCATCCATTGATAACTTGCATCCATAGTCGCTATAATCCCAAATTTTAAGGCCTGCAACGTTAGAGCTTTCCATTTTCCTTTCTTAAGCGAAAAAAATTTACAAAAGGCTAAAACATACCATCTTAAACAGTGAGGGTTGGAGGAGTGTAAAGGTTTGAAATCAGTGTTGTGTTGGTTTTGTTGCTGAAACAAGTTGCTGCAGGGATCCCATAAAGCTGAGAGAATGGAGGATGTTTTGGCAGCTGTTCTGTAGATTTAATGATAGGATCTGCAGAAATTCTCCAGGTAGATAAAAGAGGCGCAGATAAACTGGCTGCTGTTACTGTGAGGGCTTCAGTTCAGGCTTGTAAGGTTCTCCCAGTAGGAACTGGTAGAGACGCCGTTATCAGAGCCTCCATCGGGTTTGATGGGGAATCAGTGTCTCATTTGTTTGCTTTTCAGTTTTAGAAGACAAAATTATAAGAAACCTTTTTTTTCCTTCTTTATTTTTTACAATTTGTTTATTAAATTAGAGAAAAACAGAGAGCAGCTTCACGTTTTTAGCTTTTGCTACTGAATTTAAAAAGTAAGAATGGACCATGACTGTAAGAATTAAGTTTTTCAAACTTTGTTTCGGTTCTAAGATGAAGACAGAAGGGCTGAAAGAATAAATGGGATTAATCGTGAATCGATCATTGAAATAATCGCCAACTAATTTAGTAATCGATCAATCAGTAACTGGAGTATGGAGACTTTAGCTGACAGAGCGACTCACTTAGAGCAATAATTATACCAAGATTGTAAAAAAATATATTAGGGATGCACGATATAATCGGCCCCCTATCGGTATTGGCCTTAAAACTGAATATCGGACATCGGCCACCCCACCGATATTTAACCAGATATTTAATCAGCTTCTGAGTTTCTAAAGTCCGAAAAAAAAAAATAAATACTACTTCTTCTTCCTCAAAAACTTTTTTTTTACAGACTTAAAAACTTCTAAAGACGAGGGAAAAAATATTGATCCATTAAAATATCCCAATATCTTCATATGCTGATATATTGCCATTTAAAAACACCACATCAATCTCTTTTACTAATGAAATATTGCTATATGTCATCGTTATGCTACGAAATCCCCCGAAAATTCACGAAATGTTGCCATATTTTTATATGTTGATATATTGACGCGGTATCGATCTATTTTACTAACAAAATCTCACAAGAATTTGCAAAATATCACGAGAGTTTGTAACAGAACGATGAAATTTGACGAGATTTTGAAAGACGCGCCAGGAAGTCCCACTAAGATAAAGATGAATTGTGCAAAGGAGGCCACATCCATGAAAAAAACACATTTCATCACCCAATAAAACATCAATGTTGAAACTAGCGTAACACCACCGCTGCTCCACTGCTGAAGGTGGAAATGAGGACCTGGTTCTGTTAGGAATGCTTTCAATTCCTTCCCTTGTCGATGGTTTCTGGTTTAGAGGAATGATCTTTAAATGACTCAGAGCTGCTTTAGTTTCCTTCATGCAGCTCTTTGAATCTCACCTTAGGGTTCACTTTTTATTTCAACAATTTGTATTACATTGAATGTGGAGATTTAAACTTCATAAAATAATCTTAAAATGCTGTTTTCCCAGCCTGTAGTTTTAAACATTTAAGGAATAAAAAAAAATACAAAAAAAGCAGCTGCTGGATCTGGAAAAATTTAACTTTAGCTGCTCGATGTGCTGCATCAACCAATCAGAAGCTGATCTGGAAGCTGGCAGGGAGTCAGACACAGCACTGCTGATGATGCAGAGCGCCATGATCACTCCTCTGAAACAGTTTATTAACGCCTAAATTAACTTAAAATGTCGAAACTTGCCGGCAAAATATGTTTGATGTTATTATTCTGGTGCCTGCAGTTTGCACATACATGAAAAACTCCTTCCAGCCGCAGCGAACAGTAGCGGAAAACCGCGAAGAGGCGACCGGGCCTGAGGCTGCTGGGGATTCCCAGTGACAGCGCACCGTCAGGTATGTGGGGGTCTGAGCGGCTCCCACAGAGAAATAATCTTTGAAGGCAGGATGGTAATCTGGATGAACTGACTGCACAGACCATGTTTTCAGGAGAACTTTCTCATCTGAACGTAGCATTATTCATTAAATTAAGCCAAGCGACTCTCTGGGTTTCATCTGCCACTGCGTGCAGTCTGAACGTAGCATTAGGCCTGCAGCGATAATCGATAAATCAATTAATTGCACGTAAATAAAAACTGTCCATGTCATTTCATTTAGCAGCTATATTGTCTCTGCCTGTGTTTTGCTCTTTCTATTGATGACGCTGGATGAAAAGGCTTAACTCCGGTGCTATCTACTGACCCCTCCCCTTTTCTCATTTTTGAGGAGGGAGGAAGACTAGACTATCGCATCAGGTCGTCAGCGCGCATCATTTTGTGCTTCTGCAGCTTTAGAGGAGTTAGCGAGGTATAAAAAAAAACATCTTATGTTTGGGGGAAAAGCTCAAAATGGAACTGGTTTCAAAGTCGAGCGCAACAGCCGCAGTGTGGGGGTATTTCGGATTCAAACCAAATGACCGAGGCGAACTGCTTAACCTATGTGAGCCAGTATGTCGCATTTGTAATAAAACAGCAGCAACTAAGAGCAGCAATACAACCAACCTACACATGCAGCTAAAGCACAACCACCCAGCAAAGTTTCTCCAGCCCGTCTGCGTCTTCCAGTTCGCGACAGTCTATCATCACTGAAGCAATTAATCGACAGGCAGCATATAAAAAGGACGGCGCAAAGTGGCGCGCGCTCACAGACAGCGTAGTTCATTTAATTGCTAAAGAGATGCTTCCATTTAATATTGTTGAAAAGCCGACATTTCGCAAAAATGTTGCAGACATTTGACAGGATGAATTCCCGAGGAAAACATGCATATCACAAACATACAACGTTTTTATTTCCACTGTGGTTTTATCTTGTGTTTAGTTTTTATTCAAATGTATTTTAAGTTAACAGAGACTGAGAGTCCATTTGATTTTTATGTCTCGTTTTATTTTGTTAACTGGTTCCAGTGTTAAGTGTTCTATTGAAAATAAATGCATGCATTATTATGTCATTTCGATTAAATCAGTTTAAAAAGGTCTCGAAACAATATTATCGTTTATCGCAATAATTTTTGAGACAATTAATCTTTCAGCAAAATTTGTTCCCGTGACAGGCCTACGCTAACCTGACTCCGCTAGATAAGTAAGTAAGTAAGTAAACTTTATTTGTATAGCACTTTTCACAGACAAAGTCACAAAGTGCTTCACATGATAACATAAAAACAACACAAGTAAAAACAGATAAAATGCAATAAAAGCTATAATAAATAAGGGAATAAAACAACAGGCTATGTGCTTTGGAAGGCTAGTGAAAACATGTGTGTTTTTAGCTGTTTTTTTGCTCCGCATATCCATCTGGAAACCTTCCGTTGAAGTAATTTTGGGAAGGGGCGAAAATACTGGTTAGCTGATTGGCCTATGTTGGTGATAGACGGGCCAAATAAACCAATCAGATCAACGAAGCATATGACGTACTAACAGAGCGACGACGAAAACACAATCACAAGCCAGGCTACTCTTGGTGAAACCAGTCGGGAGAAGAGCAAAAACATCTTTTCCTCTGAGAAAAGCCTCCAGAGCAGTGTTTTGCTCTTCTTTCAGTGAAGAAATACTCTGTAATTCCCATAAAACTTGCTCGATAGCCACGCTAACGCTAGTTTCATCGGCTGAAGCCGCCATGTTCTTTAGACTGAACTGTCGCGCTTCTCGTTGCGTCACACCTCAACCCGCCTCAAAGCCAACGCTGATTGGACGTTCGTTTGGTGAACGGCTCCAAATTTTCTTTAACGGAGAGTCTCCAGACTGATTAGCGAGTGAAACCTTGAAAGCTCGCGAGATCAGGATGGTCTCACGAGGCTAGGCCTACGTAGCAAAACATTTCTGAATCAGGGATAAATGGGCAGCTCTTCCTGCACAACAGGTGAACTTTTTCCATTCATAGAGTCGGCTTACGCACGTCCAGCAGGCTGAGGAATTTGTGATAATTCTGATAATGATAAGATGCTATAAGAACCACCCAAAAAGAAAAAAAAAAAAAATGAATGTTTACATTCGTTTTTTAATAGAATTAATTAGGTATGAAAATGATATATTAGAAAATAAACTGCACTCCATTTTTCTATGTACCGGTATTATTTTATTGAAAAAAATCTGAAATAATGAAAGAAAAAAAATAAATTGTTTTTCTGTCAAAGATTTAGAAAAACTGGGTAATGGGTCATTTCTAGAACCAATCTAAACAGAAGAGGTGACATCAATACCTCAATAGTGCGATAGTAGGGGTCCAAAAGCAGCTTGGACAGAGCTACGATCTGTGGCGTGCGGTCCCAGCCATCGGAGCAATGCACCAGCACAGGTCGCTGGTCTCTGTCCACCGCATTGACCACCAGCAGAGCCGCCTTCAGCAGCAGAGACAGGTGCTGCAGCCACTTGGTGCTCTCCAGGGCAGAGAGCCAGCTGAGAAGACAGAGCAACATGAGAGCTCGGATCAGAGGAATGCTGTTTAAGCCTGATGTCATAGAAATCTCAAATTTTTCAAACTTTGATTTGAAAATATCGATCTGTTTTTAAAGGAAAAGTCGCTCATATTCAGAATTCAAACTTCTGAAAGTTCTTTAAATATGAAATTATTACATCCTGTTCAATAAATGATCAGTGTTTTTAATTCAGAGTAATTTTCATGTGAATGAGCTTTACTGGAGGCATCCATGTTTATCAAAGAACACTACTGCCACCTACTGGTTAGTGACGTCACGGTGCGGTATCGGCTGTTGATCAAGTCCCAGTGCTGTATCTGGTGTTTGTCACAACGCGCTATTATCCAAGTCATCTTGAAAACATTCTTCTTCCAAATGTTGGCTACATATTACGGGTTTTTTCTCTGGCCAGAAGTTCGATGGCAAATCCTCCCTCTTCAAGTTGGCGATCCAACGACCAACCCTTCCGTGGAGGATCAGGAATCAGAAAGGTGGAATAACTCTTTTTTTTCACTTTTACCCGATGTATTACAGCATCCAGCTGCCATGCACGTGGGCATTGTCAGTTTCACTATAGCTCTGGTGAATTTCAATGGTGAAGTCCTCTGGAAATCTTCAATAATTGTTGTTGATTGCAGATGTGTCTAGTAGTTCCCATTGATTTAGCTTGGAAAGCGGGGAGAATGGCGCTAGGCTTACCGCACCGTGACGTCACTGCTGGAAGATGGCAGGAGGGAGGGGCTACTATATTTGACGCTAAATAATTTAACGCTAAATTCATTGTATCAGCGCACACGTGTTTGTTTTAGGTATAAAAAATTATCCATTGATTATTACTTGCTGACCGAACTTTTCCTTCAAGTTCACAGACACAGTCTAGGAGCCGTTTCAAAACAACGAAGGAAATATTTAAGTCAGCAGACATCATAACATCTCATCCAGCTTTAAAAGTCTGGATGAACCTTCATGTTTGGAAAGGTCCTGTATGCCGGCTGCTTCTGTGATACTACAATGGTCTACTTTCACATCCTTTGGCTTGGACTCAGCCTTATGAGGTTATATGACCTTAACTATGTTTGGCAAAAACAAGGCTTTTCAAACCTGAACCTCACGTTTCCACTAACAATTAATTTTCTGCACCTTTACAAAGCATAACTGCTGAAAACCGTACAGATACAAACAAACATGCATTTGCAGAAATGCTAACAAAGATACAGTCCTCTTATTAAAGTATATAGATCCATACAGGTACATGAAGTTATACCCTAATCCTGACTCAGAGGATATATATTGAACAGCAGACTAAACTCAGCAACATGGTCCTAAAGCTGAGCAGTTTGATTACACATCCACCTGGAGGTAACCTAGAGTGATCCAATGGAAAGAGATCCTCTAGCTGGGCCTGGGCCAAGCTCTAAATCAGGCACAGATGTCTGAGCCTTAACAACAGTGATCACCTGGTGCCTCCAGCAAGCAAGGCATGGCTTTAGTTGTAACCTCAATCTACAGGCTCATAACTTTTTCTCTGGAGGAATCTAAAGCCCTGCTGGAGGCTGTAGAACTAGAAGAAAAAGAATAAACATACTTGGCTGGATCGGGCATCTGAGTGCAGAGGAAACGCAGCGACTGGAAACTCTTTCGGATGGAGTGAATGTTGGCCATTCCCATGAACACAACCTCACAGTTTGGATAGTACTCTGCAAAAGAAAGGAAAAAAAAAACTGTTTAATTTTAGAACAAAGAACAATGGCATTTGTGGGCTAAGTGAGCTTCTGATTCTGCAGCGTTGACCTAAATCTGCCTGAAACCTTAAACCGAGACACAAAGCCTACCTGGGCATTCGCAGCCTCCCCCCTTCGCCCTGTTGGCTACGGCTGCGGCGTACGACCTGGCGTCCAGGATCAGCAGCTTGCTGGGCTGGATGGCCAGCGTCTCCACCTCTGAGCTGTTGGTCATGGAGGATTCTGAAACAAAGGGCTCATTTAGACTCAACATTCAATGGAAATAACATCATTTTACCCAAAGAAGCTGGAACCTTTCATGCCCTGCAAACACATAAAAACACTGAACTTTTTCCCATTTTTCTCCCAACATTTAAACCTTAAACGCTGCTGTACAGTAAGGGGGTTTCAGGGGCTACATAAAGGTAAAGTAGTGAATTTAATGGTTGAAACTCATTTGGATTTTTGTTCTGAAACAACGAAGAAGTGGAGTTTCAGGTGATCATGATCCCGTCTCATTCTCTGAAAGGTTCTCTTTCATGTTTACATGTTTCTGTAACAGAATGAAAGGAAGTCGGTTCCACTTTGTTCCAAGTAATGAAAACATGTTGGAGTACCACAGGGATCAGTGCTATACAGAAGCTGAGAGCGGTCGTACGTAGGCCTGTCACGATAACACATTTTGCTGAACAATTGTCTCAAAAATTATTGCGATAAACGATAATATTGTTTGAAGACACTGATTTAATGGAAATACGCTGTCTGTGAGCGCGCGGCACTTTGCGCAATCCTTTTTGTATGCTGCCTGTCGATTAATTGCTTGAGTGATGGTGGACTGTCGCGAACTGGAAGACGCAGACGGGCTGGAGAAACTTTGCTGGGTGGTTGTGCTTTAGCTGCATGTGTAGGTTGGTTTTATTGCTGCTCTTAGTTGCTGCTGTATTATTACAAATGCGACATACTGGCTCACATAGGTTCAGCAGTTCGCCTCGGTCATTTGGTTTGAATCCAAAATACTCCCACACTGTTGCGCTCGACTTTAAAACCAGCTCCATTTACCTCACTAACTCCTCTAACTACCTGATGCGATAGTCCACTCCTCCTCCCTCCTAATTTTTTCCCTTCTTAAAAAATGAGGAAGGGGCGGGGTCAGTGCATAGCACCAGAGTTAAGCCTTTTTTTAGCGTCATAAATAGAAAGAGAAAAACACATTCACACAAACACATTTATCGTGCAATTAATTGATTTATTGATTATCGCGACAGGCCTAGTCGTACGCGACTTTTTATTCTTCTTTGCCTTCTCGAAATAATGACATAACCATCTCGTTATCACAAGAAAACAGAAATTGATTTCTTGAGATGAGGAGATTATTAACCTGTATGAATAATGAATGAGGCTGGATTCCCAGTCCATCCATGCCTGCGGGGGCCATAGTTGTGCAGCCGCTGTACCGCGTGTGCGCAAATAATCAGTTTTTTTAGTTTCCTTTTTCTTTTCACTCATTGTCAGGTTGTGGTGGATTATTGGATTGCACGGGATACAGTAGAAACCAATCTGACTTCTTTTAAAAGATTATTTTGGGGGTTAATGCATCTTATACCGGTTACAGGCGTAACACCAGAGCTGTTCAGAAAACACCTGGAGGCATAGGGCTAAATGCTGATGAATCAGAAGTGAAAGCAAATCATCAAACCAACAACGTCGTCTCTTTACCTAAAACAGGGTTCCTACAGCCAGCGGCGTAGGAAGCGGGGGGGACGAGGTGGACATGTCCCCCCCAATATAAAAGCCAGGTGGATATGTCCCCCCCAAAAATTGTACCGCAAAATATTAGATTTTGACAATTTTTTAACTATCGTGCTTTTATTTTGAAGGCGCAACATAGCGTTACGTCACTGTACTCCCCCTCCCCTCTGTGAACTGTTGAGTGTTTGAGCACTCAGACGGGAGGGAAACAGCGATACAGAAAGTCAGAAACTTGTTAATGAGGTAAATTGGTCTGTCGGGATGCTGCTATGAATAGTGCTAGAAACTGAATCTTTTTGGTTTAGGCATCTTAGACTTGTAGGAAGAGGATTAGGGCCACTGAAAAAAGTTAACTGATTTTTACTTTTTTTTTTTTTGTTTAACATGGGGGGAAAAGTCAGAATTCTGACTTTTCTCAGAATTCTGACTTTTTTCTTCTGACTTTTTTCTCAGATATCTGACAGATGATTAATATTTCTAATCAATTTACAGTTTTTTTTTTTTGGTGGTTGGGGGGTGGGGGGGGTACTACACAGATATATAAAAACAAGAAGGTCTAACTAAAAAATAACCAGAATATATGTTTAGAGTAAAGATTGACTACTTGTGTTTACACAAGCACACAATTTCAAATCTGCTGAGCTTGCTGAGCAAGAAAATGTAAAATATACGTATAAAGAAATATAACAGGAAGTACTGCTAAAACATAAACTAAATGTTAAATAATGTAGATATTGGTTTAAAAAATTCTTCAGATTTGGAAAATTGGAAGGAATACATAATTCTGAAATTAATCAACAAATCTGGTAAAAATAAATAAATAAATAAAAAATAAAAGTTGCACTTTTTTACTTGAGGAATTTGTTGAATAACTTCATAATTATGAGTTTAACTAGTTGGAGGTAATGCTACACTTCTCTGCTTCCTGTCCTGCTCATAAAAGGTAAACATTATTAACCCACCATTAATTTTCTACACTATTTGGAAAACACAACACAAATGTAATATAACAAAAGTATGTTTAACAACAAACATGTTAGCATCAAGCCATAGCCATGTCTGTTTTAGAGACTAGCTCTCTTGTTTTAATGACCTTCTGCTCCTCCATTAATTATGGGAGCCCTCGGGCACGTCAAAAGTTGCCTAATTCTGTCATTTTCCACCAATGTGTCACTGGCTCTCTCAAACAACTCACATCTTTGTCACTGAAGCCGAGTGCTCCACATCTCTTCCTTCATGGTGCCCATCTACATTAAGATCCTAAATTCTGAGAAAAAAAGTCAGAATTCTGAGAAAAAAAGTCAGAATTCTGAGAAAAAAAGTCAGAATTCTGAGAAAAAAAGTCAGAATTCTGAGAAAAAAAGTCAGAATTCTGAGGGAAAAAAAGTCTTAATTCTGAAAATAAAAGTCAGAATTCTGATTTTTTTCCCGTATTAAACTGAAATAAAATGTAAAAATCACTTAACTTTTTTTTTTTTTCAATGGCCCTATCCTCTTCCGTAGTCTTGGGCTGATCACTCATCCAATATTTAACTGCTAACTTTCTCTAGACGTTTGCCACGCTAGCCAAAATGTTTTTTTTATATATTTTTTTTTATATCTCATTTCAGTACAATGCCACCACCAACTAAAAGGCTGAAACAGCAGTAGGACTTACTCAGATTTTTTTAAAAGAGAAACGTCAGTGTGAGTAACTGTCACCTAACACAACTTGTGTTGAAATTAGCCCGGTCTGGGCGTGCGTTTTACGAGGATTTTTTATGTTTTGCATGGTTTTGATTCGCCGAAATGGACAGATGTTATACCTGCCGTGCTCCTGATCGTTAGTTAAAACCACAGGGAGAATTAATTCTAATTCTTAGCAGCGGCGGCCGCATTGGTTGTGCAGCGGAGTGCTGCACAACCACTAATTAACCAACTAATTAACTTCTGCACCTTTATTTCCTCAAATAAACTGCTGGCTCCTCTTTTTACACTATAAACAGATTAACACAACATTGACAACTCTGTAGTTTTCTCTGTTCTGTACTGCAAATTGGAATTAAAGGCGCCATTTCTACCAAAGGTCTGGACAGACTGGCCACCTGTCTAGGGTGGACCCCGCACCAGCACCTCCCGACCCCACTAAGGGACAGGGTGTACAGAAAATGGAAGGATGGATGGATTTCTACCAAAGGTTGATAATGCGTTTTTGAACCAGATGCTTCAAAGCGCCCTGTCCATAATTCTTCAACACACTGTCATCTCCCTCTGTCAGTCAACCTATATAAATTCATTTTTGACCATTATTGCAAGTTTGACAAAATAAAACATATCAAACTTTGCACTTCTGTGGCCTACTGAATTGTTTTGATTTTCTAGTGCGTATGCGGACACTAAATATGCCAAGGGCTGAAGCCCTTGAAATACATCTCCCTTTGCTTAGTAAAAGACTCCAGTCATTTTGTTTGGTGATATGCTCACATCTTATGAACAAATGCATTATGTTAATTTTAAATGCATTATTTTTGCAAACACATTTATAAAGGAATAAAGTAAAAGATTAAATAGCCTTTTTTTTAAGTAGCGTACTTACGATATGTTTCTGTTGAATATTTACGAATCTCAGATTTCCGACATGTGTCCCCCCCAATTGTAAACATATTCCTACGCCCTTGCCTACAGCATAAGGCAAGTTAAATTCCAGACTTTTTAAGACTTTTTAATGCCACTTGAAATAAAAATCTAAGACCAAATTCACAAGAAACATAAGAAAAACCTGCTTGCGACAACTTAACCCAAAGGTTTATTTTAACATAAACCACTGCACTAATGTTTCAAATTTTGAAAAGCTTCTCATACAGGAAGAAAGCTAAAAACACACAAATGACAGATATATTTGAACAATTATTTAACTGATTTCACAAACTTTGTTTTAGCAGGGAACAAAACAAATCAGTTTTAAAGCCCCAACATAACCAGTGCTAAGTCTTTTTTGCAGCTATTTTTCTTTGTATGGTTTTCTTAGTATGTTTGATTTGGTGATAAGTGGAGGCGTTGCAGAGACAAGGGTGGAACTAAACTGAGAAATACCGGCTGTTTCTCTGTAACTCCATTTTGACGCTTTGTGTTTCGTGCTTCGCATGTGCGACTCCACTGCCTTAATTCCCATCGTTCTGAGCTTGAATGACTTCTTGCACTAAATCCACTGAGCCTCATGTATGTTCCCTGGTTTTAGCCGTGGAGGAAACTCTTGGCTGGAGACAATTTTGGTTACATTTACACTTGCTCATATTTTCCAGACAATAAGTTAATGGAGCATCTCCCAAATGTCCCGGCCGCAACAACGCTTTATTGGTTCCGCTATCGGGACGGAACCACTAATGGCGAGCCGTTATTTTTCTTTAAATAGTAAAAAAAATGTGTCAATCTTAACCTTTTGTTTAGATTACAAAAATAAATCATAATAAAAATAATCCTATTTATGATGTTTTAAAAATTAAGACTTACAAAAGACTGATTTAAGACATTTTAATACCAATTAAGGCCTTAGTTTTATTTTGAAGAATTCAATGACTTTTAAGGCTTTTTAAGGACCCGCGGGAACCCTGGTAGAAACCAATCTGACATTTTTTTAAATTAAATTCTTTAATCTTGTCTTATTTTGTGGGTTAATGCATCTTATACCGGTTAAAGGCGTAACACCAGGGCTGTTCAGAAAACACCTGGAGGCAAAGGGCTAAATGCTGATGAATCAGAAGTGAAAGCAAATCATCAAACCAACATCGTCGTCTCGTTACCTAAAAGTTAAACACGGGATTATTTACAGAGTTACACATAGGCTGCCATGACTTATAAATGTGGTATTGAAGGATGGAATCAGTTTTAACACACACCGATCATCTCTTTATGACGACAAAACTGCTCTAAACATAAACAAAATGTGGAAATGTCTCAGGGGCTAAATGGAACCAAACATTATTCCCGCTGTAACTCTGCTCTAAGAGGCAGACAGTTTCAGCTTCCCCTGACCGACAGCGCGTGTTTGGGAAATCGAGTTGGATCCAGCGAAACTTGCTCGATTCTGATGTCTCACCAAAATCGGTGTCAGGCGGGTCTGAGCCGTTGGTGTAGCTTCCGTTCGAAAGATGCTTGCGGCTGCTGCCGTCCACGGCGCAGGCCTTGGCGATGGACTGGACCAGGTGCTCGTCGTCGGCGTTCCTCCATCCCCACCAGCTGACCTCTGGTTGGCCGCAGCGGGCGATCACAGCTCCTGTGCTTTGATGTCTGTGTGGGGGGGTTTAAACAGCCATAAGGACTTTATCTCTTTATCTACCTAGAAAGGCATCTCCTTTCTGGGAGAGTTTAGTCAGATAAAGACAATAACGATCCAGCATGTTCAGCATCACAAAGACATCTTGTTTCTGTGCAGAAATAGGTAATTTAAACAAATCCAGTTTGGAGGAAGAAACAAACACAGACCTGTAAACCACAGCAGGAAACCTCTTCCAGGATCGGAAAGCCGCCACGTTTTCCAGCTCCTTGTCAGTGATCCATGCTGGCACCAGAAGCTGCTGAGGATAGCTGGGGCAAAGCCTGGCAGGACGGAGAGCCAGAGAGAGCAAAGGTAAACACGGGGGAGGGGGTCTGAGGGCTCAACAGAAGCATCAGTCTGCAGACACCTAATCCTGGGACGGCCTGATCTGATCTCCCCGGGGGGGGCAGCACCAGCGGAGTATCGGTACACTAACACGACACAGCAGCAAACTCCTAGAAGAGCCTCTTCTACCTGAACTTGCTGTTGATATCTGATATCCTCCAGGCGTTCTGAGTGTCGAAGCCCATCCTCTCCACCTCGTTTTTGAACCACGAGGTCACATGCTCTCCTGCAGGAAAAGAAAACGCCTGAATGATTGATGTCTGATAGGACCTGAGTGTCAGGATGAGAGGGAAGCTGGAAGGCAGCGGCTCACCGGGTCTGCACAGCTCGCCGTGCTGCTCCTTCTCTCCGGCGTACACCTCCATGCACCAGGCGTGGAAGGCGAAGGAGAAGAGGTCCTCCAAACGCGAGGGGGGCCGCACTACGGCGTTCAGACGTTTGAGCCACTCCTGACACTGCTCAAAGGTGTAGAACTGACACCTGACGGCACAACGGATGGTACGAAAGGAAACAAGAGAGAAATTTCACCAAAATTAGATCCTGATGCTTTTTTATTGCAGCAGAAGTAATATTAGCCAATTTAGCCGCAACAAAGTCAGCCTGCAGAGGAATTACAGAGGAAATGCAGGCAGACCACCACCAAGAGGGCAAAACATCCACCAACAGGGGGGGACAGCGAGGATTAGGAGCATCTTTTCTAATCATTAGTGGGTTTCAGTTCAGAAACCTCCTTACGGTGAGTGAGAAGTGCAAAACACATTTACAATTCAAAAACACATTAACAAATAAAAAACAAAATAACATTTGAAGAAACAAAATTATATTTTATGAAACAAATGTATTTTTGAAAAAAAAGTTTCAATTTTTAAAAACAAATTCACATTTTAGCAAACAAATTTACATTTTAGGAAACAAATTCACATTTTAAATAAGTTAGATTTTAGGTGAGAGAAAGTTTCATTTTAGAGAAAAAAAAATACATTATAGGGAAACAAATTTACATTTAAAAAAATTGACTGTTCGGAAACACTTGTACAAGTGCAAAGACAAAACTGCAAGCGGCAAAACACAGTTACATAGCCAAAAACAAATTAACAAAAGACGGCTACACGGAAAGGGAATGTCCCAGTGGCTGGATGTGACGTCACCATTACCCTGACTTGTAGTACAAACAGCTCAATCTGTAGTCCTCCTGCTTCACGTGAAAAGTCAGCTGCGATTTTAGATGGAAAGAATTGCACTGAAGCTATTTTTCTTAAGTTTACGCTAACCGAACAATGTTTTGCCCTTATTGTGGTCTCTGGAACTTTTACGGGACACGGACCAGGTGGCAGGACCAAGCAGCAGGGCCGAGCTCAATTCGTGGCAGTGGCTGCGTTGCAGCAGTTCCGGTGGTCCTGCCACCTGGTCCGTGTCCCGTTAAAGTTCGCACGAAGAACAAAATGGTGTAAATGGGCTGAAATTTGCTCCACAATAATAAAATCGCCGCTGACTTTTCACGTGAAGCAGGAGGACTACAGATTGATCTGTTTGTACTACAAGTCAGGGTAATGGTGACGTCACATCCGGCCACTGGGACATTCCCTTTCCGTGTAGCCGTCTTTTGTTAATTTGTTTTTGGCTATGTAACTGTGTTTTGCCGCTTGCAGTTTTGTCTTTGCACTTGTACAAGTGTTTCCAAACAGTCAATTTTTTTTTAAATGTAAATTTGTTTCCCTATAATGTATTTTTTTTTCTCTAAAATGAAACTTTCTCTCACCTAAAATCTAACTTATTTAAAATGTGACTTTGTTTCCTAAAATGTAAATTTGTTTGCTAAAGTGTACATTTGTTTTTTATTTGTTAATGTGTTTTTGAATTGTAAATGTGTTTTGCACTTCTCAGCCACCGTACCTCCTGAACCAAAGCTGAAGTTTCTGGGCTGCAACATGAGACAAAACTAACGGAAAGCTGGCTTTAAACTCCCTGATTCCTGCAGTTTTCATCTTTTCTTCTCTTAACATATTAGAAAAAGCTGCATTTTTATTAAAAATGTCCCCTATGATGTCCCTTAAAAAAATTAACTGGGCTGTAAGAATCTAAATACACTGCTCTAAAACGTCATGGTGTGAAAGGGGCTTAACAGCCTTCAAATGGTAAGAAAAAGCTGTCTTTCTGGAAGAAACTGTTTCGTCAGGTTGGAAAAAAACATGGAAAAATCCTGGGGGAAAAAAACTCCATCCGGAAGAATCTTGCAACCCTGCAGCTCATCCGCTCACCCAATCGTCTGCAAGAAGATCACTTTGTAAAGCGGATTGCTTCCCCACTCTAGTTCAACCCATTTTCGTTCCGTTTTCTGTGATTAAGGAGGTTTTGTTATGAAAAGGAAACTTTTACCTTAAATCTAAATCATTCTTCTATATGTGTATTGGGTTATCTTTAAAGAGAACAACCATTAATAAAAAGATTGGCGTCTCTGTGGCTGCAGAGGCCTGAGCTGACCTTACCTAGCTTCCTCCTGCTGCATGTTTATAAGGACTCTAGATTAAAACCATCTGGGAATAACTTTTTAACCAAAACAACATCCAGCAGCAATCATGGCAGGACGGGTTCTGAGACATTTTTTAATTAAAACTACAGTTTTTATGGACTAAAAGTTCCAGTTTTTCAATACTTTAAGGCTTAAAACAAACAATAAAAAAATCCTTTTTCTAAAATGTTTAAGGTCCAAATAAGAGACTTGCAACAACATGGAGGAGCGACAAACCACTGACTGAATGTTAACATTAAACAGCTAAGATGTCTACCATGAAACAGCAGGAAACTGCTAAACATGGAGGATAAAAAGTGCCAAAATTAAATAAATAAATAAATACAGCATTAAATAATTAATTAAATGTGGAATTAAATAAATAAATGTGTCATTCATTAACTAAAACCACGTCACTAATATAAAGTGCCACAATTAAATAAATAAGTACAGCGATAAACAATTAATTAAATGTGTAATTAATTAAATAAATAAGGAATTAAATATATAAATGTGTCATTAATTCTGTCAAACTCACCCATCAAAGTTAGGGGGCGGCTATCTAACACCTGATTGGTCACCCTGCACATTAAGGCGAAGCAAATCGATTACAGAGACTCGTTTCGCGTTAACCCCGCCCCCTAACTTTGATGAGTGAGTTTGACAGATTCTTTGAATGGTTTCGATGCACTGCGACACAGGACCATGAAATAATTAAATGCACACTGAAATAATTAAATATATTTTTTTAATAAAATGAAGATGTATTTTATTAAATTAATGACACATTTATATATTTTTAATTCCTTATTTATTTAATGAATTACACATTTAATTTGGGCTGCAACTAACGATTATTTTAAAAATCGATGAATCGGCCGATTATTTTTTTGATTAATCGATGAATCGGACAAAAAATATTTTTTATATTAACCTCTTTATTCCAAAATAAACATTTTAGACAGAACAAACAAGCACACAAGTACAGGTTGCTCATTAACTGTACTGGTGCAATATGAAAAATAAATGTTTGTGTTAAAACTACGCAAACTTACATGAGAAATGTAGCTGAATATCCACAAAATATAGGCTACTTTGTTTCATAAAGCGCAAAAAAAGGCATTTTTGTTTTTAAAAGCCCCTAAGGGGTTCAAACAATAGGCCCCCCCATTTCAACAAATGAGTTTTTTTTAGACTAGAAGAGTTCTGCCTTTTAAGACAGGAAAGTATAGCAGTTAAAGTTGCTACTTGAGAAAATACTGAACCATAGAGATAAAAATAGCCCTGTGATTCTAATTATAAATTGTATTTGGAATAAAAATGAGAGAACTAGGGCTGCTAAAAAACACATCCTCCAAAGACAGATATTTACATGGAAATGTGGCAGATAATTAATTGACATATTACTGATCTTGCTGGATTTTATTCTGCTTTACTTCCATAAATTGCAGGATCTTTACTTTATTTTTGCCAGAAGATTTAAACTTCAAAAGCCTTGCCCTCATAATTTGCAAGTTAATTTATTTATAAAGGCTATTTTAATTATTGTGATCAATTTGTGCCGTCAATCCCGGCGCATGCGCGCTTCGTTTGCAGTCTGGACGCTGAGGGTAAACATCCTGCGGCTTTGACTGCAGCGCTGAGAGGGACTCATGCGGGAGAACGGGGTTGGGATGAGGGAGGCGCCCCACGGCAGCAGCTGCCCCTGGAGGACAAGAGTAGGAACGATACATGCTTTCACGTAAGAGTCTCCAAAAGCCGCCAGTGACACTGTAGAAAGTCGCCAGATTTGTCGCTAGTCGCTTTTTAAAAAAAATAGTCGCTGGAGGGGTCTGAAAAGTCGCTAAATATAGCGACAGAGTCGCTGAGTTGGAGACACTGCACACCTGCGGCGCTGGCTCGCTCTGTCGTATTTTTTTTTTCTTCCTCTTTCAGTCAAGTGGCAGTGATGACGGCGGCAGATGACGCATTAATCGCGCGACACAACTAATCGATGATGAAATTCGCTGCCAACGCTTTTAAAAGTCGATTTTTATCGATTTTATCGATACGTTGTTACAGCCCTACATTTAATTAATTATTTATCGCTGTATTTATTTAATTGTGGCACTTTATATTAGTTACGTGGTTTTAATTAATGAATGACACATTTAATTATTTATTTAATGCTGTATTTATTTATTTAAATTTGGCACTTTTTATACTCCATAGCTAAAGGGCCCGTCACAGCTTGCCAATTTAGCCTGACGTCCTGAAATCTCCTAAAATCCTGCCATATGCTGAACTTTCCATGGATTTTTTTCTATTTAGGGCGTATACCTAGAGTATTCATAACAACTCTAACTTATGCATAACACACGGCAGCATGGAGGCGCTGTGTCTCCATAAAAAGATGTCTTTGATAACAGTATTAACCTAGCTGCATGTTGTGAAAGGGGCTTTATTTTGTAAATATTAGAACAAATGAAGATTTGAGTTTCACCTGACGACCTTGCAGTCCTTACAGGTGACGTGAAGCTGAAACATATCCCGAACCTCCACGCACTCGATCAGCTGGAGAGGAACCTGGGAAGCCAGAGGCAGGAGAGGAAATTAGCTGATGAGGCGTTCAAAAGAAACTTTTTCACACAAATCTAAACATTTGTCACATATCTGTCACTTTATAACAAGAATTAAACATTTTAAAATTTGTATTCAGCCCAATTTTTGCATAAATTTGCCTCCAGAGAAGGAATGCACCTAACGATTATTCATGCTAATCCGTCGATTAATAATCAGATAGAAACATTTCCTTAAAGAAGAACTAAACTTTTCCGCTATAGTAGCTGTGGGTAGAGCATATTGATGCTGTAGGTACCAGATGTGCTCTGGTGGTCAAATCTGCTAGGGGTCCCGCCCCTTCTTATGACGTCATCATATGGCAACTCCACTCGGACAAACTGTATTGCACTGGTTTCTTACAGATCAAATCTCTTTTGGAGTCTCAACATTTTATTACCTATATTTGTTATTATTTTAAATTTCATTGGCGATCTAAATTAGCTAAAAGTAGAAAACAATAATTGTCAGTCTTGAAGGAAAGTACTGCGTTCTAGGACAGACTGAACTCTGCTATTTAACAAGGTGACAAAAAAAAATTTATGCTTATTTTTATTTTTTTTATTAACATCTCAGGAAAGAGGAGGACAATTGGAACATCTTAAAAAATGACTTTCGTAGAGATTTTAGACAAATAAAACAGTTATTCTACTTCTACGGTTGTTTTTGACACAAATTTAAAAGTAGTGTAGCTTAATATGGCTAACTGACCAAGCTAAAAGAGGCTAACCTGTTAGCTACTGAGCACAGCTAGCCACAGCGCTACCCAGCTCTTTATATCAGGGTCTAACAGCTGCTTTGTTTACATAAACAGATTTTTTTTTCAGTTTTGTTATCGATCAAAACTTCATCAGTCATCAGACACGCTAACGCTACAGATTCTCCCGACTCGGAACACTGACGCTGCGTCATGTTATCGTTGTCTAGGCAACCACATTTTTTTTTTCGTCACGTGGAAACGTTCAGCCAATCACGTAGCGTAACGTCACTGGCATGAAACAGGACCCGAGCAGATCTGTTAGCTACAGCGGAATAAGATTTTGGTATAATTCCTGCTCTAATTGGGTCACTGTGGCAGCTAACGGCATGTTTTAGAGACTCTATACTAAAAATATAAAGATAATTAATTACTAAATTAGTTGACCATTGTTTCAATAATCGATTACAATGGCTACGTTCACACTGCAGCCTGAATTGACCCAAATCCGATTTTTTTTGCTTATATGTGACCTGAATCAAATCTTTTCATGGCTGTCTGAACCACTCAGATCAAATTTTTTCCAATGCGACCCAGGCCACTTGGCTATGTGGTCCTGAATCCGATATGAATCTGATCTTTTCAAATGCGACCTGTGTCTGAACGGCCAGGTCGGATACATCCGACCCGAACTTCATTAATACCCGACAAAGGTCACTATTCTGCATCTTGCTACGCAGAAGCAACAAGAAAAACAACAACAATGGCAGATGATGATGCGGAGAGCAGTATTTATGTTTAACTATATTGAAAAGATTGTGTTTTTATGGTTAGAAAAGACCGCTAGATGCGCGCCGGCACTACCATCCATGTTTACTTCCGGAAAAAAAAGAGCACACTGGCCTGTGACGTCATTGCGTCCTCTACTGCGCATGCGGGAGACTTGCGTTCTATGACTGCAGTTCACACAGGAGATCACATACAAGTCGCATATATTTTGAAATATGAACGGCAACACGAAAAAATCGGATTTCACAAAAAAATCAGAATTGAGCATCAAGGCCTGCAGTGCGAAAGTAGCCAATTAATTGGATTAATTGATCATTTAAATAATAATCGTTAACTAATATAATTGATTAATCATTAACTGGACTCTAAAACATGCCCTTAGCTGCCAGAGTGACCCAACCTTGAGGAGAAGGTATACTAAAATTGTAAAAAAAAAAAAAAAAAAAAAAAAGTTTATATATATAAACAATATATAAACAAATTATTAGGGATGCACGATATTGGGATTTTGGCCGATATCCGATATGCCGATATTTTAAAACTCATGTAGCCGATGACCAATATCGATACCGATGTTAAAGCTGGACAAAAATAAGTAGTCATTGAAAATAGCAGTTTTGTTATCCATTTCTGACACTTTGAAAAATAATATACTCAAATATATTTTCATATGCTGATATCAAATAGATTTTTAAAAACGCGGTATCGATCTATTTTACTTTCAAAATCTGGTGAAATTTCATCGTTCTGTTACAAACTCTCGTGATATTTTGCAAATTCTTGTAAGATTTTGTTAGTAAAATAGATCGATACCGCGTCAGTATATCAACATATAAAAATATGGCAAAATTTCGTAAATTTTCGGGGGATTTCGTAGCATAACGATGACATATAGCAATATTTCATTAGTAAAAGAGATTGATATGGTGTTTTTAAATGGCAATATATCAGCATATGAAGATATTGGGATATTTTAATGTATCAATATTTTTTCCCTCGTCTTTATAAGTTTTTAAGTCTGTAAAAAAGAAGTTTTTGAGAAAGAAGAAGAAGTAGTATTTATTTATTTATTGTTTTTAGACTTTAGAAACTCAGAAGCTGATCAAATATCGGGTTAAATATCGGTGGGGTGGCCGATGTCCGATATTCAGTTTTAAGGCCGATACCGATAGGGGGCCGATTATATCGTGCATCCCTACAAATTATGTATATATATATATATATATATATATATATACATATATATATATATATATATATATATATATATATACATATATATATATATATATACATACATATATATATATATATATATAAAAATAAACATTTCACATTAAAAAAAAAAATTTTTCGTCCGTTCCAACTTCTCAACTGGAAAAGTTTTATTTTCACCTGGTTTAATTTTGTTAAAAAAATTCTTTTGAGGATAATTTGGCTAACCAATAATAAATCAATTAATCGAAAAAATTATTGACATTGATTTGCAAAATAATCGTTAGATGCAGGCCTAGATGAAATGTTTCAGTCTGAAGGGTTTGCAAGCTGCAGTTGTAGCACAGAGAGAATGTGACACATGAGCCGCCATTTAGATCATCGGCAAACAGTATTTAAGCTCCGGACCAATCATGCTCATGCGGTCAGTGCAGGGCGTGTGGTGCTAGCCAGCTGGAAATCCCTTTAGCTAATTAGTCAGGATCACAACAGCACAGGTTCAGGGCCAGGAGCAAACCACCATCTCCTGCAGCATGATGTTTACTGATCCCGCATCATGCATAGGCTTCAGGTTAGGGAAAAACACTCTCAACCTGTATTTAATTAAAGTGCAACACACCTCAGCTCCTTACAGGCTCTAAATACGCTATCCGCTAAGCTGTGTGTGTGGCAGCTCAAAACAACAGCAGCCTGTGAAGATCTGGTTATTCGTCTTATCAGTTACAGGCAAATATAATCCAAAGTACAGAACTGCTTATAAACCCAGATAAAACCTGCAGAGTGCAGGCAGCAGGCTTTTAGCTGGGAGGATTTTATAAGGTGTACAGCTTGGTGTATCACATCTTCACTATTTCCTGCATTTGAAGGTGGAATGCAGCTAACTTTGTCTTTTTTTCCAACACTACTTTTGTCCTGATTATGGGAAATAGGTGCGTTTGATTAGAGCTGGAAATTTCATAAGGAAGACATGAGATCATTTTTAGGTACAATATTATGTTTCATAGGTTCATTCAAACATTTAGAAAGTGTAACTTAATCTAAAGGCTTAACGTGAAACTTGATTCATACGTAAACAACAAGTTGAACATCAATGACGAGCTGAAGCATCTTTAACGCAACCTGCAAACCAGCAGAGGAGGAAGAGCAGCCAGGACTGCTTTGATTTCTGTTAAGAATCCAGTTGAAACTGAAACTAATCTGAAACCTGATCGCTACGTTTTTATCCATCGTAAGCCGGGCATACACTGTCATTGCACGCAGCTACAGCTCGCACTGTACGACGAAACCCTTTGACGAGTTCAGTCGTTGATTTAAAACAATTGGTCGTATCGTCAAAAGTGATTGTATTTCATATGGTGTTCATGTAAGTTAATATGCATTTAAATATAATCAGGTAGAAAATCATCTAAGTTTTATTTGTTTTAAAAGCCTTTAAAGTGCCTGCTGCTGAATTCTTGTGTTAAACTGAAACTAAAATCCCGCGTGATTTTGTTACCGGCAAAAGTGATCAAAAAAACCACTCTGACTGTTAAAAAGGAGATATGTAGTAGGGATGGAAGGGTTTATGAAAATCGTTCGGTTCGACTGTCATAGTTCGATTCGCGTGTGTTGTGTTCGCTTCATGCCAGACATGTTCACAAGTCATTTTTTGCAAGTCTCAAGTCTATTTGCGTGCTTGCTTGTTTCTCCTTGTGTTTTCACCTCCTTCACTGAGGCGGTATAGCTTAAAGGTCACTATTATATCTATGGAATGATCATTATCTTGAACTGGTCAGTGAAGTCAGTGCTACATGACTGTTTTACAGCCCCTTTGCTGTTTTTTTTTTTAATTTTTTAATTTTTTTACCTCTGTTGTGTGCGGGTAAGGCGAGCGGCGATCAGTCAAATTAGTAAAACAAAAAACGCTTAAAAAAAATATTGTTCACAGGTTGGAAATTGCGAGTCTCGGTTGAGTCTGTCTAAGTTGAGTCTGAAGTCATTAAATATGCGACTTAAGTGAGACTTGAGTACGAGTCACAAACTCGAATCCCCACCTCTGGTTCATGCACTGCTCCTTTTTCTCATAGGCGAAGCGTTTACACTCCAGAGCAGAAGGTGGCGGTACTGCGACCAAAGCCAACCACCAGTAGTAAACAAGAAGAAGAAGCGAAGAAAAAAATCAGTTGTTGTGGAGAATTGTGTGGGTATGGCGAGTGGGAAGAACAGGAGTTGGAAGACGCGCCAGCAGCACTTTATAGGTCTGCTGTATGGGACCACTTTGCATTTAGAGCGACCTACGATGACGGCGGAAAGAAAGTTGTGGATAAAAGTGCAACAGTGTGCAAGCATTGTGCAACACGTGTTGTTTATGCTAACAGCAACACGACCAATATGTCAGGCTAACAATCAACATATACCAAACGGAACCAAAACCCGTGACCACGAAACCGTGAACCGAACCGAACCGTGGATTTTGTGAACCGTTCCACCCCTTATAGTGGGATGGTATTATTGTAAAGGTGAACCTGAAGGTTGAAGATTAAGAAAGTGAACCAGAGCGATCTTAAAGAAGAAGAACTGAGCGATTTGCCCACGACCACTTTACGTCGGCTGACTGAATTTCAAACATGTTTGATTTCCTCCTGACCTTACGATTCCTCATGGGGAGGTGGTCGTTAGAGGCTGATCGCCCCTCATTACGCCCTGTACACTACACCACGCACCATCAGGCTGAAAGTCGGCCCGACTGAAAAATTCTCGCACGACTGGAGAATCGACCAGAAACGGCAATAAATTGTACAGTGTACGCCGGGCTTTAGTACATTTAGTAAATGTACTAAAACAAATAGCGGCATGTGTTTGAAATTGGCTACGGATTTAGTACAGATAACCCCCCCAGTTGTCATTTAGGTTAGCCCCCAATTCCACCGACAGTATTGTCCCAAAGGAAAAAATAAATTAAATTAATTAAATATTCCACCATATTCCGGGGGAAAATGAAGGCGTACCAAATCCGTACATCTTGAAAACAGGGCGTACAGTTTCTAATGTTTTCAGTAAAGGGCGTAAAATGTACGCCGTTTACGAGCTAAAAGCCTGGCATGGACTGGGTCCTGCTTAGCCTCGTGAGACCATCCTGATCTCGCGAGCTTTCAAGATTTCACTCGCTAATCAGTCTGAAGACTCTCCGTTAAAGAAAATTTGGAGCCGTTCAACAAACCAACGTCCAATCGGGGTTGGCTTTGAGGCGGGTTGAGGTGTGACGCAACAGGAAGCGCGACAGTTCAGTCTAAAGAACATGGCGGCTTCAGCCGATGAAACTAGCTTTAGCGTGGCTATCAAGCAAGTTTTATCGGAATTACAGAGTATTTCTTCACCGAAAGAAGAGCAAAACACTGCTCTGAAGGCTTTTCTCAGAGGAAAAGATGTTTTTGCTTTTCTCCCGACTGGTTTCGGCAAGAGTAGCCTGGCTTGTGGTTGTGTTTTCGTCGTCGCTCTGTTAGTACGTCATATGCTTCATTGATCTGATTGGTTTATTTGGCCCGTCTATCACCAACATAGGCCAATCAGCTAACCAGTATTTTTGCCCCTTCCCAACATTACTTCAATGGAAGGTTTCCAGATGGATATGCGGAGCAAATCCAGCTGGCGGAGTCAGGTTAGGTCCTGCTACCTTTACCTTTGTTTTTATATATTTTTTACTATTTTTCAAGGCTGCACTTAAAAAAAAATGAAATTGTCCATAGAGCAGTTCTAAACAAAATTTATTTTTCTTTTACACCTGTGTAACCAAAATGACAAATAAGTCTTTCTAAGTCTAAGTCTTTAATGAAGCTTTGCTAATGAGTTTGGATCGGTGCGGTGCTCGTTTCTAGAAGGTGAAGCTGTGGTCATGCATGGCTGCCAGTCAGCCAATGCACAGGTCACACGATACGAACACAAAGGCAGTTACAGCTCTGCTGACGGATTGGAGGCTGGCAGCCTTTATCTGCTTGTAAGTGCATCCAATAATCTTTTTATCTGAAAACCAACATCTGTTGTTAAACAACAAAGATCCCGCTCCTCGGGACGCAGGCTGGTTAGCAGGCAAACACACACCAGTTAAAGTTCAACTAGTCCACTCCATGCAGCTCTGCAGGATACTTACTGAAACCTCACAACAACAACTCTAAATCCCCAAAAAGAAAACAGAGAGAACAATCATGAAAGAGGTGAATGCATTGTCTGATGCCAGAGCCGCTCTGCCATCCCTGCATATTCCGGATGTTTGTCCATCCTGCTGTCACAATCTGCGTCTCTAATCTGCTTATCATCAAAATTCCTCAACTGCTTTTTAACCACTTCTCTCGCTCGCCCTCTTCCAGCACCTCCCAACACAAAAAACTGGGAGCAACCCCAGAAACACAGGACAGCCACTGGAAACACAAAGCCTCCTTCATGCAGCAGAATCACCAAATTACTCCTCAACACTTCTTTACTATGACCTGACCCAGTAACAGCGAACACGCTTTCTGAATGATTTGGGTTTTCTCTCAGAGCTGATGTGTTCTGATTATCATCAGCTTTCAATGTTAACTCTTTAAAAAACAATCAACGGGACTTTGTTTCCAACTTTGAAAACGTTTCGCTTCCCATCCAGGAAGCTTTTTCAATTCAAACCGTCAGAAATATTGTTAAGCTCGAGGCTCTTATACAGCAGCCCAACTAAGCCTTTAGAAAATGGGTCATTTGGCTTCTTTTGTTAGCCTGCAAAGCCCCATACCTGTCTATGTCTCTGAAAGGGGGGTAATTAAAGGGGATAGTTGGCCTTGTGGAACAGGCAAGATTTTCTGTTACCCAGTAAAGAGGTTGGGGGTTGCGATGATAGCTGGAAGGGAGAGATTCTATCGCTGCATTGTAGTTTTTTGAAAGCTAAAATCTGAGTCCACCCCTTCTGTTTAATGTTAACTCTTAATGGCTGGTTATATTCCTGCAGCAGTTTGTTGCAGTTAGCCTGTCGCACAAATGTTTTTGATTTATGCCCAATTTTTAAGCGTGATCTGCGCTATGTTATTCTACGCCACAATGCCAGAGGGACAATAACTAGACGTCATGCGACGCCGGATGACACAGTTCACCCGTGAGTGTTCCTCAAAGGCTGGCCGCGGCGCTGCGTGTTTTGGCTTCGGGCGCAAACCAACAGACCGTCGCTCAGAGCTACAAGCTAGCATCCTGTACGGTGTCTGGGATAGAGTCTAAGGTGTGCCAGGCGCTGTGGACGGCGCTACAGCCAAAGTTTCTGTCATTAGGAACCAAACAGGAAATACTCATAGTGTAGAGCAAATAGAATTGACCAATCAGAGGCCTCCTTTCTTTCCTCCCTGCGACGATATCTGCGGCACTGTCTTCAGTCACCTACAGTTTAGCGGAGGTGCGGTGGGGGGTGGTTTCATATCTGCATTAACTGTGACACACATGCAGACAACCTGTTTTCTGAGCAGAACCCCAGGCTCACACCGACTCCGGTCTTACCGTTGCGGTGCGGTGGGTGCGGCGCCGCAGTGATTCCAAGTCATTAAAAAGACGTTAACCTCTCTCACCGGCTGCTGAGCTGTCCGGCTGCGGTTACCGAGACACTCCGGCGCTGCAGAAAATTTCCGCAAGAAAGCTATCCTTGCGGCGTGCCGGAGCCCTCCGCAACAAGCTCTCGCAAATATCCTTATTTGGGCCGTGTTATCGCGTGAAGTTACGTGAACTCAAGTGAACTTCTGTTAAATCTCCGGACCTGTTGCCGGAGCCGCAGAGCCGCACCGCACCGTAGTCAAAAGGGCGGTGTGAGAGGGGGTGTGCGGGAGTTGCGGTCTCCGTCGGCTCGGTAACCGCACCGGAGCCAGTGTGAGCAAGGGGCAAACCAGACTTTACAAACCTTTAAAACCAGGTTCAATCAGATTGATAGGTGTGTAAGATGACATTTAAGAGGAAGTTTAAATAATATTGTTATTTACTGTGCATCATACATTTTTTAACCCAGTTGACTAGGGGTGTAAATAATAGTTTTGTATCGATGCATCGATCCAACAACGATCCAATGCATCGATACGTCTGCAAGAGTATCGATGCATGTTTTTTTTTTTTCTCCAGTCTATTTTTATCGTAATTCTCCCTCCCGTGCTGCGGTGGCGCTAAACCTATTTTGCCCTCCTACCTCGCTTCCTGGTTATACTCTTACAGCAGTGTGTTGCTGTAAGTTTGACACAGACATTTTTGATTTATGCTCACTATTGAAGCGTGGTCTGTGCTACACGCTGTGGGTCTCGTTGTGGGAATCGTTGGGTCAGGAAATCGATACGGAATCGAATCACCATGATGGGTGTGATTTACACCCCTACAGTTGACGCAGATCCTTACAGCGAAGCGACCATGTTTTATCCATCTGAGCGTTTTCTGTTCTGAACTGTGGGCTGCCTGTTGGGATTCTATGGAGTTAAGATAAGGGTCTAGACCAGAGATCGGCAACCCGCGGCTCCAGAGCCGCATGCGGGTCTTTAGCGCCCCACCTTGCGGCTCCTTGGAGCTTTTTCAAAAATGTATGAAAATTTTATTTTTTTTTTGGTTTGTTTATTTTAATATTGTGTGCAGGAGGTCAAACATTTGTATAAATACATTTAAACAATATATGTAAACATTTATTTAAACGAAAATGTGCGTCATAGCTATAGAGATCAGTGGTCAAAGCCTGCAGCACATGTCTCAGCGCGGCACCAGGCAAAGAAAAAGGAGGGTATGTCTCCATGGATCCCAAAGGGAAAAAAAGGAACTTAGCTGATGAGAACAGAGGATTCAAAGAAGAATGGAGCGAATCATTTGGTCTCATTATCAATGCGGAAGGATTGCCTGCATTTTGCTTTGGCACAAGAATTTGACAAATAATAAAAATTGTAATTTGGAAATGCATTTCCAGGTCACAAAGCTGTGAGTGCGAAATAATGCGATTGCAGAACTTCGGGATAAATTAGAGGAGAGCAAAGATACATTTAGGAAATGGATTGCATCTCCTAACTGCACTAATGCTGCTAGTTTGGTTTCAAGCATGAAAAAAACATCCACAGATCCAACAGGTAGCGCTCTGATGCAGGGATATGAATTTCTTCCATTTTTCCTCCCATAATCCTCAAAATAAAAATCAAACCAAGGAACGTTGGTGACGGAGGATGTGGGATTTCAGGGTTAGAGAGCTCTGCTCTGATGGATGTCAGTTCCTGCTTGGTTCCTCATGAATCAATCAGCTCCTCCCAACAGAAACACGTCCATCATAGAAAAGATTCCTTTATCGTGTTTCTATCATTTCATCAATGCAACAAAACCTAAACCGCGCAGTGAAGGGTGGTGAAGCAGCGCATGGTGGAGCGTCCACTGCTCCTCCCTCACCTCATGCTGCTATGTGACATTTGCTCTATCATGATAAACATTTAATCATGAATGCTTATTATATATTTAAGCCCACATAGTCCTTTTCTATAGTGGTATAAAACACTTAGAGCCTGTGTTGCCATACGAGGCTGATAGACTTTTACATTTTTGTGGCTCCAGACAGATTTATTTTTTTTGGTCCAATATGGCTCTTTGAGCAGTTTGGGTTGCCGACCCCTGGTCTAGACTGCCCAGATAATAAACACATTCTGCTGTTTAGAGTTAATAATCATAAAGTACCAATCCCTCCAGTTTAAAACACTGACTCTCAATCAGAAGGAATGGAACTGGTCTAAAACCAGTATCAGCCTCTGCATGTCGGCTCACCTCCACGAAGCACCAGTTTCCTCCAGGAATCCGGTTAAACTTTGTAAATATTTTATTTGGCAGCACACAATTTGGATTAACATCATATAAACAAGAAGAAATATTTTTTTTCCAGAAGCAGCCCAAATGTTGTAATTATAAAACCTCAAAAGGCTTTTTTATCTTAATATGATTCAAACATGTTTGTTGGTGTAAATAATGATAACATCCAGCCTGTCTGTTTATACGGTGGAAAGAGGCTGAGGGAGCCAAACAGAGGGCCTGACTGTTGTGCATCCCCTCTGGAGCAGCTGTAACCATAGCAACGGCAGGCTCAGAGAGAATGGGGAGTTCAGGTGTGAGTGGCGCCACAGGCCAGCTCCGTCCATTCACACCACAGACACAATGACATCAGTCGGGGGGAAACATATCCTGGAATCAGATTTGAAGCTCGTTAGAAACTTTTTCTAACACACTTACGTTGACGATGGACTCTTTGAACTTGATGTGAAGGCGATAGTTGGATATTGCGATGATGGCGTCCTCTGCTCTCCCTACGTACTCCGTGAACTCCCCATGCAGCTCAGGGAAGGGCACCTAGCAACGGGAGATTAAAAACTGACATGAAGTGAAAAGAACCCACAGATTCAATGACTGAATGTGACACTTTACATGTAAGCAGCAACATTCATTCAGTAATGGGATGACAGTTTTAGTCCTTAGTGGGTCTTTTATAATAAATCTAAAAATATTCCTGTTTGGCCAATAGTTTGTCTGCAGAGTTGTAGTGATTTTTCATACGTGCAATGAGATTAGCTCATCAATCAGTTACAGTGAAGTTAGCGTTCTGCTTGGCTTCTCTGAGAAAGACTGAAAATAACCCAGAGGCCACAGGCCACACGTCAGAACGAATGCATCACCTGCCGCCGATCCCTTATCTCCTGCTGATTTCCATCTGCAAGATGCTTTAAAAAGCAGGTAGAACTGGAAGAACATTATGGGAGAATTATCCTGCCATAATGCAAGAGCACATAATTTCAATTTGAGAAAAGAATTTCATCTTCTTGCACTCAAAACTTATAATGCTCACACTCCAAACATGCGCTCTCTCTCAAATATTTTCTCTTCTCTCTCAAATCTTTGTTTCTTCTCTCAGATTTAATGCTTCTTGCACAGATATTTTCTCCTCTCGCTTGCCTCCTTCTCTTCACACACAAACCGCGCTCTGCTGGAGTCTCAGTTACGCTCTCAAACCCGTAGGCTCTGCTTGCGGATTTATTTTGCTCTCTCAGATTGGATCGGATCGTCGCCTAGCAACCTTTCTAGCCAATAGAACGACAGCCTCAGAAAGGGTGCGCTTGTCTAACTCTACTGAGTTACCTTACTCAGTAGTTACCTTACAGACAATAAATTGGCTTTTTAATTTAAAAGCTATTAAAATAAGAAGCTGAAAAACAACAACAATCAGGAAAATAAAAAAAGGAAATAATAAAGGGCGATTCAAGAATCACCAATGAAAAGTCACTTAATTTCTGCTGGAGGCAGCATCTGCCCTGACTAGCAAACTTTTTTTTTTTTTTTTTCTGACGAGCAACTCTGAGGCGGGAGTTTTCTGTTCACATCACGTCACGTCTGAAAATGGATAGCTTTTAAATTAAAAGGCCAGTTTATTGTCGGTAAGGTAACTACTGAGTAAGGTAACTCAGTAGAGTTAGACAAGCGCCCCCTTTCTGAGGCTGTTGTTCTATTGGCTGGAAAGGTTGCTAGGCGACGATCCGATCCAATCTGAGAGAGAGCAAAAAAAATACGCAAGCAGAGCCTACGGGTTTGAGAGCGTAACTGAGACTCCAGCAGAGCGCGGTTTGTGCGCGAAGAGAAGGAGGCAAGCGAGAGGAGAAAATATCTGTGCAAGAAGCATTAAATCTGAGAGAAGAAACAAAGATTTGAGATAGAAGAGAAAATATTTGAGAGAGAGAGCATGTTTGGAGTGTGAGCATTATAAGTTTTCAGTGCAAGAAGATGAAATTCTTTTCTCAAATTGAAATTATGTGCTCTTGCATTATGGCAGGATAATTCTCCCATAGAACATCAGCTGAAACGAGTTGTCTGATTCTACTGACAAGCTTTTCAAAGGTTGGTTTTAACTTGATCAAACCACCAAACCGGACCCAACCTGGCAAAGTGGGAACTCCAAAATCAGCTGGTTTGGATTGCTTGAATGGAGCATATCTAAGAGCAACAAGCTCACGCTAAGAACAATCTTCAGTGTGAAAGTAGAATGAAGCAGATCTTTTAGTTATCAGGCTCCTCTCCTGTGGAACCAACTACCAGTTTTAGTCCGTGAGGCAGACACCCTGTCTACTTTTAAGGCTAGGCTTAAAACTTTCCTTTTTGATAAAGCTTATCGTTAGTTATGCTGCTATAGGGTTAAAATGCTGCAGGACATAGGGACCCCGTTTCATTGCTGTTACTTTCTAAAACCTTTCTCCAAGTTTCCGTTATTTGCTCTGATCTTATGTTCTGTTTTCTTCTTCTTCTTAGTGGCTCTGTTGGGCTGTGCCACCATCCTGGAGGGGCGTGGGGGCAGCCATTGGTCGAGCTACTGATAAACAACCTCAAGTTTCCGCTCTTTCATCAGTTAACCCCGTCTCTCTCCGTAGCTACTTGCTGAGCTTTAACTATAATTTACTGTATTAAACCCAACATACGCCATTAATCCTAAAGGGAAATGAAATGCTGTTATAGCTGATGCATTATGAGTTTCTGCAGAGAGTTGTTGTAGATGCTGATTGCTGTAGGCAGGAGGGATTGTCTGCTAGGCCTGTCTGCCAATAACTGAAGACTTTTTGTTGCTTAACAGTCTTCTGAAGAGGAGGCTCACTGTTGCCCACAATCTTCTTCACTTTATGAAGGATTCTTCTCTAGAGTGTCTAGAGGAGTTCCTTGAACAGAGCCTGGCTTCTTTATCAGCTTGTTGAGCTTTTTTTTTAAAAGTAATTAGGTCTGATGCTGTTACCCCAGCAGATGATGGGGTACGCGATTAAAATCTCCACAGCAGGCTGATGGAAGATCTGCATCATCTCAGCGCTGAAGGACCAAAGCTTCCTCAGAACCATACTCTGTTCTGTCCCTACAGTCTGTTGTTCATCGAGGTATTTCTACTTCTCCACCACCTCCCCTTCTTCTGCCATGATATTAACAGGATCCAACCTGTTCCCATTTCTTAAATCTATAATAATTTCTCTTTTTTCCACATTCAGGATCAGACTTCTGTCTTTCATCTCCAGATTTAAATTCTGGCTCAGTGCTCATCTATCTAGCCGTTTTATCTCCTTGATGCCACTTCTGCTGTCTGTTTAAACGGTTGAGGCAGAAGGCCGTCCTCAATGAGCCTAGTTCTGCTGGGTTTTCTTCTTGTTAACACTAGATGTCCCAGAGATTTTCAGTTTTCCTGCAAGCCCCCCTCCCCTCTGCAAGTTTGTGTATTCACTCTGCCTTGCTAACTGTCCCTATTGTAATGCAAATAACCTGTGATATGACCAGCCCTTCTACATTAAGACTGGATAAAGGCTGAAACAAACTGGCATCAAGACCATGTTCCAAGCACTTTTCAGTACCTGCCCCTGCAACATCATACCATTTTGCAGGAATATATTTATATGTCATATCTAACCTATTGAACAACCAGATATCATAGTGGTCCTAGTTCCTGAGCTGAGAACAAGTCATAACCATGCTTTTCCAACAAGGCAAGGCAGAGCCTATTTCTATTGTCCATTCACCAACAGACTCATTCATATTGCAAAGCTCACTATATGAAAGAAAGAATAATTGTATTTTGTCTTGTCTCGCCTTTTTATATCATTCAAAATTTAATCTTAGAGAATGACAAACAGTATGCCTTTAGTATTGGAGTAACATTTATGTCACAAAAGGAACAGCCCTAGTCTCTTCATCTCACAATGCTGTCTCATGTGTTCTTCCTTTATTGCCTTTTCTTGCATACAAATGTTACGAAGTTCATTTGCAAGTAGCAGAATTAACTTTGGTGGACTCTTTGGTCCCTGTGCACGGCTTGTACAACACATGCTCGTCTGTTGCAGCCAAGGTTGTACGCCAAGCCAAGCTTGAAATCTCAATAACTCTGAGTCGATCTGCTGGGCCTATTTATTCTGGGAGCTATACTTCCCACCCACAACCTTTACATTTCCCTCTGCCGCCAGATTGGAATTTGAGCTGGAAACGGGTTTCCAGCACAAAACCGGCTTTCCGCTGGAAATCATGAGCGGATGATGTTTGCTTGTTTGCCCTTTAGTAAATAGGGCAGATGGTCATTGTTGTATAAATATTCTTGTCAGCTGATGGAGATGTTTTCATTGTACAGATCAGTTGGGGGGACTGGAGCCCAATTCCCACCCCAAACTGCTCAGTTTTGAAAAACAACAGACAAAAGGTATAGCCTCAGAAAGTTTTTTTTTTTATTTCAGATAAAGAAAAACAGTCTACATATGGATAAAGCACTAAATATAATGTGGAAAAATGTAAAATGCAATTGTCCCATCTAGCAGTTTCCACATTCCCATGGCGAGCCTTTCCTACATTTGCCACAGGTAAATTTGCCGCAGTGGACACAATGTTCAGTACTTCTGTTGTTATTGCAGAGTATGCGCACCTGGCATTGAGTCTTTTTCTACTGGGAAACTCTCATCTCACGACGTAGCTGTTTTTGCTCTTCCTCTTGTGTCTTTTCCTGCAGGAGCCTGTTTTTGAGTTCCTCTGAAAGCTCCAGCATGAACAGTCGACGACTTTCTTTGGATCCTGTACACGCTGTGTACAAAACAAGTGCATTTGTGGCGGCCATGTCAAGCAGGTTATAAAACACAGCCATAGGCCACCTCCGTGTTCCTGCACGCACAGAGTAGTTGCACAGTTTCTGGTCCATAATATCAACACCACATTTGAGATGGTTGTAATCAACCACAGTGTTTGGTTTTTGTTTTTGAATGTCCACAATTTCCACTCTGTGATGCATGGTACTCAGAAGAAAGACAGATTTCTTTTTTTTTTTTGTCGCATACACCGTCAGCAAGGCACTTCCAGATTTGAAGACCTGCGTGGAGTGCAACTGGCGCCCCAAGGTTTCCTTTGCAGTTGCTGGTAGCTCCCGACGAATTTTGTTGATGGTGCCAAGCAGAGTTGTATTTCGCTGAAGGAGCCTGTTAGCCAAAGACAGAGAGGTGAAGAAATTGTCCATAGCTACAGTCCTTCCCTTGTCCAAAAATGGTTCTATCAATTTCAGAACAACGTTCTCTGACAACCTCTCTCCTTTTGGACGAGTGGGATCCTTTCCCAAGTAAGGGATGGCATTACACATTTATTTTATGTCCAGATCTGCTGCAATCCAAAACTTGATTCCAAACTTGTCAGGCTTGGATGCAATGTACTGCAAAAAGGGGCACCGAACCTCGGACGGAAACAGCTGCTCATCCACAGTAACATGCTGTCCTGGACTGTAGGACGACACACAGTTCTGAACAAACCACATCCAGATGTCAGAAATTGCTGCAAATTTGTCATTGTGTATGCGTTCCTTGCGGGTGTCCTTGTTGTCAAAACGAAGGTACCATCTTATTTCAAAAAAACGGTTACGAGGCATTATGGGTTTGATATCTGCGTTTCCGAATTTATTGGCCCACATGTGTCGCATGGGACCAATGTAACCCATGGCAGCCCTTCGAAAAAGGATTGCGAGGAAAGCCATCAGCTCGTAGACACTCATCTGCCAGCTGGGGTTTGTTCTGAGGGCCTCGTGGACTGTGCAGTCTCTGATGGTCAGCAACATGTTCATATCCAACAAACACACGAAGCTGCGAAGGCGGCTTGTGATTTTGCGTTTCGCATAATCTGTTGGCCCTCCTGATCCATTGAAGGCAGTCTGTGGGGTTTCAGGAACAGAAAAGTCTTCAACTTTCCAGTGGGACCAAACAGTGCCATCTTTCGCCTTCTCTATTGATCCAGGCATTGTGCCAACATCAGCAGTTTTTTGTTCTTTGCAAGGAGGGGAGTTGCCGCGCACTGTGTCTTCCTCTTCATCTGATGTAGCCTCAGTGTTTGAACTGTCCCGCTCAATCATATAATTGACCACTCGGCCCCTGGTGCGTCTTTGGAGGGGAGGATTTGCTGGTGCGAAAGCAGTCGCATTCTCATATGAATCATCCTCTTCACTTGAAGAATCGGTTGCGCCGTTTTCATTCTGAAATGCTAAGTCTCCAACAGATCCACCATCAGATTCGTAGTCTGGCATGCTCTGAAGCATGGCTAAAGCCTCTTGAGCGTTCATCCTTCTTGGTCGCCTTGGTTGTGCCATGGTGAATTCCGGGTGAATTCTGAGTCTGTGTGCTGTGCCTGCTTTATTTATCCCCACAGAAATTCTGTAAATTACTCAACTCCTTGAAAAAGCTCATTTAAAACACAAAGGGAGGCAACTTTAACAAAGAAACCCCAGCACACCAGCTGAAGTCACCAAACCACATTCCCACATTTGCATTTGATTTGAAAATGGAGCACCAGAGGAGAGCCGTTAACACCTTTGGGGGGATACTTGATACAAACTAGGTGCAGACTAAAGTCTGCATTTTGGGACTTCTAGTGTTAAACGGGAGTTTTTCTCTCCACTCTTTCCATGCATGCCCGGTAGGAGGGATTGCTGAAAAGTCAACGACACGATAGCCCCATTTAGACTACCCTCTGAAAAACATTCTGTGCCGAGTTCTGACCGAGCTTGGATCAGTTAACCGTGACCGAGCTTGGTTCCTTACTACCGGTTACACACCACGCTAGCACCGTTCCTCGCCTCCTAGCGGCAATCTACGGTACTACTGATATCTAGAGGTAAACAAGCAAACCAACATGGCAGCGCCCGTAACATTCAGGAAGTTTGCGGAGAGTCAGCGAAGAAGGCAGCCTTTGGTGAATTTACTTGACAGAGTCGGCTTTTAGGAAGTGGATACGACAAACGATAGTCTAATCAGGGCTTACAGACGCAGGAAACAATGACAGACGTTGAGGTTCATCACACTGCAAAGAGGAATCATCACTGGAAATCATGTGGCACGGTAGGGAAGCTAGGATTTGTATGAAATCAATCGGACCAATCGTGGCATGGTTTCAAAAGCGTAGTGTGAATGGGACTACTCACAGCAACTGTCCTCTGATTCCACATGCTTATCCAAGGGGAGCTAATTGTTCAGGTCAAAGACTTGCATATGAATTAAATTGGAGCTTTATAAGTAAAGCAAATCATGTTAAGCAAAGAAGAGTTAAAATTAGCTCCTTTTACAATGAAGCCAGAAAGCAAAGCTGTAGTACAGTTAAAGCTCTGCAACACGTTCAGGTCGATCTGTGTCTTACTGACTGCAACAGAAGCCACTTTTCTAACCGCCGAACTCCTCCTATTAAATAAAAGTAAAAAACTCTGGTTCAGATAAAATCTATAGTGGAAAAAAATGAATAAAAAGCTGAGCAGAGTCAGACGAATCAACCGTCCAAACCTGAGGCCAGACCACCAGGCTGATCATTCTCCTTTCATTTATTTGTGTCACATTTGTTAACTGAAGGGAACTTTTTACTGACAGACAGTGTCATTCATTACAGAGCAGAAATCAATATATAACCGTTTGATCACCTGCATGTTTTCCTCCTCCAGCACCGGGGACTTCTTAGGGAAGATCTGATTGGCCTGGATGCACTCCAGGCTCTGCTGCCCCTCCTCCTCCTGCACAGAAAATAGACGATTTTTATTGTCATTTTGTTATTTACAGCTTGCAGACAGTGAATAAGCAGCAGCTTAGCAGCAAAATGAACATTTTCATTCCATAAAGTGCAGCAGTGATCAAAAAAACATGATGCAAAAACACCAATAAACATGTTTATTGCTTTCACAGCCACAGCTTTCTTTTACAACCAGATTTCATCTTTAGTGCGACATAATTTCAAAACATGTGACAGGAGACGGTTAGCCGAGTATTTCCTTTACTTTTGCTCTTCTTCCGTCCAACACAGCCTTATTTCAGCTCCTCCTCATTGCCAGACCACAGAAAGAATTTGGTAAGTTATTTGCAAATGGTCGAGATGTCACAACGACCGTCTTCCCCTTTCCCATCCACACTGTAATCAGGACTATTTAGATTATTCTGTGTAGGAAATCCTGCAAACATAAGAGCCTAAAAGTTGAATCCCATTCAGCAGGAAGTTCAGAAAGAGTTTTAGGCTGGGAAACTTGGTTGGCTTTCACAAGGGCTACCTGTGTGTAGCAAAGAAATGTGCGTCTACAGGAGCCACAGAGGGGAATGCAAAGCAAAGCGGACTTAGGCAAGCAGAGTTTGGGGTAAATGAAAGTCTTTAGCTGGAAGCTCTGGACGATGAAACATCACGTGTGTTTGCTCAGGAGCTGAGTTTAGACTAAACACTGCACAAAAACAGATTACGGCGGTAAGAAAGAGATGGAAGATAGCAGACGGTATTAAAACATCCTGTGTGACGCTGACTCAGCATAAGCTGCTAACCAATCTGCATTGTTCCAGCATAATGTTTAATCCAGCCTAAACAGAAGAGGACTGGGCTAAAACGGAAGAATAAGGCCAAACTGGGTCAGATCAGAAAAACACATCCAGTCGGCTGTTTACATCACAAAGTGATGATAAAGTTTTTACTGCAGCGGAAACTGAAAGCTGTCCTCAGGGGACCTCTGACACTTTTGGAGCTGATGCAACCGTCCGCCTCCTGATAACCAGAGCTGACTCAAAGTGATAATCAATGGAGAGTTCCCATTTTGCAGATTGCTTGCAGGACAAAGGACACAGAAATGAGCATTATAAAGCAGTAAACAAGGTGAGAATACTTTACCATGGCCCCTGAGAAGGAGCTTGGCTCTGCCAACGAGGAACTCCGGCTCACTTATGTCTGTTCAATAACAGAGAGAAAAAAATACAGGCTTTGAGTAAAAATTATTCACAGGATCTTTAAAGCATCACTAAAAAAAACAACAGTTTTGTATCACGGGTTGAAATGGTGGAAAATACACGGCTGTATTTAAAATGCTTGAGCTGCAGCGAGCAGACGTCCAATATCAGCAGACGTTTCAGGTTAGTTGGGGATTAAAACATTTAGCAAAGATAATAATGATAACTAGAGATGCAGGGAAATCGGCTTTTCTGCTCGACACGCCATGAACTGTTATTTGATTGGAAGCTCGTCTGCTTCCTCATCAATGAACGCCCCACGCCTAAGCACTACCAGGTCAGGAAAACCGCTGCACTCTTCAGCGTGGAGGTCAGTTACGGCGAAAAGAGAGGTGGCCATTTTTATAATGAGGAGAGCAAATCAGGAAGCCAGAACAGAAAATATTCTAATGAGCTTTTAACTTCTGTCTGTGATGAAACATGTTGGGTTTAGACGTGTTGACCCAAACTTTGGAAACTCTAAAAATGCTCTAATGTAGGGCTGAAACAACTAATCGATTAATCGGGATTAATCCATTATTGAAATAATCGAGTAATCATCGACAAAGTCGGTCCTGGAAGGCCGCTGTCCTGCAGGTTTTAGAGGTTTCCTGCTCCAGCACAAAGGATTTTACTTGATAGCTGATCAACAGGTTTTTGCAACTGAAATCATCAGAACCAGCTGTGCTAAAGCAGGGAAACCTCGAAAACCTGAAGGACAGCGGCCGACTTTGGGGGTGCCTGCTCTAAAATATGCCTTTAGCTGACAGAACAACCCACTTAGAGCAGTAATAAAAAAAATAAATAAATAAACATTTAGCATTTAGGATACTGTTTAATAAATGATCAGTGTTTTTAATTCAGAGTAATTTTCATGTGAATGTGCTTTACTGGAGGCATCCATGTTTGTCAAAGAACACTACTGCCACCTACTGGTTAGTGACGTCACGGTGCGGTATCGGCTGTTGATCAAGTCCCAGTGCTGTATCTGGTGTTTGTCACAACGCGCTATTATCCAAGTCATCTTGAAAACATTCTTCTTCCAAATGTTGGCTACATATTACGGGTTTTTTCTCTGGCCAGAAGTTCGATGGCAAATCCTCCCTCTTCAAGTTGGCGATCCAACGACCAACCCGTCCGTGGAGGATCAGGAATCAGAAAGGTGGAATAACTCTTTTTTTTTCACTTTTACCCGATGTATTCCAGCATCCAGCTGCCATGCACGTGGGCATTGTCAGTTTCACTATAGCTCTGGTGAATTTCAATGGTGAAGTCCTCTGGAAATCTTCAATAATTGTTGTTGATTGCAGATGTGTCTAGTAGTTCCCATTGATTTAGCTTGTAAAGCGGGGAGAATGGCGCTAGGCTTACCGCACCGTGACGTCACTGCAAAAATGGCCGCTCCCAGACTCAGTGATCGTGACGAAAATTATTTAAATTTTTTTAGTTTGTGGTATAAACAATGATCCATTTATTATTTCTTTATTATTTTCCTTTCAGGAACCTTTGGTTATCACATTATTAATCGTAAAAGCAACCGACAGATTAAATGATTTGCAAAAAAATCATTAATTGCAGCCGTAGCTTCATGTGTCAACTTAATAATAAAACAGAAACAACAGCAACAGTGATCTGACAGACCGCTAGTTTGAATATAAAGGATCAATAACCAAGAAATCTGCAGCAATTGCTCAAAGCGTTCAAATAAAAACAAAAAAAACAGAACAGCGATAAGTCTGAAGTGATTCTTTGCCAGCATAGTTTTAAGATGGGAGAAAAGATGATGATCATAACTCATGAAACAGTGAGAGGTATCTCCCAAACTTACCACAGAAAGTTGGCAGTGAACAATATGCAGTCCTGGTAAATCAGTTTGGAAACCCTCACAAGCAACACAAAGAAATCTGTGGAAAATAACAGGAATCATGAGAATTAGTTTGAACTTTTCTTCTTACATTTTGCAAACAGAAGGCTTCTTTACAAACTACAGCAGTTTTTTTGATTCTGTGGATGGAGCGGTCACATGTGAGCCTCCAGATACCAACCACTCCAATGTGGTCTTACCACGATCATATGAAAGCTAACTTTACACATAATCTGTTTTACAGCAGCTGCCCAGATGTTCCGATGAAAAACATCCAACCGGATGTAGTTCATCATCTTCAGACCAACACAGTGACTTTTTTATTTGGTCAGTTTCTTCTGAGTTAAAACTCATCATCCCAAAGGAAGCGTCTAGTCACAGGCGGTTCTGGTGACGCCACAGAGCCTGAGGTAAACGTACTGGATTTTCTTTCAACATTTTCCTCTTTATTTGCAACTTGTGCTTTGTCAAAGCTTTAGCAAAACATCTGAGCATGTGATAACACTCCAAGGCTTTCAGGACAATCTGGCAAAACTAAACACCAGTAAGGAGTTTATGAGGAAGATTAGAAAGGCAAACTTTCATTAGAAACATCAGCTGATGACTGGGAACCAAACAGCTCTCTGTTCCATTAAGCTCTGACCAACAGACCTGCTGCATCACTCACTACTTCTACTGCAAAAAAAGACAGCGTATTACGCCTTTATACTGCACGTATCGTCATTTTACTGGGAAATCATGTTAATATTTAAGTTGTTATGAGCAGAATGAAGCGTTTTATGTGTGCAAAAACCAATGAAATAGAAAACAGGTCACAGTATAAAAACCTTCATAATGGTTAAAGTTTTGTAGAAAATATCTCTGTCACGTATGTTTGGGGCATCGTCCTGCTAAAACCACATCACATGTCAACATTTTTCAGTTATTAAGTTTATTTATTTCACAGCTGATCAGACTTATTTGCACAAAAACTTATTTGCTGCAGAGGTGTCAAGCAACAAAGTACAAATACTTCCTTCTTTAAGTAGAAATGTTGGCTCTCGATACTTTTAAGGAGTCATTATTTTTCAAACAACTTTTACTTCTACTCCTCAAATTTTTTTTTGCAATATTTTCTAATTTCTACTCCTTACATTTAAAAAACAAACTCGTTAGTTTAGTTTCATTTAAACAAATTTTTTTATGGCCTGTTGGTATTAAAAAAAACACACATCAAAATGATTTGTTTCATTCAGACAGTTAATTTCTTTGTGGTTGGACTCGGTGCTGCCCCAACTTGTTGCTCACCACAAACCAAAATAAACTGTTTTTCAAGATGATGCAAAGTTAAATGTGACGCTGTTACCATTAGATATAAAACTAAGAAACTTAAGTCTAAGGAAGTTATCATGCATAATTGTAGATAAATGTTCCTTTAATAGGGTAGAGCAGAAAAGCATTCCTTAACATTTTTCCTGCATTACTTTTACACTTTAAGTAGTTTTAAATGGTACTTTAACTTGAGTAAAAAGCTGAAGTTGATACTTTAACTTCTACAAAAGTGCTTTTAAACAGTAGGATTTATATTTCTACTGGAGTAATAAACATTAACACCTTTGGCATCTCTCCCAGCTGTTAAGGACAGAGTGTTTGTCAGAGGGAGGGAGGTGCACCAGGATAATATGTGTAAGATAACAAACCCACTCATTGAAACAGGAATATATTGACAAACATGAGGATCTTAACATCTTGCATTAAGTTGGTGAATTATATTTTTCATCTAAAAAATGAATGGAAATAGATAGATATCATTTTTTTAAGTGAAACTTCAGCTTTCTAAACAGACAGGCTGTTAGAAACATCTGAACAAACTGCCAACAAATAGCTGGAAAGGTCATCTCCTGCTGCAGAGGCTGAAATGTGATCTGAGAGTCTGTGAACGGGCAGATCAGGAAGACAACAACACACCTCCTCAGGAACATTCACAGGAGCAAAGGGAGAAATCCAGTGGAACTTATGAGCCCCTCCAACCAGGCCTCAGCTCCAAGAAGGTCCTGGATGAGGTCACTGCTTCGCTCTTACCGCTGCCTGTGCCTGATAAGGCGTATCAGGCCGCCGCACGGCTCTGTTTACAGCCGAGCCTGGGGCCGTTAGAGCCGCAGCACCAGCCTCCCTGCTTTAACCCGGACGGAAACCTGACAGCAGGCAGGGAGAGAGTGCGCTGATAACGGCTGACTGAATGGATCACATCTAACTCATCATGAGTTACGTTCAACTAAACGCATTGTATAAATCTGGAAAATAAAATTTAAACACTAAACTTCAAGACATAAATCTAACAGAAAGGGTTAGTAATGGCAGACTAACGGACGCCCCGAAGGCAGAGGAAAAACTACAGCGACTGTTCTTCCTTCTCTTCAGGGAAGCTAATGCTAACATCAACAGTTAGCCAGCTAGCTAGCATCGGTTCCTTTTAGCTCCTCGGAGAAAAGCTCCGGAATACAAGCGGCTCTGACACCGCAGCGCTGCCCGTTTCTGTTGCAATGTCCCTGCGCTGGGTTCACCGCAGAGCAGCCGGTGAGCTCCCAGGCTAGCGGCTAGCCGCTCCGCTCAGCCAGACTGTTTTTGTTATGAAGATGGAGGGCGGACCCCGGGACGGAGGCCTCTGTCAAAACACACCGAGACCACAGCCGCCTGACTCACCAGTCAGAGGGGAGAGATGAGGGGTGGTCCACGGCCGAAGGGGCTATCCGAAACCGATGGAGTAACTGAAGAGCAAAGCAACCACCAACAGATACGAATTCGTCATATCCGAGCGAAAAAGCTCTGCTCTCAGCGCGTCCCTTCCAAGCGCCGAGCCTCCGTCGCCATCGCCGCGAAACCTCCAGCCCAACAACATACGTGACGGTGACGTCACTACGTCAGAGCGACCCGTGGCGGTAGAGGGGCGTGGCTCACAAACACCACGCGGTACGACCGTGTAAACATGGCATCGTTGTCAAATGACTGCATTAATACTAGATGGTAAAGAAGTATCTTTTAAACTCAGACACAGAATCTACTAAAGTCTGTTTAAAGAAATTCAACTCTGATATTGATTTTAGCTGTTTTTCTTTCAACAAAATGAAAGAATGAGTGCGAAGAGTTTTCTTATCAATTTATTAATTATTAAGGCTAAATTTCATCTTCATAAATGCAAGTTTTTAAGAAAAAAACCTGCCTTTTCAGTTTTTTTGATTGAATTTAAACATTATATTTTTACAATTCGACCTTCAACGAATAAATAAGCAAAAACAACTTGCAATCAAATTGGAATTTTAGATAATTTATTGTGTTCAAGGAAAATTCCGGTTTTTAACACTTTTAGCCCATTTTCTGTAGTGTCCAGGATGAAATCGAATGATCGACACCAAAATTTTGACGATTGGTCCTGTCTCTGCTATTTGGCTCATGCAGAATCCCCCCCTGGCTGCTTCAGAATGGCTTCCATATGGATGTCCGATAATGTCCTTAAAACAACCTTAAACATTCTTTTTTTAAAATATGCTACTCACCGGGTCATCAGCGCTGTTCAATGACGTTCCAAAAAAAGTTTCGTGAAGAAAAACCGTTCCTGTCTTGTTTTATTTAGCATTTTGTAAATCCCAGAACTATTTTTTCCGATACATCACAACCGCTTATAAACTTCCGCTTCCCGTTCGAATCTGAAGCGTTGCACACTCCAGACCACTAGTTGGCGACGGTATCCTCTACCGTCAAACTCAAAGTCTAATATGTCCTCCTCAAGAATCCACCTTTCGTATTCCATTTTCAGAGTTTTTTAAAGTGTTTAACAGAGACGTTAGCACCTCGACGTCGGAGTACACAGAGTGAAGCAGAAACACTTGGGCCTTGCGAAAAGACTACAACTAAGTGTAAACAGGCCCCATTTCCGTTTCCGGTGGCGGAGGGATATTGACTATTCCAACAGAACTCAATGGGATTTACAAAATGCTAAATAAAACACTACAGGAACGTTTTTTCTTTACGAAACTTTTTTTGGAACGTCATTGAACAGCGCTGACGACCCGGTGAGTAGCATATTTAAAAAAAAGAATGTTTAAGGTTGTTTTAAGGACATTATCGGACATCCATATGGAAGCCATTCTGAAGCAGCCAGGGGGGGATTCTGGTGTCGATCATTCGATTTCATCCTGGACACTACAGAAAATGGGCTAAAAGTGTTAAAAACCGGAATTTTCCTTTAATTCACTTTAAACAAGATTATTTTGTCATTTCTTATTATACTTGTATTGTTTTCTGTTAATGGTCCCCCTGGCAAATGTTTTTGTTCTTTTGTGATATGTACACAGTGCAGTTTTGTATTGTTGTGTATTATAAATAATAAAGTTTATAAAAAAAAAAAATAATACTAGATGGCGATGCTGCCATAGATAGAGCTTCCACTGCAAACTCACGAAAAACCAAATGAGAAGGTTTTTCTTAAAATAGGTCAATTTTTTCTTAAATTTTAACTGGTAAATGATACTTTGTCAGTGGAACAAAACAATTTACATTTAATGTAAGAAAAAAACTCTTGCATATATATTATATAAAGAGTATATAAAGAGTAAAAATACTATTTAATTAGCAGATCATCTTATTTACCTGCTCAAATTAAGGCGAAATACACTTAATATAAGAATTGTTTTAGTTATTTCCTAATTGTTTTTGCAGTGCACTGAAACAAAGTCAGGCCTTAACCCTTCATCAAAAATTTCCAGCCAATAGTTTTATTGGAATCTAGGACAAAACTTTAATACCTTTGTAACATTAAAAAAATATGGATATTTTGATTGCAAAATCAATATATTAAGAATATATATGGGTCATTCCATGGAAAGTGTAAAGACTGGACCTCTGAATTTAGAGGTTTTTGATCATAACCTTTTTTTGTTGTTTTTTTGTTTTGGTTTAATAGCCTATAGAACATGTAACACTTGCAATAAAACACATTTTTCAAGCTCAGACACCATTTTCTGCAAATATTTTAGCACATTATATCCAGGGAACAGAGTTTCCTTTTCCACCCCGTCACAGGACAAAGGTTAACAAATTAAAAGGTAATTTTAGATAAAAGTAAGACAAACAAAATGTTATTCACTTCAGAAAGTGTCTTTAAAAAAACAAACAAAAAAACAATCAAATTCAAAGTGTTTATTTTTTTATGTTTTATGTTATGTACAGCATTAATTCAATATGAAGAACGTTGCCACCTATCACACTGATTCCACCCCGTCACAGGCTTTAATCTGACGGGGTGGAAAATCTAAAGCAATAATGGCTCAATTTGTGGATATGTTAAGACCTGATGGTGCCGTCGTCGTCAGCATTGAAGTACAATGAAAAATGAATGATTAATACAAATATAATTTCAAAATTTGATTAACAAATTGTTTTCCCCACTTTTTGTGTGTGACGGGGTGGATATGCTGTGGTTAACAGAAATATATATATAGATATCTATCTATATATCTATCTATAGATAGATATATATATATATATATATATATATATATATATATATATATATATATATATATATATTTACATAGATATCTATATATATATATATATATATACATAGATATCTATAGATAGATAGATAGATAGATAGATAGATAGATAGATACACTCACCGGCCACTTTATTAGGTACCCCATGTTAGTAAGGGGTTGGACCCCCTTTTGCCTTCAGAACTGCCTCAATTCTTGGTGGCATAGATTCAACAAGGTGCTGGAAGCATTCCTCAGGGAGTTTGGTCCATATTGACATGATGGCATCACACAGTTGCCGCAGATTTGTCGGCTGCACATCCATGATGCGAATCTCCCGTTCCACCACATCCTAAAGATGCTCTATTGGATTGAGATCTGGTGACTGTGGAGGCCATTTGAGTACAGTGAACTCATTGTCATGTTCAAGAAACCAGTCTGAGATGATTCTAGCTTTATGACACGGCGCATTATCCTGCTGAAAGTAGCCATCAGAAGTTGGGCACATTGTGGTCATAAAGGGATGGACATGGTCAGCAACAATACTCTGTAGGCTGTGGCGTTGCAACGATGCTCAATTGGTACCAAGGGGCCCAAAGAGTGCCAAGAAAATATTCCCCACACCATGACACCACCACCACCAGCCTGAACCGTTGATACAAGGCAGGATGGATCCATGCTTTCATGTTGTAGACGCCAAATTCTGACCCTACCATCCGAATGTCACAGCAGAAATCGAGACTCATCAGACCAGGCACCGTTTTTCCAATCTTCTATTGTCCAATTTCCATGAGCTTGTGCAAATTGTAGCCTCAGTTTCCTGTTCTTAGCTGAAAGGAGTGGTACCCGGTGTGGTCTTCTGCTGCTGTAGCCCATCTGCCTCAAAGTTCCACGTACTGTGCGTTCAGAGATGCTCTTCTGCCCACCTTGGTTGTAACGGGTGGTTATTTGAGTCACTGTTGCCCTTCTATCAGCTCCAACCAGTCTGGCCATTCTCCTCTGACCTCTGGCATCAACAAGGCATTTCCGCCCACAGAACTGCCGCTCACTGGATGTTTTTTCTTTTTCGGACCATTCTCTGTAAACCCTAGAGATGGTTGTGCGTGAAAATCCCAGTAGATCAGCAGTTTCTGAAATACTCAGACCAGCCCTTCTGGCACCAACAATCATGCCACGTTCAAAGTCACTCTAATCACCTTTCTTCCCCATACTGATGCTCGCTTTGAACTGCAGGAGATTGTCTTGACCATGTCTACATGCCTAAATGCACTGAGTTGCCGCCATGTGATTGGCTGCTTAGAAATTAAGTGTTAACGAGCAGATGGACAGGTGTACCTAATAAAGTGGCCAGTGAGTGTATATATCTATATGTATAAAGATATATATATATAGATATATATAGATATATATATATATATATAGATATATATATATATATAAAAAAAACTGTTTTCTCACCCCTCGTGGGGTGGTATGTGTCATCCTCAAGCTCGGGTCCTCTACCAGAGGCCTGGGAGTTTGAGGGTTCTGCGCAGTATCTTAGCTGTTCCTAGGACTGCGCTCTTCTGGACAGAGACCTCTGATGTTTTACCTGGAATCTGCTGTAGCCACTCTCCCAGTTTGGGGGTCACAGCCCCCAGTGCTCCAATTACCACTGGCACCACTGCTGCTCTTACTTTCCACATCTTTTCTAGCTCCTCCTTCAGTCCTTGGTATTTCTCAAGCTTCTCGTGTTCTTTCTTCTTGATGTTGCTGTCGCTTGGGATTGCCACATCTATCACTACTGCCTTCTTCTGCTGTTTGTCGATCAACACGATGTCTGGTTGGTTAGCCATCACCTGTTTGTCAGTCTGGATCTTGAAGTCCCATAGGATCTTAGCTCGGTCATTCTCAACTACCTTAGGAGGTGTCTTCCATTTTGACTTTGGGACTTCCAGCCCATACTCATGGCAGATGTTCCTGTACACTATGACAGCTACCTGGTTGTGGCGTTCCATGTATGCACTTCCTGCCTGCATTTTACACCCCGCTGTTATGCGTTGTATTGTTTCAGAGGCATCTTTCCACAGTCTGCATCGGGGGTCCTCCCTGGTGTGGTAGACCCTGGCCTCTATTGATCTTGTACTGAGTGCCTGTTCTTGTGCTGCCATGATTAGTGCCTCTGTGCTGTCCTTCAGTCCAGCCTTTTCCAGCCACTGGTAGGATTTTTTGATATCAGCCACTTCTTCTATTTGTCTGTGGTATACGCCGTGCAGCGGCTTGTCCCTCCATGATGGTTCTCCTTCCTCTTTCTTGTCCTCACTTTCGGTTTTCTCCTGCCTGAGGTACTCACCAAGCCATTTGTCTTTGGGGGCCATCTTTCTGATGTACTCCTGGATCTTAGTT